TCAAGGTAAAAACAAGCATGATACAAGTTTTAGGTAGTAGGACAGTACTTACATCCCACTCATTAGGAAAACCTAATGGATTAATTACCTGTCCTTGGATCTCTGAAAACTGAAGAATGCAGGAAGTCCCCCAAAGAAAAGTCTGAGATTTTTCAAAACAATTTTCTTTATGATTTTGTGTACAAATTATTACAGATAAAGCAACTGGAGACCTTCTCAAACCACTACACATAAGGGAACAAAAACTTCTAGCTACTTAAGAGAGTAGGGAATAAAATTTTTCAATTCGAATATATTTCTTTTGAAAAGGTGTTGAATTTTGACAAATGTTTTTTTTCTGCTCCTATTGAGATTTTCATACATACATGTTTTTAATTCTAATTAAAAAAAAATAGGTAATTGGTTCCTATGATCCAAAAACCAAGTAATATAAAAAGGCATAGTGAGAAATCTACCTCTACCCCCACCTGTTCAGTTCCCCACATATTTCCACCCTCTCCCCAGGCAGATAAGTAATGGTATTAGCTTCTTATATATGCTTCTAGGGTTTCTTATGTTTATGTAAGTAAATCTATAAACAGTCACACATACTTCTCTCCTGTCCACCTCCTTTTGTAATATAAATGGCAGCATACTATTCTGCACTTCATTATTTATCTATGTATGTATGTATGTATGTATGTATGTATGTATGTATGTATTTAAAGTAGGCTCCATGCCCAATGTGGAGCCCAACACAGGGCTTGAACTCACAACCCTGAGAGCAAGACCTGAGCTGAGAACAAGTCAGACACTGGCGCCCCTCTGCCTTTTTTTTTTTTTTTAAGATTTATTTATTTTTTAGGGGGGTGGGGGAGGGGCAGAGGGAGAGACTCTTCAAGCAGACTCCCTGCTGAGAGGGGAGCCCAACTCGGGGCTCAGTCCCGTGACCCACGCGATCATGCCCTGAGCTAAAACCAAGTGTTGGATGCTCAACCAACCAAGCCACCCGGGCGCCCCTCTGCACTTCATTTTTAATCATCAAGTATATCCTGGTAATTTTTCCATATTGGTATCTAGCAGGGTTCCTAATCATTTTTACAGCTGCATAGTATCCCATTTATTTATTTGTGTGTATGTGGGGGGGAGGGTGTGGCATGTGCCCAGATTAAGTGTATTTAACCAGACCAAACCAATGGACATTTAGTTTGTTTCCAAGTCTTCCACCATTATAAACAATGTTTCAGTGGACACTCTTGTACATATGTCATTTCACATGTATATAAGCACTGCTGCTGTCTCAAGGGGTTTAATAGGAATTTGATAATTTGTAGGTCAATTAGCTTAAGCACTACCCAGTTGAGGAATTCTTTTATGGGTAGTATTAAAAACACATTTTGAATACAAGGCAATGCTATATTTGAAAGTGTTTTTCTTTGATTCATTTAAAGGCCACAGGGAGCAGGGGAATGTTTTTTTTCTCCCTAGTAAGAAAATGTAATTTTAAGAATATATATTTTTCCTAAAAATCTTTTAAGATGCTCTGCTTTAGATGATAAAACTATTGAGGGAAGCCCTCCTCTGAAAATGGGGGAGCTACTCTGTACTCCCTTCTGAAGTAAGTCTGGAATCAAATCCTCTTTCCTTCATATTCTTTTCACTTTGTTTTCTAGCATTACAGTTACAATCCTCTATCGCCGGAATTTCCTTACTCATTAAACAGGCCCATCCCATAAAAATGTTAGAACAGGTTTCCTCTACCTTTCTGCTTACTGAATAGCCAAAGGTCTCTAATTATGATATGTGGACATTCATTTAACCTAACGAGAAGTCAAGGGATGCCCATAGTGATGAGATGTTGCTAAAGGCCAGCTACACCTCGTAACATTTCAGGGCCCATGGACACCAGGAGTTCAAAAGGAGATAAAAATAATAGCTTCACAGCTGAATTGGGAGCAAAGTTAGTAATGGCAGGCTGGCACCTTCTGTTTTCCCTGACAATACTTCCAGAGGATTGGGAACTAATATGGTCGGGGAGGGGCAAGCAAGGCCAAGTTTTGAGGAAGACTGTGAACTGCTGCAATGGGGGGGGGGGGGGGTATTTAACTTGTTTGCAGTGTATGACAATTCAAAATATACCCCGAAATAGAGTGGAGGGATCCATATCCTTGTTGCTGTGATGGCACCATGATATCAGTAAAACCTGAGAAGGTGAAAATCAGACTTTCCTCATCTTCACTAGGGTACTCCAAGAAATTAAGATGACTAAAAAAGGGAAGGTCCTGGTAGGTAACAAAAATATGTAATGTTACATTTACTCATTTAAAATGACATGTCCTGCTAAGTTGTCCCCAACCCTCCACAGAAATTGCCCTGTGAAAGGTCTCCAAGAAACTCTTTACTGTCACATCTGAAACAGTCTTTTGGTCCTCATCTTACAGTCTCTGAGGAAACTGTAAAGAGTCCTTCTTAAAACTGAAAAAGCCAGGCACCTGGGTGGCCCAGTTGGTTGAGCATCCGACTCTTGATGTCGGCTCAGGCCATGATCTCAGGGAGGAGTCTGCTTGGGCTTCTCTCTCTGCCTCTGCCCCTCTCCCTGCCCATGTGCACATGAGCTCTCTCTCTAAAATAATAAATAAAATCTTTGGGGAAAAAACCAAACAGCTTAAAAAGTCCTTTCTGGCCCAGTTTCCAAGCCACTCTCTGCTGAGTCTTCTGGCCAGCTTCTCCTCCGGCACATGCCCGTGAGTATTATTATGCCGACTAGCTCTGACTTTAGATCTAATCCCTCACTCCATTTCAAATATGCCCCCAGCTCCCCAATCTGTCTTCAGCCCAGGCTTCCAGATCCTTCAACTGGCACAGATATCTCATGTCAAAATAGAACTAAATCGTTTTCTTCCCCAAACCTGCCCCTCCTACAGTTCATCTCTGTATTCTGTCATCCAGAAGGGTACATGTCACCCTCATCTCCTTCTTCACCCAACCTTCCTGTCCATGGAGTTCTAGAGAGTCTATCTCCTTAATACACCTGATTTGCTCTCCCTCTCCCTCCCACTGCTGAATCTCCTCCCCACCTGATCTCTCCAACCTCGAATTACATCTTTTTTCACACTTTTGCTTTGATAACTGTCTATATTTGTACTGTATACATTATTCTCATGTGATTTTATGGGCCACAGCCAGGAACCCAAGTCGAATTTAGGTGGACTGTTAAAAAACACTTTCCAATTCAACTTTAACATGTCCTTCAGGGGCTACCTGCCTCCTCCACTACTGCTTGGTACATAATGTTAGAACTTCGACAATCAGGCCCCTTTTCCCTGGGTTCTACCCCCATGTACCCCTCTTCTTTAGTCACAGTGCATGCAGTGTCATGAACATAGCAAGGTTGTTCATCTCTCCATGCTTCTATTCACAATGCTGCTTTTACTCCTTCCCCGCCTCGGAGGGAACTCATCAGTCTTTCGGCTTAGGGGGATTATCACCTCTCTGCAGCCTCTCCTGGAATAATGCCTTTAAAAGCGTCCACCCCCTCCTTTGGTCTCCTACTCTATCATATTTCTAGCATAGCACCTATGTTCCTTTATTCCATTTATTTGTTGTAAATGAAGCACAGTAATTTTCTTCCAAGTGATACTATTATTTTCTCTATTTAAACATAAGGAGATTGGGGGTAGATAGAAAATTTTGGCCACTTCTTTAGAGGAATTTATAATATAATTGAGAATTTGGATTAGATGTAGTTCCAAAAAAACCCACAAAAAGTCGTATTTTTTTCTATTTTCCTTATAATATTTCATTTATTTACACTGAAAACTAATGACACAATCAATTGCCCAAAAACTCTGCTTTGTCCTGGTAATCGAAACCTGTGCTGTGCTCATCAAGAACGGATCAAACCTATCATCAGATCAGTATGAAGGAGTAGTACTTAGCACACTTTCAGAGACATGGTAGGGTGATCAGTAAATTAATGAGCTGGAGAGCAATTTATATGTCTATAAACACTGATATATATACATATGGCTCATTTTTAAGATCTAGGTTACTAGGAGTTTGCCTGAAATAATGGGATATATATAGACATACATTTTTATGTATTTGAGGTAAACTCCTAGTAACCTAGATCTTAAGAATAAATCTAATTATTCATCAACTAATTGTTCTTTTACTTAAATTTTTATAAGGAAAATTTCAAACATACAAAAACAGAGTAGAGAGTAACTAACAATAGTAGAAAGGGTAGTATAACAAATCCCATGTGGCTATAACCATTACCGTTAAATAGCCAATCTTCTTTTATCTATACCCCCATCGTCCCCCGAGATTATTTTGAAACAAATCCCTGATATCAGGCCATTTTATAAGACACTGTTCACTTTTACCCTCCTCAAGGGTTAAGATATCAACACAGAGCATTTTGCCCCAGTTAACAGTACCAACACCTAACCAGGTCTCTCCAAAAAATGTCAGGCACAAAACTGTGATATAGGACATCCAGTTACAACAATTTCGAGTATGATCCTTTTAAGTAAATGATAAAGAATTTATGCTTAAACCACTGCTAAATTGGGGAACACTACATTAACAATAAATTCCAGCTAACAGAAGTTCTGTTCCCTTATTTTAATTTCTTCTAGCAAATAATACTAACTTCCAGATAAAATCTTCCTATTCCTCACACATTTGCAATCATTATATCAATATTTTACTATTAAAAATCTGATTTAAAGTTCCTTTTTTGACGCAAACAGGAAGAATATTTTATACAGAAATATGAACTCAAGCAATAAAATTGGTTTTTAACACTTAAAAAGTAGAGTAACAAGGTCTAATAAACCTTAATTTAACTGGCAGATAAAAAGAAATGAACTGTAAACACTTTCCAATAAATTTCACATAGCCTAGAAGAGTAGGAGAAATTCTAGCATGCAAAATGAACATGTGATATTTGAGAAGAGTAAAGTTGAATGGGAAATTGGTCTAAGACTGACAGAAAAATATTTATAAACACCTACCTTATTGCTGCCTAGACTGTAGGTTGGAATAAGATCTTGTCGGCTGCCAGACAACTGAAGAAGAAATAAAAAGGGGATTAGTCCTTTAGGTGTGAAAGTATAGAAATCTACGGTCCTGGAAATACAAGAACTTGAAAACCAAATCAACGTAATGTTAGTCAGATGGTAGCAGAGGTGTTGTCAAGACATTTGTAAATTAGGCTAGTGTGTACTTTGAGACATTATTAGGCACAATTTTTTTTAAAGATTTCTTTATTTTGAAAGAGAGAGAGAGAGCGCGTGCGTGTGTGAGCCGGGGGGAGGGGCAGAGGGAGAGAATCCTCAAGCAGACTGCACTGAGTGCAGAGCACCACGCAGGGCTCAATCCCAGGACCCTCAAATCATGATCTGAGCTGAAATCAAGGGTTGGCCGCTTAAACAACTGAGCCACCCAGGTGCCCCTCACAACTTTTTTTGTAACTAAATTGAACTTTGAGGTAGGAGGTTTACATAAGATCAGATACCCAGTTTATACTGAGGCAATAACTGGGTTGGGTAAGGGATACTTCATCTGTTTATCCCCTCTATTTAAAGGATACCAGGTTACTAATTATTTTACCATGTTCTGATCTTACAGCTTCCTTCTCTGGGTATTCGTAGCAGACATATAGACACAAACTATCTTAAACCATAGGACTTTTTTTTTTTTTAAGATTTTATTTATTTGTCAGAGAGAGAGAGAGCGTGCACAAGCAGGGGAGTGGCAGGCAGAGGGAGAAGCAGGCTCCCTGCTGAGCAAGGAGCCTTATGTGGGACTCGATCCCAGGACTCCGGGATCATGACCTGAGCCGAAGGCAGATGCTTACCCAACTGAGCCATCTAGGCATCTGTAAACCAGATTCTAAATACCAAATCTCTGCAAGTATCTCTGCATTTTAATGTTTTCTGAAGAAATGAGATTTTAAGTTGAAATAAAGTGATATTTCTTGGGACTCCTGGGTAGCTCAGTTGGTTAAGCGTCTGCCTTTGGCTCAGGTCATGATCCCAGGGTCCTGGGATGGAGCCCCACATCAGGCTCCCTGCTCAGTGGAGAGCCTGCCTCTCCCTCTGCCGCTCCCTATGCTTGTGCTCTCTCTCTCTCTGACAAAAAAATAAATAAAATCTTTAGGAAAAAAAAAGAAAGAAAGAAAGAAAGTGGTATTTCTTGGGGCGCCTGGGTGGCTCAGTTGGTTAAGCAACTGCCTTCCGCTCAGGTCATGATCCTGGAGTCCTGGGATCGAGTCCCGCATCGGGCTCCCTGCTCGGCGGGGAGTCTGCTTCTCCCTCTGACCCTCCTCCCTCTCATGCTCTCTGTCTCTCATTCTCTCTGTCTCAAATAAATAAATAAAATCTTTAAAAAAAAAAAAAAAGTGGTATTTCTTAATATCTGAGAATGTTCCCAATCTTTCAGTCTGAAATCATTAGTGATGTCATTCAGTCACTCAGGGGCCACGTGTGCCCTCCCGTTTGATACTCTCCCTACCTCTCACTTTCGTCTCTCAAACACTAAGGCTAAGGGTCAGCTGCTCTTCATTACAATGCTTGTACTGTGGTTTTTCTTGGTGTAAAGTTAGACAAAGGTAATATTTCTCATATCCACATCTTTGTCAAAAGTAAGGAAAGGAGACATAAATCATAGGGCCACAATCATATTTTTTTGTGAAGAATTATTTGTAGGCTTAATATGCACATAAATTATACCTATGTTTTTAAAAACAACAAACTTAAGACACTGTTATGAAACACACCTAACTTATTATACTCATTTATACTATCCTGGATGGCCTTTAAGCAATTCAGTTTGTAAACCAAGTCCAGACTTCTCAATTTAAAAGTAATTGAGTTAGGCCCAGAAAATTCAAATGGCTTGTCCGAGGCACTCGGCTACTTTTGCTTTAGTTCAACACTCACTCACTGAATACCCAGTCACTGAGCTAGGCACTACTCACAAAAATGAGCGAGAAACATTAGAGACTAACTTAAATGGACACTTTCCCTATCGTACTGGTGAGGACAGGGACAGAGGTGTGCACAGATGCTACGGGTAGAGAACAGGGGCACCTAAATCAGTTCGGAGAAGGGAATGGTATCTGAGGTGAGAGTTGAAGGAGACAAAAGAATTATCCAAGGAAAGAGGAGCAGGGAAGGAGAGCTCAGGCAGAGCACAGAACACAGGAGTCCATGTACTCACTCTGTTCACGTTGGGAGAGCTAATGCTCCTCCTACTCAGCTTCCCCTTTCCTGTCAACTGTTCCTTCACTGTAACTTCCTGTCAGTCAGAAAACGTGCAGAGGAAAAATACAGATCAGAGACCCACCGCCAAAGCAATACCACATACAGCAGTCTTTGAGCTACCATCTCTACATACACATTCCTGGTTCTTTAAATCATGGCTGTTCCTTCACACCATGGAATGACCTAATTCTAATCACTGTGGAATAGTCAAAGTTAACTGTATAGCGGAGAGGTTACCTAGATCATTCTCTTCTTTATCTACTGATGGCCGCCTTGAAGCTGGTCAGAAGTTAGTCCCAGGAGAAAGATCGTCAAAATTAGATCCTTCACTTTTATTTTTCATATGAGTCTTTGGTTAAAACCCAAAAAAGTCTCAATATTGCTACGTAAAATGAGGTTTAGGGTTCCACTAAGGATTAGGTTTACTGCTGGCATCTCTATTACCCTGTCTAGAGATCTACTCTAAGGCTGTGGCAGGTATGTCCAGCTAAGCCAGAAAGGGCCCATTCTGCCACATTCCTACATATTTCTTCAGCAACATTATTGTCCGTTATCAGAGAATTTTTAAAATAATTCTTCAGCCAGCAAGACTGAAATATCTTCTCCCATTACCTCAAGGCAACCAGATAGATAGCATTTAGCATCTTGGTAAAACTAACTTCCCTAGTGGAGCTTTTGTATATTCGCAGACTTAACTGACAAGTTTAATCTAAATTAATATGCGCCACTTAAACAGAGGCTTCAAAAGTTTAGATGTACCAACACTGCGGATTGCAGAGAGGCGAAGAGAATCAGGCTGGGTCAGCACCACTGCTACCAGCTCTGCTGGCTAACCTGGCGGAGACGATCTAAAGTGAGAAGGTTCTCCACAGCCAGCACACTTCTGAGGTATTTTTCAATATAAGCCTCTGAGTCAGCAGAAGCCGTGTCTTCAACATTAGCCGCCATTCTTGCTAATGTTTCTCGTTCCTCTACTCCCTGGGCATCCTGGAGAACAGAAAGTTGTGTATTAAAATTAAGTACTCTGTAGAAGAAAACATAAAAGCTTCTTGATCTATACAAATACACACACACAGAGCACTGAACTAGCAAATGGGATGTATTCCAAAATTAATGCCAGCTTTTGGAACTCAAAATGCATTTTCCCACAGAAATCATGCTATAAATCATGGTTAGATTAGCTTGCAAGGTTGAACACAGTGCCCCTGAAACACAGCACATTCTCAATAAAACGGTCCTCTGCTACATTCGTACTGCAAACGAAAACGTTACTGGTTAGAAAGGATCTGGTGGAAACAGCTAGAAATATAACCACCACTACAATACTTCAGAAATACATCACTGAGGCAAGAGACAGAAATGAGAAGCTGGGGTCCAAACAATACTAGTATGAGGCAGACACAGGAGAGTAAAAATGAAAAGTAGGGCTTTCAACGCTTTCACTCAGCAGCCGACCACGGACCACACATTCAACATGTGGCAGCTTCTAAAACTGGTCTCGATCCTCAAATCTGGAGTTACAGAGGCCAAAGGCAGTGTAGCACCCCCCAAGAAGAAAAGTATCTAGGTAAATTCTGGCTCACTGTGCTTTCCCACAGAGCCCACCCCTGCCCCTCTGACGTGGGTGGCCCATGCATATAAATGGGATGCTCGTGAGTCAGGGAGGGCCGTTGTTTGTGCATTTAATCATGTCAAGCTAGCTTAGCTCATAACAAATTACTCTTCTCAGAGAAAATCTGATACTTTATTTACTTGTGAATTTGTTCTAATAATGTCAAAAACTACAAAATATATAGCCATATGCCACTGCATCTTAAGATGCCATCAACTTTAAGAAAAAAAAAACACATTATTTTATATACCACTAAGGAGACAAGAAAAAACTCTGCCAATTAATTTTAAGATATCAAATATAAGATACATTCTAACATCAAAAGTATTTTTAAATAAAAATTTAAATGAGCTTTAGAACAGATAAAATATGGAAGGATGCGGAAGGTGGCTTACGTTCACAAAACCTCTACTTCCTACAGTGACTCATTTGAGCCTTTTAATAATCCTGAAAAGAAGCAATCATCCTCATTTTATAGATGAGGAAAGAGGAAGGCCACATAATTGGCAAAAAAGGCAAGATTAGAACTTAGAAGGAACCTAAGTTCCTAATGATTCTGAGATTCATTCAAGAACTTCATTTCTTTGTATAGCTAAGTGATATTCCACACTATGGATATACCACAATCTCCTTATCTATCCACCCACTGATGGATGTTTGGGTTGTTTGCAGTTTTAGGTTACTCTGGATTAAGTCGCTATGAGTGTTCTTATACATATCTCTATGGACACACACAGTCACTTCTCTTGGGTAAGCACCCAAAGGTGGAATGACTGGGTCTTGGGGTAGAAAGGGGAACTATCTCCTGCTCTCTGGCCTATCATCAGTTCTTTCTGCCACCAAGCTCTCAGGGCTATTGTAACAAGAAACACAAAGAACTTTTTAAGGATTTTTCATGATAAACCTAGCTCCTCAAGGAATCTTTTTATTTTGTTTTTAAATAAAAAATAAACTAAGTGCAGTCCTTTCATTATAAGTTTTAAGTCTCGCTGTGCCTTTTTCTTTATCATCAAGATTTGATAATGTGGGGGAAAAAAACACTTGCCGACTTAGATGTGTGGCTAATTAAAGAGGTAGCCAAATCACACGAGGCTATACACTTATCTCTCAGCTGATCCCCCCCCCTCAACATTTCCTCCATTTGAAAATCATATCACCCAGAGAATAAAAGCACTTTTAAAGAGGATAAAGAATCTAAAATCAGGAAGGGATGAGACAGGAGGGGAAGGAAGTTGAGAGAAATGGAAAAATGGAAGGGAGTTCACTACAGCGGTCACTGTTTCTCAACTGCATTCAAACCATTTATAGAGTTAAGATATGAAACAGCCAGAAAACATTCAGAACACATAAAACATTCAGACACAGAGAATTAATAGTAAGTCTCTAGCTGAGCATCTGAGTCGACAAAGAGTAATCTACTACAGACCCAAGATTTTGCTGCTAGTCTGCAACAGACTTAGTTTTTAAATGTTCAGCAGGCTCCAAATTAAATAGTTAAACAGCTAATAGGTACTGTGGAAGTCTAACACTTTGAAGATCCAGTACAAGATTTCTTGCAGTACAAGAAATCTAAAACAAAGCCCAAGTACTGTGTAATCTGTTCAGCCTTCCAAAAACTGATCTCTGTATTAAAATATATTTGTCCACCTACTGCTCAAACACTCAACAGAATCAACAGCATCCAGCCCTCAAAAATGAAGAGTATGATGTAGATGTGGACGGCGTGGTTAGCAGGGAGTGTTCGCTCCCAGCACATGTCCCCGCTTCTCCACTCGTGCAAAGTACAAACTGCATCTCCTCAACCACTCCTCGATTTCAGAGAGTGAGTATGACAGAAGGAATTGCTCTTCTCTCTCTTTTCCATGGTCCTTTTCTTAGAACCCTCCCTTCCCCTACCCCTGTAAGGAAGGCCTTCATTACCAGCTGTGCCACAGACCAGGTGAATAAATCTGGGATTAAATATTAGGAAGCATTTTATAAACTGTATCATGCAGCAAGCTTCATGCTTTAAAATACCCGTCAGGGGGTATTTTAAACTCCATGTGTTTGATTCCAATGACTTTCTCAGTTCAGAAAGAGAAATAAGGAGAAGAAAATAACAACAGGAACTATAATGGCAATTACAATTGACTTTTTAGTGTGTGCACAACGACTTGTATACAGCATCTCATTTAATCCTTTTTTTTTTAATTAAAGATTTTTATTTATTTATTTATTTATTTGAGACAGAGAGAATGAGAGAGAGAGCACATGAGGGGGGGGAGGGTCAGAGGGAGAAGCAGGCTCCCTGCCGAGCAGAGAGCCCGATGCAGGACTCGATCCAGGGACTCCAGGATCATGACCTGAGCCAAAGGCAGTCGCTTAACCAACTGAGCCACCCAGGCGCCCCCCCCTTTTTTTTTTAAGATTTTATTTATTTATTTGACAGAGAGAGACACAGTGAGAGCAGGAACACAGCAGGGGGAGTGGGAGAGGGAGAAGCAGGCTTCCCGCAGAGCAGCGAGCCCGATGTGGGACTCGATCCTAGGACCCTGGGATCATGACCCAAGCCGAAGGCAGATGCTCAACGACTGAGCCACCCAGGTGCCCTGCATCTCATTTAATCCTTAAAAACAACCCTGTATAGAAGCTATCACTAACCCAATTTAATAAATGAAAAAATTTAGGCTCTAAGTAACTTACCAAGTTCACCTCACTAAGAGGTGACAAAAATAAGATTTCTGTGTGATTCCAAAATGAAAGCCTGAATCTCTATTTTGTGCTATGTTGTCTCCCTTTGAGAGTTACAATATTGTTACCTTATGGCTAGTAGGAGTAAAAAAGGAGTGTTGTCTTCCAGGAGCGTTGATTTGCTTTTCAAAAGGAACTTTTTTAACAAAATACTAAAACCAGAACCTTTTTAAAAGCCACAAATACTTTTCACTATGAATCACATTAAGATTAGGAAATTTCCTCTACAAATCTATAGCATTTGCCCAAATACACAATTTCATTGACTATATATTTTTTAGGGAGGTGACTTTCAGGGAGTTAGCTCTTTTTACATGTTTATTTTTAGTAAACTCAAACTTCATATGATCCTTCACCTCTGGAATATTGGAGACAATTTCAAAAGTCACTCCACAGCCAGGAATAGAACTTCGATGTGACATCTTTTTTAGGAGACTCTGAGCAAAACCCTAGAGAAAAACAAAACAGAAAGATATGGTTTCCTACCTCAAAAACTGAGTTTTCATTAACAAAGAGATAGCACAAAGAATACTGCATTCATTCTAACCAAAAAGAAACAGAGCATATTTCCAATATAAGCAAGCTGAAATCCAATTCACTAAATACAGGCTCTTCAACTTCGTCTCAGCACACAAAACCAATTTATTAGGTTCCTGCCATGTGACAGGTCCTATACCCAATATATGAAGAATATAAACCCAAAACTCTGGAAACTGACACCGGGCATCTTGGTTCAGCTCTACTTAAAGGCTACAGAAATAAGACTGTTGACTTCAACACAATAAAATGACCTTCTAAGATGTGAGTGAGGACTGGTGACTCTTATACTTTTTTTCCTCCAGTACAATGGACATCTTGCAGCATGAATATTGACAAGTTCAGGCATTAAATTCTTGACCAAAGCAGGATCGTTATGAAGAATGATTTAAGAGTGCATGGTCATTGTTTATGCTGACTGTGCTCTTTGCACAGTTAAGAATTGAACTGTTGAATTAATGCATAGATGACTCATTTGAAGATGCTGCTAAGACTGAACATCCTGTAGAGGTTGAAGAGAGCAGGGATGAGGGCAGAATACAATTGGTGAATAAAGATAAGAAGAGAGAATTTTAAACCGACACCCAACCTTTTCCCTCATGCAAAAGGGAAGCAGGAAATATTGTGAAAACCCCCACAGAAAATAGAAAAATCAAGCCATTTGGTCTTAGAAGTACATATTTTCACAAACCTACTTAATAATAATTTCTTTCCTATTCAGTGATCTTTACTTTTTTAAAAGACTGTAGCTCTTAGAATGCAAAGAGACCACTGATTTCAGCCCTTCACTCTCCTCGACTTGAGCCGTGCAATGCTGAGCCACTGCCCATTACATCTGTCAGGGAACAGCTAAGGTTTGTTTTGTTTTGTTTTAATGGGTGGGGTGGGGAGGTGTGGAAGCTGTTGTTACCTTACCTTTTCTTTCTGTATGGAACTATTGAAGCTGATCTGCATATATTAGCATCATAAGGAAGTCCCTGTTCTGCCATAAAGAAGCAATTTTTAGGATTGAAGTATCTGAAATTGGGAGGGAAACTGGCATGCCCTAAAATACTATCATGTCATTCAGTATCAATTTGATTATATCACATCATTTCAACCAAGGGAAAAAAGGTGGCAACTTCTTGTTGTTATAACAAAAAACTGAAAAGAATTTAAAAACGAACCCAAAAGAAAAAAAAAAACCACCAGAAGAAGCTTGGTGACTCCATGATGCACCCTTTCTGTTAAGGATTCTGTGGGGCTGGTGGCTGTACCAGGTCAGTCTCAGCGCCTGGCAAGCAGAATCTCTAGCTCAGGAATGGCAAATAACTCTTCAAAATGCTCCTCAAGAGCAACTTGTCTTTTTCAATCCCTTAAAGACTTCCGAGAAAAGAGAGCCAGAGAAAAGAGTGAACGGAAGACACACCATATACGTCTATGGCTAACCCGATGACCTGGATTTTATTGATGCTGGATTGCCAAGCTAAAGAGCTGCAATTTTAACAGCATTACGAACAGTCTTCATTTCAAAGATTGATATCAGTGTGACATTTAGAACTAAAGATTAATTTTTAGGGGTGGAGATTACATCTAGGACTCTGTCAACCGTGACTGTGCTCTTTTAAATGAAAAGATTTCTTTTCATCTGTCCTGGTTTTAGTCAGTGTATTGAGAAGGCGTCGAAAAAAGTGAGCACAGACAGTTCAAAGAATCCCTGGAATGAGCCTCCCAAATCCTGTATTTGAAAAGCCAACGGCAGAAATAGTTTATGTTCTTCTCTAGAAGCTTCCTACTAAACCCAGTCATATGGCACAAGGTGCCTCATAATCCAGCTGCAACTGTGTGGACAGCCAGGGCCCCGGCCTCCGCGGCCCACCCTGTCACACTGCCGGTCACACTTGGCCGCTGGAGGTCCGAGCCTGCCCTGCCCTGTCCTTCCTCACTACCTCTGCACCGAACAGCCCGTTTCCTCCCCCGTCACCTGCCAGACTCCCCCGTCCGTGAAGGAGCGGCCGGCATGCTACCCCTCCCTGAGTTCTCCATTGCTTCTCCTGCAGCAGTCTTCCCGCACTCTGGGAGCACCTGCCTTCCAGCACTATCCCAACAGAGGTGTCTCCTGTTTATTCAGCTACACGTACCAAAGGACACTGGCAGCTGCAAGATGCAGACTAATTCTTACTCGTTTTGCTACCCAAAAGCTCGACAGAGTACCCTCTTCGAATGTAAGAGTCCACGAATTAGCAGAGATGACTGCAGGGAGAGAAAGAAGTGTGAAGGGGAGAGAAAGAAGTGCGAAGTGGAGAGTGAGTCCAAACAACGGCTAATCTGCAGAGAACTGGCACGTCTCGTGCAACCCAAACGAAAAGTCAAAAACAAACACAGAGAACTTCGCTTTGACGGGGCTCCGGGGCACCCATTTGTGACTATGGAACAAGAAAGACTCATCATAAAAACTGAACACTGTCTAGGAGGAAGTCAGGACGGCAGGCGCCGGGAACGCAGCAGGCATGGTTACACGACGGTAGCAGTCGAGTTGAAGAGGAAAGCTCAACGCTTCACAGAGCTGTGTGGACGGGAGGCCAGAGCAATCATTCCCGGCCCTGCCCTCAAGTCGGACCTGTGATTAAAGTCAGTTCTTCAACAGTCAGTTCACTAATGCCTCACCTGCCGGCCATGAACATGGACACAAATTCGTTTCCGTAACACCAGCTGCATGTCGGCCGGATGGCTGAGCTGCACTGTCACCCGCACGATCAGATACACGCGCGCATCCGCTGGGGTGCCTTTACTGAGCTGAGGACAGCTGTGCACGGCAGAGTCCCAAGAGGCTTCTGCTCTCACCTGCAGAGACAGAAAGAACACGCGTTGCCTTCTCCTCCTGAACACAAAAAACTGCACAAGGAAACATCCTGGCTTGGCTGGAGTCGAACATACTGGTCATCATTGAAGATCTACTCTAACTGGCCTGAGAGACTCCAGGATGTAAGGATGTGGCCTCCATCACTATAGTCTGGGAAGTACAGAGGATAACATGCCCGGCTGGTGGCCTTCTAAAATGTTTTTCTTTTGAAAAATGCTCAAACATAAAGGAGAGATGTGAATTCAGGACAAGGAACTCCTGTGTTATCTTCCATCTAGAATCACCGGCTGTTAATATTTTGCCACTCTTCCATTCTCTTTCTCACAACTCGTACACACGCAAGATTATTTTTTGCTGAACCACTTTAGAGTAAGTAAAAGACCTGTAACTCCACCTGCCTAAATACCTTAGCAAGTACCTGCTAACAGCAAGACCATCCCCTGACTTAACCATAGGGCAATTATATTCAGGAAATTTAACATCGATGCAATACTATTATAATACATAATCCATATTCAATTCTTTCAATCTTCTGTTCCGATCCAGGATCACTAACTGCATTTAGATGTCATGCTCCTTTAGTCTACTTTAACCTGGAATGGTTCCCCAGCCCTTCTTTGTCACTCATGACACTGACAGGCCCACTGTTGTACAGAACGTATCACAGTTGGGTGTGTTGGCTTTTTCCCCTACTATTAAAGCTTTGCATCTTAGGAATACAACCAAGGGATGATGTACCCTTCAAAGCATCCCATCAGCTTTCCTTGCTTAAACTACTTTCTCATTTTTCCAATATACTCAAAACTAGAAAGTAAGCCCCCACGGTACACCTGTCACCTAGATTCAGACATTATCAAGATTTTGCCACACTGCCTTCATCTATTCTTTCTTTCTCTTCTTAAAAAGCCTTTACTAAAGGGGCGCCTAGGTGGCTCAGATGGTTAAGCGTCTGCCTTCGGCTCAGGTCATGATCCCGGGGTCCTGGGATCAAGCCCCGCATCAGCTCCCTGCTGAGCGTGTAGCCTTCTTCTCCCTCTCCCTCTGCCTGCTGCTTCCCCTGCTTGTATACTCTCTCTGTCAAAAATATATAAAATCTTAAAAAAAAAAAAAAAAAACCTTTACTAAAGAATTTCAAAGCAAATCCCAAACACTGTGTCACTTTACCTGTACGTACTTCAGTAGCATTTCCCCAAAGGGACCACTGCTGACCTGAACTATGAATACTAACAGAGATCCTTTACCAGGAGGGGAAGTAAAATGGTTAATGGACGTAATCTGACTGCCCACTCCTTCTGGAAGAGGTTCGCTCTTCTGGAAGTTATAATGAAAGGTTTCATTTATATTTCTTGAGAAATGTAAGCATTAAAATGATTACACTGCTGAATGTTTCAGGAGACACATGGAGAGGTTAAAGAACTACTTTTCATCTGATTTTCCCTAGTTATGTTTTGTTTACCTCTCCATCGTGCTGTCTTACAATCTGCAGTTCAAAGAACTCATCCTCTTCTTCCCCGGTGAGAGTAGCATCCCATCCACCAGCTTCTGGGTCATCAAGATTATCTTGGGAGCTGAAATCATCAGCTAAGAGCGAAGAAGTTCCATTAAATCAGAGATCATTTTAAAGGGTAACGCCTACCAGCTAAATTTCAATGTGCTTAGTATTAAAATTCTCCTGCCTCAAATTTCATTTGCTTTTGCCTCTAAAATCTTACATGACATGGAAGAGGACCATTAAACAGTTCACAGTTCTTAGAAATGGATAGACTTTCAAGAAATTATCTTATCCAATCTCCTACCTTTTTGCCTTATTTTACATGGAAGGCAAATGAAGCCAAGATACCCAAGAGGTTACTCAAGGTCAGCCCATAAATGTTAATGATAGGATTATAACCCCAATTCCCTATCTTTTAGTGCACCGAAGAAATGAGAAGCGAGAGTGATTCCAATTAACTGACAGTTAAGTTGAACAAAAGGATCAATTGGCTACATGAGCCAGAAACTTGGAGGGTTGTCCCTTGGCCCTTTAGTTATTTAGTTCTAAGTCTGGTCCTCCCAACCCCCTATCCATCTTAAGCTTGTGAGTAGGCATCAAAAGTATCTCTCTAGTATGTGGGCTTGTGTGGATCAAGAATGGGCATCAGGCTGCACAAGTTCTTGATTATGTCTTGGGATGTCCGTACAAACAGGTCTTCTATAAGCTTATTCTTTTTCACTCTTACCCTACACACGTGTACAGGCATGCTCACGGCACCTCACCTGTCTAGGAACCTAACATAAGGATAGGCCTAAGTAAGCCTCAGCCTCCAAGGCGCCAGAGAACAACAAGGTAGGATAGAGAGCTGTGGCAAAACCGTGAAACCCTCTTGGATGGATAGACAGTAGAAGTGGCTAAGTATTATTTGCTTAACTCTGTGTGCATATAATAACTTTCCATATGTCTAAATAAGCTAAGTAGTACAAGATGTTAAATACCTCAGATTTTATAACTCACTTTCAGCTGGGTGGAAGAAAACCACTGAGAACATCCAAGCTTGCCTATTTAGGATAGTTAACTGTAATATACAGCTTTTCTGCAGATGTTTTAGGAATTTAACTGCTGACTTTTATCTTGTTTTTAGCTGTTTAATCTACCTTTTCATTTTTATTTTCCTTCCTTGGACAGAGAAAATGTAAAATGTAGCCACATCCAAAATATTTTACATGAAGGAGAAAAAATTCAGAAAAATGGACAGTTTCTCATAAATAAGCAATGCAGGAATGAAGAGCATAAGAACTCAGATAAAAAGTGAGAAATTTATTAGGTAATGCTAAGAAAACACCAGATAAATGAAAGCATGCTACATTAGCATCATTAGTTATTAGTCCTTTCCAGAGAGAAATCAAATTTTCCTAAGAATTAAAGAAGACAATACTTGAAGTGCAGGAAAACACCTGCTACTACATCCAAACACGATGAGGAGAACAAAGCACACACACAGCAGTTACGGATTACAGAATGAAATGTGAGAACGCGCCGGGATGAAACATAACCTACTACTGACAAAAATATTATTCTTATAGAAAATTCATTCTTTGTCAAGTGTCAGTGTCCCTCAGCATACATTAACCCTTAGGTTAACATAAAACCTTAGGCTTACGGAATTGCCTAACTGCAAACTTTGTTACAATCTAAGTGTTACTCGGACACTAATTTGTCAGAGGTAAGCCTTCAGAAAGCACCTCCTAACTTACCATTTAAGTCAAGGAATATAACAGGAATGTGTGTTTCCATCCCAGGAACTGGGGTCCTAAAACATAATGAACAAATAGCATCTCAAATAAAGCAGACTTTCTCAGCAGCATGTACTTCGAGACACAGTGTTAATCCACACTGAGAAGTATTACAGGTCAAGCCAATAATAACTGTGGGTATTGTGTTTTTGTTACAATTTCACATCAGAGATGCCCCAAAGACTTACCTGTAACTGCTGCTTCTTTTCATTGGTGCTTTCATGTATAATTATTGTATGTTCTGATACTTGAATTCAGTCTTATAAGATATATCTACCTGTTTATAATTGAAGCTTCCTTGTTTAAAGTTACTTTCTTAAAAAATTATATACCTAAGGGCCCCATATGGCTTAATTTACTATTTTTAATTTCTGTAAAGTGGCACAGAACATTTGCTGACAGTACAATTTAAGCCAGCACAAAACCAAAAACTCCTGGAGATGCAATTTTATTATGACCGAATGGTCTTTTAAGGGAATGACCCAAGTAATTAACATATTAACTTTTTTTTTAATGCTAAGTGCAGTGGTATTAAATATTGATTTAGATTCTCAGAATTCTTAATTACTTGGGCCAATAACAATATTATTTAATAAAACACAGTTTTAGGCCATAGTTATTCCAACTCATGAAAATAGTTTAACACTTCCTCTAATTCAAACTTTTTTCCCCTATGCTATGATGAGTATTCCATTAATTGGAACAGAGGCAAAATTCATAGAGAGGGCAGAAGGCTCAGTGAGCATCTGGAATGTCTGAAGACACGTGGCAGCGTTCATACCATTCAGCTGGGGCCCCTGGAATACCACTGCCAGCGGAGGGGACCATTACTGCATTCCGCTCCTCGGTCAGAGTCAGCCTCATCTCTAGAAGTTGAGCTTCACGGTCGGCATCATCCTCTGTTTTATCTAGGGCATCAGGAATGAGGATCAAATACAGATTTCTCACTTGATTTACACTTTTGTCCTGCGTATCGATAGGATTTGCCTGTATTTCAGGTACTGGTTGATGAGGGTTCACAGAAAACTTATTACTTCCCTAATTGTGATTTTTAAAAAAAAAGATGAACTATAAGCTAAAGAGGTTGGTGTACTCTTACAGAAAGGCCATCTTTGGTTCATGGAAGGCCAACATGGACCAGCACATGAATAATTTCTTCCAGAGTTAGCGGATTCAAGTACTTTTGGATAAGAAACCAAGAACATTATCACTCTCCTTAATTTATTTTTGAGGGACAATGTTTACATAGTATTTTCTCTCTTTGTTGGGGATGGGGGGAGACCTATAGAAAGACATCATTACAGTTAAATAAATGTTACTCTGAAAGGATATGACACGAATAAGTAACATTCCTATGCTCTTGCCATCCCCATTATTGATGTATTCATGTACTTCTAATTTATGGCTGCAAATGGAAATTAATTATGCACAGATTTGGGGGGGAAGGAAATATTCAACTTGCTTTTCCTACCATGTTTACTGACAAGCTTCTGCAGTTGTTGATCTAAGTACTCCTGACGTTTTGTTAATGCATTTAGCCATTTTCTACGTAGTCTCTCTAAATCCCGATCCTGAAAGAAAACAAGGGAAATTATGGCAAATATAACATGAAGACAAGATATTTGAAACCAATGCTCCAACTACCTTACTCTAAGGCTTCAAAAATATGAAGTATTATGTATCAATCTCTTTATTACCACTACTAGTTGACTCCAATCATTATTCAGAACAGAAAGTTCCAGAAATTAAAGCACTGCTGTTCTGGAACAAGACAGCTTCTGAAAGAGCATTCTCTGATATCTAGAACCAGTTTTTATTTCTACTGGTTCAAGGGGCAGAACTCCAAGTAACTAAGATCTACAATGTCCCTCTGCTAGATAAAAATCACAAATACTTGGGCACCTGGCTGTCAGAAGAACATGCATCTCTTGATCTCGGGGTCGTGAGTTTGAGCCCCACACCGAATGTAGATATTACCAAAAACAAATGAATGAATGAATGAATGAATGAATGAATGAATGAATGAATGAATGAATAAATAAATAAATAAATAAATAAATAAATAAATAAGTAAACTTAAAGAAAATCACAAATACTACTCAATAATCTTCAATTCTATATTCCTGGGAACCATCATAAGAATTCCTCAAATTTCGTGTTTCAGCCTTCAACAAATGTTTCACTAGTCTCTGCAAACAACATGTAAATGCTTCTCTCCCTTGTTTCTTGTGGGGGGATTTTTGGAGAGGAGAGGGGGGCTTTATCAGACTAAGAACTCTACCAGTCAACACTCGACTGTACACCAATCTCGCCTCATTTCCTTTCATAATAAAGTTAACAAGACTGGGTAGATCAGTGGAATGCTGAGCATACAGTGTGTATCTGGATTTCACTAAGGCACTTAACCAAATAGCTCATGGCATTCTTGTAGACAAGATGGAGAAATGTGCAATGAATCTACTTGAATGAAATCATAAGTGACTCAAATATCACATCCAAAGAACAGTGATTAATGGAATAATGTCAGCTTAAAAGAAGTCTCTATTGTTGTGCCATAGGACTCTGTATTTAACCCTATCTGATCCAATATTTTTATCAGTCACTTATAGGAAGGCAGACATTTTTATCAAATTAGAATGATGCAAAACCAGGAGAGTGACTACACTGGATGACATAATCAGGATCCAAAGAGCTCTGACAGTCCTAAACAATGACTAGCAAGACTAACAAGATAGAACTTGACAGACATAAACAAAATCTTGCAGGAGATTAGGAAGAGGGGAGGCAGGCAAAATCAAACCTGTGTGACATGGTTTAGAAGATGGAAAATAAGCAGTGTGGCCTGACTGAGGCTCAGTATGAGACAGCTCTTACAGGGAAAAGGGTGGGTGACTCCACTCAAGGAGAGAAAGAGTGTAAGGAAAAGGATCTGGAGAAATGGATTTGTAGGGAGCTCCAGGTTTGGAAAAAGATAATAGTCACAAATGATTTCCTACACTGAAGTCTACGAAACTCTGTTTCAATTTGAGAAAAAGCAGCATTTGATTCAAAATTAATTGTGTAGTTATTAAGTAACAGTATGACAAGACTCAGGAATGTGTGATTCAGCACTGGAATCAAACTCATTTGATGATGCAAACAGGTGCTTCCTTACCTGGTAGCTGTCCATGTCCTCCTCTTCCTCCTAAAAGAAAAAATGTATGATGCATAACTAAAACAATCATTTTTCCAAGAATCAGACTACACTCAACAACCAGAATCTTTTCCCATACTTGATATTTTCTAAATGAATATAATATTTCATCTCCCACCTATGCTCGCCGCCACTCTCGGTTTTATAGTTTTCAGGAAGTTGGGAGTCAAACCTTAAGCTTCTCATAGGAAAGTGAAGAACACTCATTTGACCTTTTCAGGAACCAGTACAATACTCTCCCTGCTGGGTATATAGTCCCACTCCCCAGGAGAAATCAAACACCTGCTGGCAAACAGTCTTTACAAGCCAGTAGGGGGTTTCTGCAGAGCGGGTGGGTGGTGGGGGATGTTAATCACTAGTAAGCAACTGAGGAATTTCTAAAGACTGTGATGTCTTAACCCTCAGTTTGCCATGTACCAGAGCAAAACCAACAGTCTGGTACAGTGATTCCATGCAAATGCAATATAGTAAAAAAAAGAACAAAGAAAAAAAGACATCAAAGAAAAACGAAAGAAAAAAACCTGAAAGAATTGTTCATGGAAGGCAGTTTTCTGGCAGGTTCCAAAAGACTCTCTTATCTCACTGGGGCTTTCAACAAGAACATAACCGGCACAGAAACTTACATGAAAGGTCTCATGAGTCTTGGGGGATCTGAGCGTTCTAACTTTTACACATCCAATGCCAACAGACAATATACATTCTTCCATCAGTGGTAAAGTCCCAGATTCCTGCACAGACTTCACTTCCACTTGGACTCGCCGGGACTGTCCCTGTATCACAGACAATTTTTCTTAAAATCAGTTTAATTTCTAAAAATTTGGTTTAGAGAGACCCCTACAGGCTGATGTTGAGAAAGCGTTTAACTTTGGAGACATTGTCTCACCATGTCTTAAAAGTTAAGTAGTCAACTACAAATTGAAAAACTGATCAGGAAAAATAATTTACCTTTTCAGCAAGTAGAAAGACATGGAATATATATGGCTTGCATATTTTTTAAATAAAAAGAAACATTAAGAGAAAACATTCTAACAAAGGAAATGCAAAAAAGCAAGGGACAATAAAAACTGTTCAACTCACTTATAATCAAATCAATACAAATTAAAATAAGCACAATACACCTTTATTTTCACTTACTAAACTAGTGATTATCTTTTAAGAAGGCAATTTCTGATACTGCCCAAAGTTTATGAATCAGGCGATTACATACATTGTTGGTGGGAATATAAAATGGTAAAGCTTTCTGCAAGGCAATTTGCCTTAAAAATATAAGTATCCTGGGGCGCCTGGGTGGCTCAGTCGTTAAGCATCTGCCGTCAGTTCGGGTCATGATCCTGGGGTCCTGGGATTGAGACCCGCATCGGGCTCCCTGCTCAGTGGGTAGCCTGCTTCTCCCTCTCCCACTCTCCCTGCTTGTGTTCCCTCTCTCGCGGTGTCTATCTCTTGTGAAATAAATAAATAAAATCTTTAAAAAAAATGTATATATATATATAAGTATCCCTTGACCCAGCAATTCAACTTTCCAGGAATCTGTTCTCAGTAAATAATCATATATGTGTATAAGGAATCTTAAAGCAGTGGTAAGAATAACAAAAAACTAGACACAAATAAATGTATAATATTAACAATTGTTCAAACTGTAGTGTATATAATAAAATATTACATAGCCATTAAAATACTGCTGTAGAAAAACAGAGGTAATATATTAAGTTAAAGAGTATGGTTGGGGTACCTGGATGGCTCAGTCAGTTAAGCATCTGACTCTTGATTTCGCCTCAGGTCATGATCTCTTGGTCATGATATCGAGTCCTGAGTTGGGCTCTGCACTGGGCGTGGAGCCTGCTTAAGATTCTTTCTCCCCGGGCGCCTGGATGGCTCAGTTGGTTAAGCGACTGCCTTCGGCTCAGGTCATGATCCTAGAGTCCCGGGATCGAGTCCTGCATCGGGCTCCCTGCTCGGCGGGGAGTCTGCTTCTCCCTCTGACCCTCCTCCCTCTCATGCTCTCTGTCTCTCATTCTCTCTCTCTCAAATAAAAAAAATTTTAAAAAAAGATTCTTTCTCCCCCTCTTCCTCTGCCCCTCCCCCCTGCTCTCCCTCTCTCTCTCTTTCTCTCTCTCTCAAGAAAGAGTTTGGTAACCAGACTTTTAAAAAAAGAGATTACCAAACCCAATATATATACAGTATGATCTACTTTTTAAAATAAGCAAAGTCAGAAATAAGAATAATGACCACTATCCTGGCTTCTCTGCTCTAATCCCAAATAATTTAAAACCATGCTGCAAAATGAAGAATTGAACAGAGAGAAGTTGTTCCTTCTTACACACATTTTCATAATAAATACTATGTGACCCTGTATGTTTACAATGAAGTAGATTCCCATATTCCCTAATTACTGACTTCAAAGTCGGTGTATAAATTTCAGGGATGTAAAACAGAATTTGAACAATGGAATCTGAATGTACAATTTCAAGTCAGTTACTCTTCCCCTCTTCCATCAGATCTTAATTCCCAAGAGCTCTGAGTTATCAGAGAAATCAATTTAGGCAAAGATTAATCAGAAGGCTAGATTTGAAGAGATGGGTTACAGATGTCTTTTGATTTAATATTTTCCAAGGACTATGCATCAGATATCCTGTGGAAAGAGTACCTCAAAAAACATTTTAATTGTCTAAAATAGTTTAGTCATTTCAATTAGCTACATTTTGTTTGTTTACTTTGCCTGAAACAGAAAGTAACATACTCCGTTTGTGCCCACACTGGGAAGGTGAAGTAGAGGCACTGTGGGGGAAGGGTTCAAGGCAGGCACAGGGAAGAAAAGGAAGGAAAGATCCAGAACAGCTTACTGCCCCACAGAAAAGCTTTAAACAGTATACTTAAACTCATAGATCGAACTTCCTGTAACTGCTAATATTTGAGCATTTTTTAACTACAAAACCGGCCATTTCATATGGCGAACCTAATCAGTTCTCCTCTGCCGTTTTCCTGTTCAAGAAAAGTAGGTTCAATTTTTGAAATATTTTAATTCAAATGAACCTACCGTCCAAATCCCTCTATGAACGGGCTCCATGCTTCCATAACCTCCCCTGTTACTGCTCTCCAGGTCTTCCTACATGTTACTTTCTCCCCAGACTTACCTAATTCCAACCACTGTATCTTTATTCTTTCTGTTTATGTATGAAAGAAGCCTTTGCACTATTGTTTCAGCATCCAGGTCAAGACCCACACCCTTCAAAAAAGCATTTCCTGATGAACTCAACTCATCTTTGAACACTTTTAGTAAAGGCTGTCAGGAATATGACAAATACTTATATATTCTATTTATACTAAACCACAGAAAATTATCTGGTCTTGCCTTCCAGGCAACGAATTTCTGAAGCACCCAAAGAAGATATATATATATAGCTTTAACAGATGTTCAGAAAAAGATGTTCTTCACACCCTTAAGAATCCTATTTTATGTATATATCTGATGCTATAGTTTAAACTAATTTCTTTTTCCTTTTAGTTCTTTGCCCATTAATGAATGGATTTGCTAAAATTCATTTGCTGGGGTCAGAGAACAAATGCTTATCACCTTCCTCTTCTAAAACATTCAGAAACTTAAGTATTTAAGGAAACTTTATTTTTCCTTTAACCTTTTCCCATATTCTGCTTTGAATGATTTCAACATTGGCTATCATGGGATACGATATTCTACTAAATGTTGAATTAATGTAAAGTATAGCAAAAAAGAGTATTTGCAAATCTTCTATGTAAATTCTATTAAGATATTTTCTCTTTAGCTGGCAGCATAGACATTTTACAGATTACAATCCGCCTGGGGTAAAGTGACAATTCCCACATATTTCTCTGCTGTATTGATTTCTGGCAGGCGTTCATATCTACTCAGCTGCATTTATTTAATACCTCCTGTAGTATCATAGAAAGATATTTGGTCTTTGTCCTCAGGTCCTGGCAGGGAGCTCCTAAAACTCTCAGAACTTCCTGAGGGATAATGATTATAGGTGCATCTTTTAATGACACAACTTTAAGTCTGGTGATTCTTGGTAGGCCCCCAGATAGCTTCAGGAAGGGGGCTGGTAGCCAAAAAAAACCACCAAGCCTTGATTAGAAGTTTGGAACTGTCAGCCCCACCCCAAAACCTCTGTACAGAGCAGAGAAGGGATAGAGATCGAGTTAATCACCCATGGCCAAAGCTTTCATCAGTTATGCCTACATAATGAACATCCATAAAAGCCTCCAAACAATGAGTTTCAGTGAGCTTCCTGGTTGAGGGACAAATCAAGGTGGTGGGAGGGTGGCTGGCACACCCAGAGAGGACATGGACGCTCCTTATCCCTCCTTATCCCTCCTTGTCCCATGCATCTCCCCCACCAGGTTATTCCTGAGTTGCAACCTTTATTTAAGAAGACTGGAAACAGAAAGTAAAGGGGAGGAGAGTTGGGCAAACCCCCGACTTTGCAGCCATGCTAGATAGAACTAAGGACCCGATACTGGCAACTGGCATCTGCAATGAGAGCAATCTTGTGCTTGCTTAAGTCTGAGCCCTTAAACCTGTAGCATCTGACACTAATTTCGGGTGGTTAGGTTGAAACCGAATTGCACTGTGGGACACCGGTTGGTGCTGCAGAGAATCAAGAGTATTGGTTGGTGTCAGGAGGAAAAGAACCCTTTCACCTCCCAAGTACCAAACACTGTACTTCATATACAGTATCTCTAAACCTCACACTAGTCCTACAAAGTTGTTGTTATCACATCTCCACTTTATACCTAAGGAAAGGTTCTGAGAGGTTACCAAACTTGCTCACAGATTTAGGGCTAGGCCGTGGGAGACCAGAACTGAACCCTAGCATGTTACTAGCCTGTGAAGTCCTTGTTCTTTCTGCCATGTCACATTGCTTCTCCTTGTCTTTGGAAATATTCTAATGCTGCTTCATATGTTTCTATTGTTTCCTGCAATTCAATTCTAAGTCATTTTTTTTCTTTAAAGATTTTATTTATTTATTTGACAGAGAGAGACACAGCCAGAGAGGGAACACAAGCAGGGAGAGTGAGAGAGGGAGAAGCAGGCCTCCTGCGGAGCAGGGAGCCCGATGCGGGACTCGATCCCAGGACCCTGGGACCATGACCCGGGCCGAAGGCAGACGCCCAACGACTGAGCCACCCAGGCACCCCAATTCTAAGTCATTCTTTAAAGCTTCTCTTTTTGCTTACTTAAATCTAAGAAAAGCTGGTTTTAAAATATTATAATTAGCAATATTTTTTAAAATCAAAGAAAATAGACATGAAATAGGAGACAATTTAAATACAAAGAATGGACTTGGCCAGTCTAGATTTCATTATCACCAATCTAACATTTCTGCTAACAGGAATCCAATATTAAGCTTTACAGTGCCAAAGAATTTAATGTTAACATTCAGAATGATAACTTTCACAATTTTCTTACCTGCCGGAGTTGAAAGATTCCTCCTGTTGGCACATCCTTTGCAGAAATTACTTCTACAGGGCAGTATTCACCATTCTCGTTCTGTTCCAAGATTTGGACCCAGAATTCTACTTTTCTGGTAACTTCACTCCATCTAGGAAATAGTTGAAGTTCTTGGAAAATCATACATTTCTATTTCAATACAGGCAGCTTAGGATCCTTCACATGAAAACTAGCAATGATAATGACCTCCAAACTGAATAATTCAGTAGAATAACCTGTAGTTCAGTGAGTAATACACAAATATATACTAGCAAATATAATTAAACCAAAATTAAACAAATTTAACATCAGAACTAGAAATGGCTCCTTCATTTCATTCAAAAAGGTATGATAATTACAAATCTATTTCAAAGTGGCTATTCAAAAATCTAAATATGGTAATCAGAAGTCCAGAAGCAAGTACAGTGATTATCGTTACATAGATAAAGGTAGTGATATATATGCTTGATTTAGTAACTTGAGAAGAATCTTTGCTCGGATTAATAACAGAATCAAGAAAAAAACTCAATTCTAGTTAAGGATTTGCTAAAACATTCTAAATGCAAAACAAGAAAAAAGAAAATCTGGTTCTCTTCTATAATAAGATGGAAAGCATGGGGAGGGGGGTGGGAGGATGGGTTAGCCTGGTGATGGGTATTAAAGAGGGCACATTCTGCATGGAGCACTGGGTGTTATGCATAAACAATGAATCATGGAACACTACATCAAAAACTAATGATGTAATGTATGGTGATTAACATAACAATAAAAAAATTTAAAAAAATAAGATGGAAAGCATGAATACACACTCTTTCAGTCATTCCCTTTTAACTCTTCTTTTTAAAATCGTGGTACAAATAAGCTTGCCTCCTTTCATGACTGATGGCATTTCAAAAGAACTCTGCACTAAAGACAAAATAAGTAAAACCTGAATTCTAGAGTATGTATTGATCCATTCTCCCTAGAGTTGATTAATTAGAATTCAGAATGATAAGCAACTATTTTCCAAAAATTCATTCACTCTTTATTCTTAACTAACTATACATTTAACATCTCTTCCATCACTCTTCAAAGTTCATTCCTGTAAGGAAGTTTAAATGTGCTATAAATACCCTGGAAACAATTGCATCGATCCCTGGGATACTGGTAATGCTCAGGAAAGGCTACCTTTACAAATGGCAGTATTACTCTCTAGCAATTCTTTAAAATTATAAATGGAATCAGAAGGATATCTAAAATTCACCTGTCCCGAAGACTACGTGTTTTTGCTTGGATTATCCCCAAATCCCACAGGGCTGGGTTTTTCCGAGGATCGTTCATCTTATGGCCATATACTTCAATTGCCAAAGCCCCTTCTGAAAGATGCTCAATGAAGTCTTCAGTAATATTAACAGAAAACTCCTGGAAGAAAATAGAGGAAGTATTTTCTGGTAACCTTATGATTACTTATACCCACCATCATACACCTACTTCATGGAGAAAAGAAATGAAAAAAAAAGTTTTAGTTATAGAACAGAACTGTCATCTAACATGCATAATGAATGCTCAGATGGTCTAAAGGTTCTTGACTTTAAACGTAATTATAAATCTGATTTTTAAAAATACTTTTCAGCTGTGAATTGTGCAAGACCATTGAATCACAGATCTGTACCTCTGAAACAAATAATACATTATATGTTAAAAAAAAAAAAAAAAGAAGAAGAAGAAGAAGATAGCAGGAGGGGAAGAATGAAGGGGGGGAAATTTGAGGGGGAGAGGAACCATGAGAGACAATAGACTCTGAAAAACAAAGTGAGGGTTCTAGAGGGGAGGGGGGTGGGAGGATGGGTTAGCCTGGTGATGGGTATTAAAGAGGGCACGTACTGCATGGAGCACTGGGTGTTATACGCAAACAACGAATCATGGAACACTACATCAAAAACTAACGATGTGATGTATGGTGATTAATATAACATAATAATAAAAAAATAAAATAAAATAATAAATAAATAAAAACACTTCTCACCTTGAAAATCTATTATGAAAGACCAGCATTGTATTCTGTTTTGTTAGCAATATTTGGGAAGCTATTTTTAAAGTATTAATAATTATATTAATAATTCCAACAATGATCTACAATGTCTTGATATAAAAATTAGATGCAGTAAGGTAGCAGTGTGTTAGAATAAGAATTTTTCCTAGCTTTTAGGAAGCTCATTATCTCCAATAATAGGAGAGTAAGGAAATAAATAATGATCATCAGTGCAAAAAACACCTAATTTTTAAAAATTCTCCCAATCTGTCCATCTTTACAAGATATATATGACAACATTTTACAGTAATTATTAAGCTCTAAAACAGTTTATTGAAAAAAGTCATAGAATCTACACTTTCTCTCTCTCTCGATCTTTAACACACTAAAGGTATTTCTATGTTTTAAATAGATTAGAAAGAGACCTCTCTCTTGAAAAAAAATGAGATGGATTAACTGTGGTACAGTAAAAAAAAAAAAAAAAAGAATCTAGAGTCTGACTATACTGGCTCTTCTAATTACTAGCCGTGGGTAAACTGATCCCTCTGAACTGGCTGCTGAAACAAAAAAATACTATCATCAAATACAACTATGATAAAGATCAAATGAAAGAATAACATAAAGTGCTTAGCAGAGCATTAGGTGTCCAATAAAGTTCATTCTTGTCTCTTTTCTATTTTCACTTTCTCTAAAACACCAGTTTCTTAAACTTTTCAGATAACAATTTCTCCAGTAATCTAATACAAAACATGGGTTCCTTTGAGAAAGGTATATATAGTTGACCCTTGAACAATGTGGGGATAACAGGCACCAAACCCCCATGCAGTCAAAACCCATATATTACTTTCAACTCCTCAAAAACTTAACTACTAATAGCCTACTGTTGACCAGAAAGCCTTCCCAATAACGTAAGCAGTTGATTAACACATATTTTGTAAGTTATGTTTTTTAAATGCTGCATTCTTACAATAAAGTAAGCTAGGGAAAAGAAAATGTTATTAAGAAAACCAAAAGGGGGGTGCCAAGGTGGCTCAGTAGGTTAAGCATCCGACCCTTGATTTTGGCTCAGGTCATGATCTCAGGGTCTTGAGACTGAGCCCCACGTCAGGCTCCGCACTCCGCATGGATCCCGCTTGATTCTCTCTCCCTCTTTCTCTGTCCCTCCCCTCCCCCAAAATTAATTAATTAAAAAGTAAGTAAAATATTAAAAAAAAAATAAGAAAACCAAAGGAAGAGAAAATACATTTACAACCTATGTTGTGCAAGGGTCAGCTGTATATATATTCACACAAAAGTAAATTTTGATTGTGGGGAGGAGTTAAATTCACTGACACTTTAGTGTTTTTCCCCCAGCTTTACTGAGCTATAACTGACATATAACACTGTGCTAATTTAAGGTGTACAATGTACTGATGACATTTCGGTTTCAGACTCCAACCACACTCTGAGAAACTCTGATTCGAGATACATATTAATACCAAAGTATTCAACAAAATAATGCTCATTTTATAGTTTTGTTTTTACCTAAGTAATCAAATGTTGACCAAGTCCAGAAAACAAACTTACACTGCAATGATCGAAGACAACCATGCACTGAGGTTCCTTGCTAACAGGAGAGGAGGAGGAGGTATCAACTTCGGGTGCGACAATTACTGGCTCCTGCTGATCCCAGAAGTTGTATTTGCAGAACACAAAGTGGGACAGATGCTGTGGCAACCCAGTGGCTTGGAGTATTTTAACCTGAAGGAAAAGGAAGGCTCTGTTTTTAACTCAGAAAAGGTGCAACAAGTGCCTTGAGTCAGATATTGGTCCCAGTCTTGACTGTGTCACTACTAGTTCTTCTTGACCAAATCCCCTTCACTCTGGGGCTGTTATTTCTTCATCTGTGAAATGGTGACAACAACTGTCATATTTAGTGAGAGGTTGGCACGGGGTAACAACGACCTTGACTATAAACTTCGATAACAACAACCTTGACTATAAACTTAGATGTTTTCAAGTATGTACAAGCCAATTCTAGTTTCTTATAACATCACCATCATCATCATCATATTATAATACTAATAATCAACTCAGAAAAAGAAAGTTCTCAACCATCAACACCATTCAATGACATGAATTTGGCTAACTATGGATATGTCCCAAGAACGTAAGATTGTTAACAATGATGAATGAAGAATGAAATCAGCATATATGCCAATAAGGAATATTCAGTAAAGAGCAAAAAACATTTATTTGATATTTTAAAGGATAAAAAAGAACAAGGTTCTTGAGTAGAAAGTTATATGCTATTAGAGGATTTTTTGGAAAATTTTAAAGGCATCAGGAATGTATGCTTTGAAGATCTGGAGAGATAAAGGGAGGAGATTAAAGATGGTGAATGTTGACCATCTCTGTACCAACTCTTACTGAGTGCCTTCTCCATGCAGATTTAGGGGAGAGAATCAAAGGAAATGTGCCCTGGACTGCATGAGTGTAAGGTTTTGTGATAACAACATATAGTTAGAAATATATGTCTAATCAGACTCAAATGCACCAGGAATAAATGCCCATAATGGATTTTAAAGCAGTCCAAAAATTCTAAATATTTCTTTTGGCAGTCAGTGCATTCTAAAACTCCTCCAACTATGAAGGAAACTAAATTCTAAAATTAATTAAGCAAAACTAAATTCTGATTTTATAATTGACTACGGGCTGACTTTCATATGATTGAGCATTGATCGTTTATTATGTTCTTCTCTGGTCACTTCCTGTATGTTGCATGATACACTGTGCCTCCAGTAAATAAATTCAACAAAGGTAAACTTGAATATGTGACCAAAGTTGATATAGTTCAGCAACCACAAATACAATCGTCTTAACATTTCAGGAAGCATTAATAATAACACAGAATATCAGGCAAAGCAGATGACTATTTTTCCTATACCAGGTACACATAATGGGTAAGCAATGGTTGAGAACTCCTATTTTTTATTCATTTTTCCCAACAATGGCAACAAGTGTTTGAAACATTTAGATAGCAATTCCCCCAACAGGCTACAAAAAGATAGATTGACTAATGCATTTCATCTGTCCAAACCTAACAGAGCAATCAGTGTTCAGCAATTAATTTTTTGTTCATTTTAAAAACCATCACTTTTTCATTAAGTGTTTAAAATTTTTTATTATATTCTTTAAGGTGAGACAATGTAATATTTGGGAAGATTACAAGATTTCTGTAGAACAGAGATCTAAATAAAACTCTCTGCCACATATCAGCTTCTGTTTTTGAGCAGATTAAATTCTTAGTTTTCTTAGGCTGAGATTTCTCCTATGTAAAACAGGATAGCTACCTAATGATACTGGCGTGAGGACTGACTATAACAATGGAATGAAATGAATGAAAACACATCCAAGCATTGAGTGGACAGATGTTGGAAACATACTTCCTTGTGATTAAATTCCATCGGAAAGCCAATATTTTTTTCTTAGAAATCAATCTCAATTTTAAGGTTGAAATAAATTATAAGATTTCATATGCTGACCTATATCCTAAAGGCAACTTATCAGGAATAAGAACGGCCAGGAATGAAGAATATCAGGAATGAGGAATACCCTGATATCCAGAACATAGTTTTTGTTTGTTTTTTGTTTTTTAAGTTTCTGCAAACAGAAATCAAAATCACCACAAGGTGTCAGAATACCACAGACTTTGACTTGCCACTGCTCAATATAAAGCCCAGGAATGTCAGAAGACATGCTGTTTGGGGTTTTAAAATATATTCATTTAATTTAATGTAATTTAAAATATCAGTATGTTAATATGTGCATACTTATTTTCATCACAGAAAAATAAAACCAGACTGCTTTTATAAGCTGGTGGTACTTATCGCCTATTATTGTTAAGTGTCCCAAACTGATTTCATTTTTTCCACCAATATTTTGTTTACTTTCATACAGTCTGTCTTCCTCCTTTTACATAAAAGACTATTACATGCTTAGAATATGGTCTCTAAAAACCACTTCCCACTGAAACGAGCCAGGTTCCTTGGAGAAATGGCTGATTCCAGGTCTGGGATAAGAAAGGTCCAGGATGTAGGGCGCCTGGGTGGCTCAGTTGGTTAAGCGACTGCCTTCAGCTCAGGTCATGATCCTGGAGTCCCAGGATCGAGGGCCGCATCGGGCTCTCTGCTCGGCGGGGAGTCTGCTTCTCCCTCTGACCCTCCTTCCTCTCATGCTCTCTGTCTCTCATTCTCTCTGTCTCAAATAAATAATCTTTAAAAAAAAAAAAAAAAAGAAAGGTCCAGGATGGGACTAGAATATTCCTCATACCAGAAAGCGAGAAAGCTATCAGAGTTTATGACAGTTAGGGTTGTGTCAAAAGGACTCGAGAGAGGAGCCCACAGGCCAAAGATGGAATCATGTGAACTTTGATATAGGTAATAAATACACGGATTGAAACACATCAAGGGTGCCTGGGTGGCTCAGATGGTTAAGCATCTGCCTTCGGCTCAGGTCATGATCCCAGGGTCCTGGGATCGAGTCCCACATCAGGATCCCTGCTCAGCGGGGAGCTTGCTTCTCCCTCTGCCTCTCTCTCTCTCTCTGTCTCTTATGAATAAATAAATAAAATCTTTAAAAAAAAAAAAAAGAAACACATCAAATACGCTTACACTGCAGAGTTCATAATGATATTTGGACTAAAAACAAAATCTCACTGGTCATTAGTAGGAAAACCAATTAATTATTTTGAAAATGAGGTTTTTTTAAAAGGAGAAAAGAACGGAGCATTTACCCCGCCTCTCCTGTACAAAACTGTATCTCTGAGGAGCAAATACTTGATGTAATAGGATGATTCTTTCTAGAAAAGAATTCTACCTAATAAATGACGGTTGACAGGATTATAGTATCATTCTTTTCTAACTCCTCATGAAATATCTAGGTATAATCAGCAAAAATTGCTAACATCCCCAAAAGAACACCAGATATAATGTGCCTTCTGACGGAAGAACACACCATCACCTATAAAATGTCCTTGCTACCCCCTTTCCCTTATATCACCTTCATATCTAAATACCAATTTACAGTAAATACAGCTTAACACATTAAAAAATACAAATCAGCAAAATCAAGATTATGAGAAAATACAACCCAGTTTCTACGATAAATAAACTATAGGGTAAGAGAGAAAGAGAGAATGAGAGAGAGGAAGCAAGCAAGCACAAGTGCCCGCACCTAAAGATTAGGATAGATTTAAGAGACACATCAAACAAGACAATCAAGGAAACTGACTGGGTATCTCATATTAAGGAAGTATTCATTTTTGTTTATGATATAATGGGTTTTTTAATGTACTCTTCTTCTAGAGATAAATACTAAACTATTATAGATGAAATAAGATGTCTGGAATAGCTTCAAAATCACCCACGGGAAGGGGACAGCACAGACAGGCTTAGGCAGATGAATGAAAGAGGCAGATGAATGAAATAAGACTGACCATGAGCTGATGTTGAGGGAGGGTGGGTGGAGATCAATAACACTTTTCTCACTACTTTTGTATATGTGTGCTATCTTCCACTAAAAAAATCTCAAGATATTTTAACTTCATTTTTTTCTTAAAAAAAGCTTATGTTATCCAGGATATACTACTTTTTTTCAGTGATGACTTTCCCAAGCGAGACAATATCCTTGTACTGTTGTCAACTTTCATGCCGCTGCACTTACTAGTCCATCACCTTTGAAATGGCCCGTTAGGGAATGATCAAGCCTATGTCTCAACCTTCAGTAATCCTATAACCTCAGAAAAAAAATGTTCTACGATCAAGAATAACACAAAGATTAACGTTTTAGTGAATTAAGAATTTTCCCCCACCTTCTGAAGCATCTGACTTAAATGTCTGAGGCCTTCTTAATACATGCAAAGACCCTTGAAAGGAGCCCATCTCTAACAGCTATGGCTTCCCCACAGCTTGCAGCGAATGTGTCACTTACTCCTTTCGGTATCAACTCCAATTCTAGAAATATTTACTGAGACACAGCACTGGACTGAGGATGGATGATGAAATTAGAGTTAAGTTTAGGCTTCTTTCACTGCACCTTTGAATGGCCTTCTTCTCACTCGTACACTGTTCCTATGACCCTTGTGGATTTCTCTTCCTCAAAAACCTTTTAACTGGTTCCTACAGTGATTCTCAACTGATGGCACACTGGCCCAGCTAGGGTGTGTTTGGAAAGGTCTGAGGGGAATTTTTTCAGTGTCATAATGTGACAGAGGCAGCACTATCTACTCCAATTGGGTAGGAGTTCAGGAATGTAATGACCTACTTAAAATCTACCTAGCAATTATCCATGAAAAAAGCACAGCACCCTATGAAGACAGAGTTTTGCATAACATGCTCTCCTTCAAGTTCACTCTGAGTCTTGTTTCCAGAAATTTTCCTCAGACTTTACTTTCTGAATTAATTACCTCTCTTCTATGTCCCCAAATATCTCTTGTCTACCTCTCTCAGAGCACTTGGGTCACACGATATTGGAGTCTTCTGTTCACTGTGTGTCCCTCTACACATACACACAAACTACACAGGCTGCTCCTTAAGAGAAGAAATCCTATCTTTTTCATCTTTATATTCCCAGTACGATGTCTGACAGATAACACTCAGCAGCGTTCACGAATGGCATACCTGGGAAGAATGGAAAGAGCAGGGTTTGAGACTGGCACATGCTGGAATAGCATACACAAAGGCACATGGGTGAAGAGGAACAAAAAACATGTGGAAAAACAGTGTGAAGAATGAGGTATAGTAGGAGCTTAGGAACAGAACCAGGGCCAGGATAAATCTTGAGCCTCAGCAGAAGTCAAGAGGTTCAATAGGAGGAGGAAATTTATGTGAAAAAACTGTGCTTCTCTAGAGAGAAGTTCAGATAAACATAAATCCATATAACTTTGGAGCAGAATGGTTCAGAAGAAAGAGGTGACTTATCCAAGGCTTCACAGAAGCAGGTGGAAGTACCTAGCTAACTGGTTAGTACCTGTGAAGTACCTCACAGTGGAAGTACCTAGCTAACTGGTACCTGTGAAGTACCTCACAGTGGAAGTACCTAGCTAACTGGTAAATCAGTATATATAATGAAATATGGTCTCTGTAATACCAATTCTAAAGATTTACTTAGAGACAGATATTTTCAAAATTCGACAAGAACACAATATTTATTGTCTAAATAGCCACAACCCTCAAAATCAACTACACTTCCACTACTTCTAAATGAAACTGGGACTTACCATGCACACAAGTCTGTTTTCCTGGGTTTCCTTATCACAGGAGAGATCTGTGGTGTCATCACCTCCAGCAATTCTTTCCCCAATGTCACCACTTATTCGCATCACCTCGACATGCAGCCGACCTGCCACCTAGAACAATAGAGGAGAAGCAGGTATTCTTTCCAGATTTTGTTTTTTCTTCTGTTTTAGAGTTAAATGGTTGGGTTAATGGTAAATGAGAATTTAGAAGCCTACGTTCTAACAGTTACTTTCCCTCAAAGTACATGGAATAATCACCATCAAGCAGATGGAAACACAGGTCTTACTAATTAATAATACATATAAATAGCACTTGTCATTATTAATGAAAAAGAGTCACAACAATATACTATAACCACCCTACTGTTTCTTAAACTTTTCTCGGAAGGACACAAGGCATGAAGAGAAACTAACCTCTCCTTTCTGGTTGACAATTGGAACAGCATACTGTAACTTCACATCATAGAAGAGGGACTCGAGGAAAACATTCGCCACCCCAATGAGACTGTGATTTTCCTGCTCATCATAGAATGGATCAGCACGCTTGAAGTAAGACCGTATGAGCTTTAAAGAGATTTGGAACATCACAACTTCAGAAATCACTTAAAATAAATTAATTTAACCTACTACCACTTTTTGATGGCCTCTCATAAAGTCATTAAACTTAGCTTAAGCACAGCACTGGATTACACGACTCTCTCTTCCTCACTCCCATTAGAATGGTGGTCAGCATACTTCACCCATGACAGCCATCTCATAATACATCATTACGTTTATCACTTCTCCTTTATTTGGAAATCTTGGCATGAAAATAGAGAAAACCAATTGACTAGAAAAAGAAGTCGAGTGTACAAAAGTACTCTTTAGTTTTCACTCCTATTTATTCCACTTGTTCCTGCCAAATCATAAGATGCATTGCCACTAACAAGAGCTGACCCCCTTACATGAGAGTAGTTTGCTTTTTTGTAATTTGTTAATGTTGTTTTATTTCTGGGCTGAAATACAAGAGGGGTATAGAAGAAAGAGGGGGAAAAAATTTTAAGAAAAAATGTCATCTAATGATAAAAAGTCATTTTTATTGATGATAATCTGGAAAAAATAAATATTTTTTTAAAAAACAAGAGGCTAAAAAAAATAAAAATAAAACACAAGAGACTAAAAAGTAAACAATTGTATGTGGAAACAAGACCAGCAGGGTTGAAAACTGTAAAAATATACATAATATGCATTTCTGTTTTAAAATATGCATAAGTACATGGTTGACCTAAATGGGAAAACCTGCAACTTAAAGAGAAAGTTCCAGAGTACAGCTCTACAGCACCTACTTTAGAATCAGAACTCCTTCCAAATCTGCTCTTAATAGTACAAATATTAAGATACCACTAATGTTCTCTTTAAAAGAGATATTGTAGGGCGCCTGGGCGTCTCAGTTGGTTAAGCGACTGCCTTCGGCTCAGGTCATGATCCTGGAGTCCCGGGATCGAGTCCCGCATCGGGCCCCCTGCTCAGCAGGGGGTCTGCTTCTCCCTCTGCCCCCTTCCCTCTCGTGCTCTCTGTCTCTCATTCTCTCTCTCTCAAATAAATAAATAAAATCTTAAAAAAAAAAAAAAAGAGAGATATTGTAGGTTTCTATTTGCGAGATTAAATGTGTGGAGAAATGGGAAGAGAGATAATAAGGCATGGTCTCTGTCCTAAGTAAATTCACGGTCCAGTACAGAAGTACACACATGTGACACCAACAGATGTCAGAACGGAATGTAGAAGATTCTACTAGAAATCCAGAGAACACAAAATGAGGAGAAGAAAGAAGATGCCAGAAAAATAGATTATTTTTGATAATTATTATTTTTTTCTTATGTTTTTTTATTATGTTATGTTAATCACCATACATTACATCATTAGTTTTTGATGTAGTGTTCCATGATTCATTGTTTTCGTATAACACCCAGTGCTCCATTCAATACGTGCCCTCTTTAATACCCATCACCAGGCTAACCCATCCTCCCACCCTCCTCCCCTCTAGAACCTATGGAAAGAGCCAAGATGTCTATCTACAGATGAATAGATAAAGAAGATGTGGTATATATATACAATGGAATATTATGCAGCCATTTAATAATTATTATTAAGATTCTTGATTAGCCAAACAATTTAGAGGATTAAAATAAATATTATTCTAGAAACAGGATTCCTATGTTAGCAGAATGAACAATTCTTCCCTAAAATGGGTAGTCTCCTTCCTGCTTGGTTTCTTCTATGACTACCAGTTCCGTAATTTTTCTCAAGAGAACTTACCGGGGTATCTTCTTCACACTCTTTCCACTCCTGATAAAGGTCTCTCATATCCAGCAGCCTGTTGTCCAGTTTTTCTAGAGACCAAATCTGTTTTCCTTTTCCTTTTCTTCTCACCTGGATTGCAGGTTCACTAAGAAGAGAGCCTCGCTGTAAAACAGTAAGAGTGACCATGTGAAACACAAAGATATCCACCATGGAAGCCAACCCTGAACATGCTACACCCATCAGTCAAATGTCATCAACCAAAACGGAATTCTATCCTTCTCTAATCAGTTCACTGCAAAACTTCTCAGGAACCTTTTAAGCTTAATATAATGCCATTATATTCAACTGTAATCAAAATTTAAATTTAAGTATATAAATTAGATGTAATTTAAAAAGTAAATTTATATAGTAAATTATTCATATAGTAGTTTATTCATATAGTAAATGGGATAGAAATTTAAATTTAAAACCCCAAAGACTAAATCATGTTTAATGGGAAATTAAAAAGGTTTTATTCAGGCCATCATCTGACCAGAGAGTATTTGTGGGTAGAAAAAGAGTCATAAGCATTGAATGGCAAGGGAAAGTCTGCTGGGATTGATAGCTAAGAAATGATCTTTTACCTTTCAAAAGTTTGAATTTAAAAAATTTTTTGCGGGGCGCCTGGGTGGCTCAGTTGTTAGGCATCTGCCTTTGGCTCAGGTCATGATCCCATGAGCCCCGCATCAGGCTCGATGCTCCGTGGGAAGCCTGCTTCTCCCTCTCCCACTCCCCCTGTTTGTGTTCCTCACTACCTCATTCTCTCTCTCTGTCAAATAAATAAATAAATAAATAAACAAATAAATAAATAAATTTTTTTTTGTTTTGAATGGGTAGTATCTTAATGTGGTACAAAACACAAAATGTTTAGAAGAGCAAACTGTGAAAAGAATCCCCATTTACCCATTTGGAGGCAACAAATGATATCAATCTGTAAATACACGTAGTTTAAATTTAAAATTAAAAAAACAGTATGAACTAGATAGAGATGCTGGTCATACAACACTGAATGGACAAAATGCCACTGAACTGTTCACTTTTTTTTTTTTAAAGAAAGATGGGGGGAGGGGCAGAGGAAGAGAGAGAGAATCTTAGGCAAGTTCCACACCCAGCACCCAGCACAGAGCCCCCGACTTGCAACATGATCTCACGACCCTGAGATCGTGACCTGAACCAAGAGTTGGACTCAACCAACTGAGCCACCCAGGTGCCCCTGAACTATTCACTTTAAAATGTTTGTGTTATGTATTATTTCGCCAGAAAAAACCTAGAATTTAATGTTTTTCCAGCTTGTAAAAGCAATGTGGGTGTTTTTTTTTTTTTTAAGCTTTTATTTATTTATTTTAGAGACAGAGAGAGACAGCACAAGTGGGAGGGGCAGAGGAAAAGGGAGAGAGAGAATCTCAAGCAGACTCCACACTGAGCTCAGGGCCTGACACGAGGCTCAATCTGAGCTGAAACCAAGAGTTGGATGCCCAACTGACTGTGCCATCCAAGTGCCCCAAAGCAATGTGTTTTAATATAGAAACAGTTTTAAAACCACAACTAGAAAATAAAAATACCCCTGTGTATCTCCCCCAGAGAGACATACCTATCAGTTATCAGTTTAGATTTATTGCATAATTTATCAACTGTTTGGATAGGTCTACTCAGGACTTTAGGGAATTGTGAAATACATCGATGTTGCTTTACCATTTCGCCTATAATGATTTTCAAAGAAACGGAATTTACATAATGAAACAAAGATTCTGAATTCTGAAGCTCAAAAACTGCCATTCTCTCATACTCTAAAGGTCCTTCTACCTCTACCTTTAATACCCATCACCAGGCTTTAATACCCATCAGCAGGCACTCAGCCTGCTAGGGAATAAATACAAAAAGCTCATCAGGGATCCACATGGAGTGGTACCGCAGGTGGAGAATGCTAGAACGGGGAGGAAACAGCAGCCAGCAATATCCTGCAGCATCATGACTTGGCCCTCCAGCAACTACTAACAAGAACTGGAAAAAAGAAAAAAAAAAAGGAATTTCTGCCTCTTACCAAAATCACGAGAGAGAGGTGAGTACAAGGCCAAGAGTAAGACCAGAACAAACAATAGTGCTCACAGCAAGGGCAAGACATTAAGTGAAATGGAAGCTTTCAAGTACCAAAAACAAAAGGTCTTATTGGATAAAAGAGGAAAGACCCAGCCTGAGTTAAAAAAGTCTCTCTCCTTAAGAAATACTTCTTTGTCCAGCTCCTCTCTCTGGGTGAAATCTGAAAATACTAATCTATTAAATCAATAGTAGTAGTGTAGATTAGTAGCCATTAACATGTTAACAATGGCTGCCGTGACCCCAGCGATGTGCTTCATCTCTACCAGCCATGCAAACGGCCCCAGAACACACTATCAGCTGTCTAGGAGAGAGGGAGGCCCAAAATGACTTGCGTCACTTCTAGGTACTGACTTGGCTGCCCGGAGGCACGGTTGCTCCTTCCAACGAAGCCTGAGCCAGGATACACAGAAAAGGGCTACAGACAGTCATGCTGTATGGGGAGAAAATGGTTATGTTTCTGTTTTGCCAATTCAAACACTACAGAATGGAAGAAGACCTTGCTCTGCTCAGTCTTCTAGAAGAATCTAAGCCCATGATTGGCTTTCCTCTACCTCTTTTTTGGCTGAGTGCCATTGCACCTGTGGTTTGCCCTACAAATGCCAACAAGCAAAATAAAGTTCTAAGTTCAGATCACACACAGAACGTGTATCAAGAGACAAGTCTCCATAGAGCAGTGAGTGCATCACGTTCACAATACCTATATTACTCAAAACATTAAGCATCCCTATTTGCCAAATATCTACTCTGTGAAAACAATGACCTTGAGGCTGGGATGCCACAAGAAAAAGAAAGATGTGGTCCTTGCTACCAAATCAGAATAGAACACGCAAGCATCCATTAAAGCTTTGTTGTGTCAAATACTGTGGGAGAAACAAAGCACATGGACCCTCAAAATATATATCTGAATACAAAATTCTATGTACCATCAAAAATTATGTATGAATATGACTGAGAGCTAGAAAAGGGCCTAAATAACAAAGAAAACAACTGGATGGCTAGGATAGAAAATTTTGATGGGACTTTCCCCCTACAATTTATTAAATGGTTATTACATTATACCAAAAAAAAAAAAAATTTGTGATCATGAATACACACATGAAACAACCAATAAACAGTTTTGCAGAGCAATCTATTAGCAAGTGAAAATAACATGATACACGTAAACTAAACACGGAACTTAGGGGAGAGGGGTTGGAGGGTGGTAACAGAATGAAGGGGAAAAACTACTTTCTGAAGATTCATCAGGAAAGACTTCCCAGAAGTCATAGAAACAGACTGAAGAAAGGAAGCTGAGTGAAATAAATTGGTGGGGTGTGGTGGGAAGAGGTGGAGAGGGTATTCTAGTGGACAAAGGACACATACGCACAAAGGCAGAGAATTAAAAGCAAATAAATTCTACTCGAGAGAGGAGAACAAGTCCAAAAGGATGCAGACTGTAGAAAGTGTAAGTGGGGTTGAGGGCAAGCCCACTGGTGTTTAAATACCACTGGTGAAACAGACAACAGTTTTCTCCAGTGGTTCTCTGTCTCTTCCATTAACGACAACCTCACCTTCCTGTTGGCATCGAGGCTGGAGGTTGGAATCTGCAGGGTTACTTTATACTCTGTTCTTTTATCCAGTTCCTCTGCAATGTAACTAGCTTCTCTCACCAACAGATTGGCTTTCACAATTTGTTCCCTCAGCCTCATCAGGCTATTATTCAGCGTTGCTTCTCTTTAAAAACAAGTGGGGGGGGGGGGGATAACTATCAAGCAGCACATCAGAATATTATGTAGTACATAATATGTTAATGCCAAACTGCGAACCAAGCTTTACAACTGCCTTGTGCACGCAGCGACTATATTACTGACACCGACCTATGCACGCGCTTGTATCTGGGCTATATTGTAAGTACTGGCACACGCTCGTGTAACAAGCTGGCCGTTGATTAGGACAGTGCCTCAAAAACTTGACTGTGTATAAAAATCACCCAGGGATCTTGATAAACTAAAGATCTTGACTCACTAGGTCTGGGGTGGGGCCTGATACACTATATTTCTATCAATCTCCACCTGATTAGAGATGCTGCCTGTCTGCAGACCAGACTTTTGAAGAGCAAGAGGTTAGTTAAGTACAGTCTGTAACCATGGATGAGACATTTTAGTGCAATGCTAATTAGCCCATATAGAGTTCAAACTTGCAATCTGCATCTCACTAGCACCATGCTTTACCTACCTGAGCTAATCAGTCCAGATAACCACCTTTCTTTTTTTTTTTTTTTCCTTATTTTAAAAAGCATCTACCCAAGCTTCAGAACCTAAGGTATAATACAATGATAAAGTATAACTTCTAAGTACAAATACTTGTTTATTCAAATCCAAAAGCCATACAAACTAAAATGGGGCAGCACCTAACATGGGCAACTTTAAATAAATCAATATAAATTGGTAATTCCCGTTTTTCTCAAAAATGAAAAAAAAAACAACAAAAAAAACCCAAATGGTTCTTAAGCTGTAACACTCTCTCTTAATATAATTCTTTTTCAAGTAATGTCTAGATTTCTCCATACTGTATCATACCTAGGTGAGGTAAAGTGTTGAGCATATGCTATGCACACGTAATAAAGGCGCCATGCACCTACCTCTCTTCGGCCCACTGTCTCAATCGCTGTTGAGCACTGGGTGAGTGGAAAGAAAACCTGTCCCCACTACGACAGTTTTGTTTCTCAGGAGACAGCCTTCTTCGTAGCTGCTCCAATTCATGTTCATACATAAGCCTCTGGCGCTCCAATGCAGATCGTTTTTCTTCTTCATGCTGTTGTTCTAGGCTGTTCAATATCGACTGCATTGGATCTAAATAAGGTTTTTTTAGAAGGTAAAAACAAATGAAAGGTCACAGTACAACACAATAGATTTCAAATGTGGTTCTATACTGCTGTTTGGCATCCTAATTAGTAAATGAAGATTCTTGAAGACAGTTTGGAATAAACTCAGTGTTCCTTACTCCCCATTCCTCATCATATCATCTCTTCTGTCAAATACATGCTGAACTGTCTTCCACAGAGGAAAAGCAGGTCTAGTGTATGTACTACACATAACCTAAGAGTGACAGTGGCAGTCAAATTTCAAACCTGAGAAATTCTATCAGTGAGAACAAAGTTGGCAGTGATTAGTACTCAAGGCTAAAAGAATGAAAAGTTTTTATAAATGTAATAAATTAAGAGAATATAGAGAATAACATAAAGATTTCCTTTTTTGTTAATATTTAAAAGGTCTCAATCGTAAACATTTTTAACTTTCCATCAACTTCAAAAGACTCTAAAATGCACAGATCTGCTCACCATTACTACCCAGAGCCTTCATGGTAACCTCCATTTGCGCATATTCATAATTGAAGTTGATTTCACTGGACACCTCACTGGAGGAGTCTCCGTCTACATCGAGCTGGTCAGAACTGGTATCATTCTTCGTGGAGGTGTCATGTTCCTCATCCTCTCGATCTGCTTTCTTTTTCTTTTTAGGCAAATTCAGTCTTGGGGGAGGGGAAGAATATTATTTTTAAAATAAAGATACGCACTTATTCCATTCATTAAATACTGGCATTTCCTAGATGCCAAGGGGGTACCATGTAAGTGTAAGGCAATTACTACACTCTGGAATTTTATCCTCTAGTAGTAGAAATAAACACACATGCATGCACAAATAGTTACAACAGACCATGTGACTCAGGGCCACATGACTGTGACAAGCTAGGTGTTGAAGAAAAGCTGAGGACCGCTGGAATAACAACGGAAAAGATGACAGAGTAGGAAGTCATCTGAGCTGAGCTTTACAAGTGGGAACAGCATGAGAAGAGATGTGGAAATGGAAATTCTCATAGTCTCTGGAGAAATTATGAATACAACAACATAGGGACACACAAAATTTGTACAGCAGAAGTTATAGGAGATAATGATGGAAAGATCAACGCAACTCAAACTATGAAGGCTTTGAAAACCAAGCCAAGCAGTTTACACCTGATTTAGTTTGAGAAGGAAGAAAAAGAAAAATATTTTCTGCACACTTTGTGCCCCTCTACCCTTTCTTCAGTAATCAAAATATCGACTGGCCCACAAGCAAAGGATCTCCATTAGCCATAAGAAAAGTCAGTCTGATACCCCAAGCATGGTGACCAGTGACAGGAAGAGGAACAGACCAGGACTGTAGTTCTGTACAATCTCCAGCCCGCCCTTCCCTGGCAACACAACACCAGTTTTCTATGGAAAACACTGTGTGCAGTCCCAGCGCAGGCTCTTTCTCATCCTCCCTTGTAGTTAGGAGGCAAATTCTAGCAAATGAGACAAAAATGGAAGATTGCTGGGGGCTCTAGGAAGACTTCTGCTTTTTCTGATCAAGCAGATAAGGCTAGTACCACCTTCTCCCTCATTCTCTTCATACGTGCCTGGATGCTGCTTTGATACCTGGAGCGGCGTGGCCATCTTTAGACCACAGGGAAATGCCAAGACAAGGAGACCGTGACAAGCCTTCTGCCATGACAGTTTTGAGAGGCTTAGCCAAGGCCAACAACCATCCACCTTTGGATTTCTTATTTGGTCAGTGAAACAAACTGTTTAAGCCATTACAGTCAAGTTTGCCATTACTTGCAGCCGAAAACATTCCTAAATAAAATACGAACTTTATTTTATGAATAAGGAAACCAAAACTACTCTTTTCCAATAAAAAATAAACAAATAAAAAGGTAAGCAAGTCAGAAAAAAAAATTAATGAATTCTTACACCAGATGGCAAAACAATCATCTTGCACTGGGAAATAAAAAGGAAAAAAGTAAGTAAGTAAACTCCTTATTTTTCCTGAGAGTATTGTTCATATGTCTCTCAGGCTCAAAGCATACAATGAACAAATCATATACAGTCAGTAAATACATATGTACAAAATACTGTATACTTTTTATGGAGTTAATTTTACCTTCCAATATACATTCTTCTGTTTCAAAGTATAATCTTCAATAAACTCTCTTTAAGAGCCATGAATAATGTCATACCTGAAGAAGTGGTTGTTTCCCCATAATATCCTGTCCCCGTGGTGGAGTTGTATAGGACTAGATACGGAAGAGCCATTTACAAATGTTCTGAGGGGGAGAAGAGGTCAATGCAAACAATGATTATCATGTTTTCTCCTTTAATTATCCCATACTATAGAGATCTATTTACTAGGAAAAATGAAATAATCAATTCCCCTGCCCTCAGTGAACTTTATTTGTATTTACTCCTCTTTTCTGCTAAGAAATGCTTGCAGTACTAAATATAATCAATTATTATCCTCTACTTTTCAAAGTTCCAAATTTGTTATATAGCATATTAAGGAGTAAATATGGAGCCTTTACAGCCAACAGTAAAAAGCTGGTAGCAATATACATTACAACTCAAATGAGTATGTCCAATCTACATGAATAGTAAGAGTCAATCAACCAACTAGACTCTAGAAATGTAAGAAATGAGACCTATGCTAAATGCTTCTGTAATTTCCTAGAGCACAGAAAAACGTTCATATTCTATCAATGTATAAAAGATTTATAAGGTCCACTTGACTGGTTATCTTGACAATGGAGTTCAACAGAAGGGTGGATGGAAGGATATAAAAGGAAGAATTTGCAGGGGCAGGAAATATACAAAAATTATGCATACCACTATAAGACTGATATTCCTGGAATATCAGTTCTATCAAGCCTCTCTCCTGCTGAAGGACTCATTTGCTTAGACATAGCATAAAGGCCCTACAAAAGGAAGCCCTATTTATCTCTTCCTTTCTTTCCCCCTTCTAGTGAATTCTCAACTCCAGCCAAAAAAAAGGTTTATGTTCTGTCCCCTAAACATGATTGATTGACTCTTCTTTCAAAGCCAGGCTTATTCCAGTCCTGCAACCTGGAATCCTGGAATAGAGTTCCTGCCCTCCCCATTCTCCCCACCAAGTCCTACTCAGCTTTCAAAGCCCAGGTGGTTTCTGCTTCCTCTGTAAAAGCTGCTCGTCCCTCCAGCCAATAGTGTCTTAGTTTCTTTACTGTCCTAAAGCACTTAACTGGCTTTATATTGCTAGTTACTTTTTATGTATATGCATATACATAAAATCCTACTCTCTATATCCGGATTTCACTTACCATGGGGGTTTTTAAACACTAAAAGTAACTGGTCCTCCTATAGTCTGATTATTCAAAGCCATGAGCTCAAAAATTATATTAAGAGGGAACCTACTAAAATTAGCAGATTTTAGCCTTTCTGACACAAATTCCGTAAATACAATGAGGAGTTCAATTAAAGGCAAACATATATAGAGGCTAATTTTTAAAAGCCACAGCAGTTAAGCCATAATTAGTAAATAAAAGCATGATTATAATCACAGTTTTCAAAGTGTGGTCTCTGTGGGGTCCCCAAGATCAAAGCTATTTTTATAATAATGCTATCTTGCCCTTTTCACCGTGTTGACATTTATACCAACAATGAGTAAAACTGCTAGTGTTTTAGCACAAACCAAGGCAGTGGTACCAAACATTACTAGTAGTCACTGGACTACTCACTGCCATACACACAATTTTTAAAAAATGTTTCCTTTGAGGATGTCCTTGATGAAGCAGTCAAAATTATTACTTTTTAAAAATCCTGGGCGCCTGGGTGGCTCAGTTGGTTAAGCGACTGCCTTCGGCTCAGGTCATGATCCTGGAGTCCCTGGATCGAGTCCCGCATCGGGCTCCCTGCTCGGCAGGGAGTCTGCTTCTCCCTCTGACCCTCCCCTCTCTCATGTGCTCTCTCTCATTCTCTCTCTCTCAAATAAATAAATAAAATCTTTAAAAAAAAAATTAAAAATTAAAAATCCTGACCCTGAGTACACAATTTTTTAAACATTTTGGGTGACAAAACAAGAAGTACATAAAAAGCACTGTGTTCATTCACACCAGAGTATGAGGACTGTCCTGAGCAAAAGACATATACAAAGTGGTATCTGGGGCAGCCATTTTCTTGAAAATGGACAAAGCGAGGAAATGCCAACTGTAAATTTCAAGTGAAAATTGGGAGTTTGGAAACTGTGTCAATGTTCTTCAGCCAAAGACCACTAGGAGCATTCCTGAAGCTGAACAAGCTGGGCTGATTCCTCATGCACAAGTAGAAGACACAGTCGCAGGAAGCATGGGGTGTCTCATTGACAGTGTGCTCGGAAGGACTGTTGCAGGATTTGGGCTTTAGCCGGACAACTTGGCAAAGGCTCTGAGAGAGAGCGGTTCTGTATGTGTTGGATGCTGTCAGAAAGCCAGAGTACTTTTATGATTGGGCATTTCAAAAAAATCTTATCTATAAGAGGGGAGACTAGAATGAGGATAAAGTTGTGACTGGTAAAGAAGTAATCACTCACCTCAGCCAAGAGAAGGTATTTGGTATGTGACAGAGTGACCCTGGTTTTTGTCTGTGCTGAAATAAAATTATTATGTGGCCTGCTTTGTCATATTTTATCACAGCTTCAGAGTAACCTTGCCTAAGGTTGGTATTCTGTGAGACTATTTAATAGGAGAATAGCATGCCCAGGCTGGGAGTGCCAGGCCCAGCTTCTGCTGTTCTTTCCTCTTCCTCATTTGCATCCTTCACCATGAGCTGGATAGCTTCCCAATATTTAGACTTTCTGGATAGAATTAGTAATGATATTTTTTAAAGATTTATTTATTTATTTTAAAAGATTTTATTTATTTGAGAGAGAGAGAGCGCGCGTGCAGGAGGGAAAGGGAGAGGGAGAAAGAATCTGAAGTAGATACCATGCAGAGCCCAACACGGGGCTTGATCCCACGACTGTGAGCTTATGACTTGAGCCAAAACCAACAATCGGATGCTTAACTGACTGAGCCACCCAGGTGCCCCATGATTGACTGATTTATTTTAAAGAGAGAAAGAGAGAGAGAGAGCACGTGGAAGAATAAGGGAAGTGGCAGAGGGAGAAGAAGAGAGAGAATCTCAAGCACACTCCCCACTGAGTGTGGAGCCCAACTTGGGGCTCAATCTCACAATCCTGAGATCATGACCTGAGATCATGACCTGAGCCGACACCAAGAGTCAGATGCTCAACCAACTGTGCCACCCAGGCACCCCAAGATTAGTAATGATATTAATCACTATTCAGTATCACATAATGAAATGGGTCAACATTTGAAGAATCAATGTAAGTCAGTTAACAGTTATACACCATTATATAACAGGGCAATAACAGCTTCATAGCTCAAGGAAGCAAACTGAGAAACATTTAATTTATATAATGTTTTATCTCTTCATTCATTCATTAGTTTTTGAGCACTTATATACTAGTCTTCTCTTACATACTAAGGACAGAGATCCAAAAAAGACAGGCCCTTGTCCTCAATGAGCTCACAGTCTACTGGGGTAATAAAAGTTAACAGCCCACAAGAACACAATACGATGGGGCACCTGGGTAGCTTAGTCGGTTAAGTGTCTGACTCTTGATCTCAGCTCAGGTCTTGATCTCAGGGTCGTGAATTTAAGCCCCGCTTTAGGCTCCACACTGGGCATGAAGACTACTTAAAAAATAAAATAAAGTTTTTTAGGAAAAGAATACAATATGAAGTCTTAACATAACAGGAAGCATAAGGTGTACTGGGAATATATACTAGGGGCCCTTCATGTAGACCAAACAGGGAATTCCCCCAAAGTAGACAGTGACAGAGCTTAGCCTTGAAGGTCAAACAGGAGTCAGCTGCCCAAAGGAATGACAGGCACAGAGGAATAGGAGACAAATAGGAGGGATATAAGGGATTTTGTATCAAAATTAGTAGAAAGCTTGGGGTGCCTGGGTGGCTCAGTTAAGTGTCTGCCTTCGGCTCGGGTCATGATCCCAGGGTCATGGGATCGAGCCCCACATTGGGCTCCCTGCTCAGCAGAGAGCCTGCTTCTCCCTCCCTCCCCCTCTGCTGCTCCCCCCGCTTGTGCTCTCTCTCTCTCTCTCTGTCAAATAAATAAATAAAATCTTCGGGAAAAAAAAATAGTAGAAAGCCATCTGGCTGTATGGTAAGTGACCCAGGAAAAAGATTAGAGTGTTGGCATAGTTCCAATCAAGATTTGATGAGGGTCTTATTTAAATAAGGCCACGGTAGTGAGTATAGAGAGGAGATATGGGTTTAAGAGATATTAAAAAGTTCAATGTAAAGGACTTGGTAACTAACTGGATAGCTTCATTAAGTGAATTTAAAAAGCAAAGGCCAAACATGCCACATAACATTCACAACTAGTGTACTTTCATCCTCTTAAAAAGTATTGTGACATTAACACTAATGAAAGTATATTACCTGGTGTTCTTCTGAGGAGTCAGCATCACCTGGCCTTCTGCTGTGATGTCTATAATACAATGTTCAGGAAAAATTCCCATTCCACAGAGCTGGATATCTTGGGAATTTGCTGAACCTATCAATGTATGTTCCTACAAAAGAATCAAAGTCACTGATTAATATTATTTCTTACATATATAAAAACTGAAATCATCTCCTCTGAGCCCTCTTACATTGATCCATTACCTTAGCTGAAAGGTCTTTTGGAGCAAATGGAATGGGGTAGAGGGAATTTCTGGCTTTCTCTGAAATATATTCTATAAGGTAAATTTCCTTATAAGGAATAAATAGCAACTGAGTTGAGTTACACCTTTTAAAACTAAAACTATAGTTTTATATTAATGTCTATACTACATATTTTCCATTGCAATCTTGATCCCAAATATTTTATACTACTCTCAGAGCATGAGCCATGTGTCAATAATGCACCAAAATGACTGGTCTGAAAACTACAGTTACTTAAGTTGTACATCACTTACCTGGTCTCAATCAAGATGATCAACTACAAAGATAAAAAAAGTATTCAAATCTAAGGAGCTTGAAAAGATTAAAATTACTTCATGAATCCCATGGTCTCCCTAATCCTCATAGGAGATAAGATGGATGTGTTCTTCTTACTGTGGAGCCCCAGTCACCAGCCTTGCTTTTTGGCTGGCAACTGAGAAAGCAGATGTAAAAACCAAGCTCCCTCTTATGCACTTCAACCCGGTACGTAATTAAACATTGATAACACCTGGATGTGTCCCTAAGCCAGCCTCTCCTTCCATACACCTAGATCAGTGGTCAGATACAAACTATGTTAGGCTTTGCAAACCATATGCAGCCACTCAACTCTGCCTAGTGGTGTGAAAACAGACAACACACAAATGAACAAGTGTGGCTACTTTCCAATAAAACTTTATTTATGAACACTGAAATTTGAACTGCACATAATTTTCATGTGTCTGAAATACTGTGGTTCTTCTCATTTTTTTTCAACCATTTAAAAAATGTAAAAACAATGGGCACCTGGGTGGCTCAGTCAGTTAAGCGTCTGCCTTCCGCTCAGGTCATGATCCCAGGGTCCTGGGATCCAGTCCCGTGTGGGGCTCCCTGCTCAGCAAGGAGCCGGCTTCTCCCTCTCCTCCCTGCTCATGCTCTCTCTCTCTCCCTCATGCGCTATCTCTCAAATAAAGAAATAAAATCTTAAAAAAAATGTAAAAACCATTCTTAGCTCCCAGGCCATAGAGAAGCAGGCAGGGAAATAGATTTGGCCGGTGGAAGTAGTTGCGGACCTCTGATCACGATGACTTTATCCAGTTGCAGGGGTTTTAAATACTGCTGAAACAGGGAAACTAAAGGGACCCCATGAAAAATTGCTGTTTTTGCTCTTTTTCCTGCTTCTTTTCTTGCAAAGGCCTACACCCCGACACACAAACCTTATAGAACAAATAATTTATGTTCTCCTTGTAAAGGTCAAGGAGTTAAGGATTTCCTTGGAGTCTTCCAGCACAATAGATACCATCTAAGGAGTGACCAAGACCACCGACTCATCAAGACCTCTGGCCCCAGGGCATAAGTAGCTTATGGAGGACACCTAAACACTCTTCTCTGTTCCTGGATGCCTGAGAAGACACAATCCTCAATAAAAACCCCAGGCCCCAAGCAAAGAGGAGACTCACTCTCCTTTCCTTGCCAAGTCTCCCAGATGTTCTGCCTGTATCCGCATTCTCTCCAGGTCTTCAATAAACTCTATTCTCTCTTCCTCTTGGCTTGCATTTGATTTCTATCCTGCATGAAGGCAAGGACCTTCTTGGCTGATCCTGCGGGACCCCCTCTGGGTCCTCAGACCCCGCCTGAAGGCAACACTGTCTTTATATAAATTAAATCACCCAGCGAGGAACTACAGACTTCAGTTCCATTATTTTCCTGCCTCCACTACCACTATTCTAGTCTCGCTAACCATTATTTCTTGCCTACCTGGATGCTTAAAGACATTTCTTTTTTTTTTTAAGATTTATTTATGTATGTATGTAGGTATGTATCTATGTATCTATGTATGTATGTCAGTGAGTGAGTGAGTGAGCGAGCGAGTGGCTAGTAAGCGCACTCCCAAGTTGGGGTAAGAGTGGAGAGGGAGGGAGCGGGAAAGAATTTCAGGCGGACTCCGCCCTGAGCACAGAGCCTGACACGGGACTCCATCCCAGGACCCTGAGATCATGCCCTGAGCCGAAACCAAGAGTCGGACGCTTAACTGACTGAGTCACCCAGGTGCCCTGCTTAAAGCCATTCCAAAGTGTCTAAATGTCATGACATTTGAGTGTCTAAAGACATTTCTAAGTGAAAAGCCCGAAGCAGAACTTTTGCTCCCCCACCCCTACCCAATGAATCTATTCTCTTCCCCATTAATAGTCATTACTGCCACCACCCAGTTAGTCCGCTAAAAAGCTTAGATGCTACTGAGTCCTCTCTTTCCCTTACCAGCCTACCCCTGGGCCCATCTCAATCAGAACATCCCTACAGACTGTCCCACCAAAACATATCCAGAATCGGCTTATTTTCCCCCACCTCTACTATCACGCCCTGCTCTATTGCTGGGGTGAATACATGAACCTCCTATTTCCTCCACTTCTAATCCTAATCCCCCAACCCCATCCATCACCAGCATAATAGCTGATCATGTGATGTCCCTATTTAAAACCCTCTAGTGGTTTCCCTTTGAGCTTCGAAAGAAGTCCAAATTCTTATCCAGGCTTTCAAAAAACACTCAGTGATGTGGCCCCGCCTACCTCTCCTATCCTAGCTCCTGCCACTCCCCCTTCTCCTGGAGCAAGATAAGGCCACCATTGGCCTTTTATCTGCCCCTTGAGCACACTGGCGGTTTCCTTGGTCTGAAACGTTTTCCCGCTGACCTTGATATTGGTAATTTCTTATCATTTCTATCTCACCTTTAATGGGCACATTCTCAGAGAGATATATTTTGAACTGATAATCAGAAATAACCACCCCATCACTCTCCTATTTCAATTCCTTACTTAGCACTGACTGTGATGGGCTCAGTATCTATCTCCACAGCTAGCATGGAAAAAAGCAAAGAACAGCTCGACCCACTCCCCACTGTAATCCAAGCACTTAACACAGGCGTGGCACAATTAGGAATTAAATAAATATAAAAGAAAAATAAATGAACAATCATTTCCCTTCAGACTCAAAGGAAGACAATTCTCTCCTCTTCTTTGCTGGTAACTCTTCTAATTATGTTGTGGGTCTCAGCGCTTCCCATCTCTTCTGGGACCTCAATCTCATGAAAAGGACCCTTCCCCACTAGTATTTTCATTTCCCCTTTTCTGGGGGTTTCTTCACTCAACTATACTGCAGTGGTGTTTCTAAGGAAACAAACAGCTGGGGATCCAGAGGTGTCCCATGGTATCCTATCCAATCCCCAAGGAGTATATATAATACAGAGGACATTCCACATAAACCTTTACCCCTCACTACTAGCTGAGGCTTCCTGGCTAATCCCCATACTTTCCTAATCTGGAGAACAAGACCTGACTGTGGAAACTGCAAGTAATGCTTTATGATGTTCAGTAGCGGGCCTAAAGAATCTGTTCCATGCCTGTCTCCATTCCCCGCTTTGGTTCTTCCCTCCCTGCCTTTACAACACCAACCCCATGCTGGAGAGAAGTTCCAAAAGGAGGAAAGAAATATCTAAAGAGAGGGATGCCTGGCTGGCTTAGTTGGAGGAGCATGTGACTCTGTCTCAGGGTTGTGGGTTCAAGCCCCACACTGGGTGTAGAGATTACTTAAAAATAATAAAATCTTAAAAAAAAAAAGTCTACAGAGAGAAAGGACACAAGGCCACCTAAAAAGAAGGAAAAATCCCCAAAGCACTTGGTTCAGGCCACTTCCATGTATAATCCCATTTCTCCTCCTGTAAGAAATTCTAGGAGTCCTAACAGTGACTTTGGTGGAGGTGGAGGTAGAGGTAAGCCTTGAGCTATATATTCCAGGCCCACATCTGTGCCCTTGCTCTTGTTCTCTTTGCCTGAAATGCTCCCTCTTCCCTTCAACTAAATGAGAATGTCTTTCAATACCTAGGTCTAGTTTCATCTTCTACTTGAATGTTTCACCATTAGGCCACACTGACTTCTCCCTTCTCTGAACCCTGATTACATTCAGAGTGGGTACCACATTTTACTACCTGTTGTATAAATGGTTTTTTCCCTTTATTTAGACAGCAACCTTTACAGGACTCCTGCATCTTCTCCAAAAAAGAGAATAGTACATGATACATGGTGGATGCTAAGTATCTGGTCACAGACTGAATTAAAAATTACTGGAGACAAGATATTAACATGAACATGCAAAGGTCTAATCCAAATTCTAGGAGGAAAACTTCATTTTTTCAACAAATATTATACTGAACACCTATCATGAGCTGGGCATTGAGTCACCAGAGATAAAAGAGAGACAAAGTCCCATTTGTGGTGCTTATGATCTCAGCAACAACTTAAATTTCTCATTTGAGATTATCCTCTATTCTGATTTGGATGATTTGCTGCAATCTCAAACATTGAGCTCTAAAGCTCAATCTGCCGAAAGCCTTACTGTTTGATATTTAAACAAGTTGGACAATAAACTTTTTGATAAATACCTCCTATTGTGCTCTAAGCACTGCAATTAAAATACTGATGAGGAAAAAAAATAAACTTATCATAGATTGGTATAGAGGTTATCTAATAAGTGCTATGAAAGTACAAGGTAATCAAAATAAGATAGTTAATCAGGGGTGGCTTTTCAGTTTCTATGTGATATATGGATATAATGCTTCTTTTTCTAAAAGATTTGTTTATTTTAGAGAGAGAGAGCGTGCGGGTGCACCAGAGGGAGAGGGGCAGAGGGACAGAGAGTTTCAAGCGGACTCTGTGCCAAGTATGGAGCCCAACACAGGGGCTTGATCCCATGACCCCCAAGATCACGACCTGAGCTGAAACCAAGAGATGGGCGCCCAACCAACTGCACCACCCAGGCACCCCTGGATATAATGATTCTTAAAGTACACTAGTTTTCGGGAAAACTTTAACAAATATAAAATACTAGATTTAAAGGTCTCAGAAATAATCAAAGGCTAGAAATGGCTTTTTAACCTTTCTTCATCCGTTTAAATTTAATTTCACTGGAGATGATTACTTAACTATTCTATGAATTTATTGTACCTTGCTTCCTTTATAAATCAACTATTTACAGGGCTCTTTTAAGAATCTCCCTTTCATCAACTAAGTCCTAAAAGAAAGAGAGAAAGACGGAGACAGAGAGGAACAGGGTGAGGTGAAAGGAGGGAGGAGAGAAAGGAAAATGAAAAGAGACAGAACTTGTCCACTAGTGACATATTTCACAGGGCAAGCTTTTCCGAGCCTGCAAGAAGGAAAAGTAGCATATTAGTAAAGCCTGTGAGGTTCCTCAGCCTTATCAGCATTCTCAGATAATTTCTGAAGGAAAAGGTAAGTGAGTACCAGGGGCATTAAGCAGAAAAGTAGTTACTCCTCACATATTTAAATAATCAAAATTCTTTCATAAAGAAGTCACGCTGGTTTAACAGAACCAAGACTCTGAAGACAGCTGTTCCGGAATGGAGGTGAAAAAGGCAGGAAGGTATCTGTCCATCTTTTATGAATTCAAGTCCTACACCACAGGAGTCCAACTGCTGCCAACCCAAGAACTCCTAATGTGCCCTAACTGTGTCTTATTCATCTTGGGGTCCTTGAAACCGAACCCGCAGCTCCACAAACACTGACTGGCTGGTGCCTCTGCCATTCTGATCCCCTCAGTCAGCGACTGAACACTGGCCAAGATGACAACAGGCATTGTCATCTATATGATCGACGTGTTTTAAAGCTGCTGCTGCTTTAATCACTTATCAAGGTATGAATCCTTAGGGTGCATATATAGAATTCGCCCCAAATTCTTCAGAATCAGCCTTGTTTCCCAGGCCATTAATAACTGACTTGTGGAAAGAGTAGATCCAGAACTGCATGAGCAAAACAGCCCTCCTGAAAAGATCTGGTGGATAATCAAAGGCGTGTTTAGATCAATCATATTATGATCCCATTTCTGTAATGTAAAAATATGTATCACTCTACGTCTATAGACACACATATAGGAATAGATCCAGAGGATATGGATAAAACTATTAAATATTAACTGTGGTCCTCTCTGCATGTTGGGAGTTTGGGGACGAATCCTCCTCCCCTTTTTCTAGTAAGTGTTTATAAAACTCTTCAGGAAACAAAGTGTATTACTAGCATCATGTTTTTAAAGTGGGGGAAGCAGTTCTTCCCTCTAGAAGCTTGGCCAGCACTGGAAGACTATCTCAGAATCACAGGCAGTCTTTGCTTTGCACGAGAGCACAGAACTGTAAAAATAACTTTGCAAGAAGATCTTAATAATCAATGGGCAAAACCACAATTATTCTGTGACTTTTTAAAATGTCTGTAAAAACATTAAGAATTCTCTTATAGTCACAATGTATAAGGAAATGAAAAAACAGTGAAACTATTTAGTATACCGTAATTTAAAATATTGGACACACTGAAATTTAAAACATTTTCTTTGCGAAAAACTTATCAAGAGTAGTTTAAACACTACTTGCCTTCTTCTTCTCAATATATATATAACTTACAATATGGAGTGAGCATATTTTCTGTGCCTTGGCAAACTGTGATACTCCTTTCTAAGCATCTACCGTTTTAACCTCTGTACTCCAGACGCTGCAAAATTTTTCCAAGAGCTCCTTCAATGGGAAGTGTTCTCTGGTGTCACTCCCTTTGGGACATCTTTATCCTTCTCGTCACACTTTCATGACTTACATCGAGAAGTTCACCCTCACTAAGTTTCTCTGGCTGCATATGTAAAATCTCACAAACAGCAGTGGCATGCATCAACATCATTTACTAAATTGTGGTAACTGGAATTTGTGCATGTTGGAACCATGCAACACAAGGATTGCCCATGCATGCAAATTAGATGCAAAATCATCTTGGGAGTTATGTTCCATCTACGGTTTGGCCACCATACCCTGCCTCTGCCAGTTCCAGACTAAACAAATAAATGGAGGATTCTGTTCTGGAAGAGACTCATACCACTTGGAACTAGAAAAAACATTAGAGATCATTTAATCCAGTGCCCTCATTTATAGATGGGGTGCTATAAAGCACCCAGAGATGTGAAGTCATCTGCCCAGCATCTAAATTGACTTCAGAATTCAAAGACAATAAATAAATAAATAAATAAATAAATAAATAAATAAATAAATAAATAAATAAATAAAGTGCTCAGCCTCCAAATTCCTCCTTCCCACATCATGGTATCACTTTACTGAAGCAAAAAACTGTTCTTGGACTGAGATCATCCTTCTGAATGTGCTTGGTCATGAATATACTTTTGTCATGAGGTTAGCTTGGGCAGTGAAGAAATCAACACTGCCTCAAACTCTGCCAAAACAGGGTTGACCACACAGTCTGAAACAGAATCCCGACACCCCCACACAAGATGACCAGAAATATTTTGATTACCCTCCAAAAGTCTTTAAATAGTTTCTTTGTTTAATTTTTTAGTTAAGGAACAGATATGAATCAGGTTTTTTTCTTATTGGGCGTATGTGTTTGTGTGTTCCAATTTGAACTTCATCACATCAGAAAGAAAAAGAATTCAGAGTTCTGAGAAATAAAAAGGGCCGAATATTTGAGTCCTATTCTATACTGCACCTCTCCTAAAGCATAAGAATATCTGCAGCTGAAACCCTAACACAAAATGCTGCCACCATCAGTAAGAAACACAGTACGGGATGTGATCATATACACTTTTTTTTTCTAATAGACAAGGATAATATACAGAAGGTACCACACAGAGCATCAAATAAGAAATGTGGAATATTTTATATTTATATAGTGCTTCTGTTTACAAAGTGCTTGTAAATCTCATGTAATCCCCACAGGAACCCTGTGAGGTAGCCAGACAAAGCATCCATTTATACAGGAGGAATCTGTAGACTGGAGGGGAAATGGACTTGAGATCACACATCCAGACAAAAATGCGGGTCATCTCCCTGCTACTCTCACGTTGCTCCCACTTGAGTACAACATCTGGGAGCGCACACAGGCTGCATGTATCAAAAACACGATTTACTTCATAGCATAATAAAACATGGTATCAGATACTCATTAATAAAGGGGCTTTATCAAAATAACACAAACCAATTATGCCAGGATATCTCTGATAAAAACTGGGAAACTAGCCAATGCATCATGAATTCTTTAGTCTCTTTAGAAATGATGCCACATGGCTTTAATTTTAAAGCAGTTTCCAACTTTACCAGCTCATTATCTTTAACTTCCTAGTCACCTTAGGTAAATCTACATATATAGTGCCTATATTGTAAGGGAGGGAAAAATTTCCTCCTAATATTTACTGACCACATGTCAGAATACATTACCTAATTCACTTATGCTCTGGGCATGACAAAGCGATTATGAGCTCCTCATAATTTATGTAGTGGCTCAGGATTCCCGCTCATTCTAAAGTTGTCTCTTGTCTCCCTGATATGTCCCACAATTTACAGATTTCAACACACATCACTATTTGGGTTTTTTTCTATTCCGCTCTCTGACCCTCTCAGTCTCTAAGTGACCTATTCTTTTTTTTATAAGTTGATAATCCAAATTTTTAAATTTTCCTAAATTACTGGAAACACAAAACTCATAGTAAATAGCCTCACATCTTAACTTTCTTTAAACATTTCCTCTTGTAATCTAACCACTCACAAAAAGGTGTGCTTCATATAAACCACGAAAGCTTTAGTCTACTAATAAATCATTTAGTTTTAAAAGTCTTCCTTTAAGCTTTAAAGTTATCTACTTAACTCCCTGGTATAAATCACAGTCAATAATAGTAGCTAAAGTTACTTAGTTTCTTGGAAATAACATCAGAATATTATGTTTTATATTCCTAGGTTGAATTACATTACTCGAAGACTAAAAAGGGAAACTAATCCCAGGGGTGCCTGGGTGGTTCAGTCGGTTGAGTGTCCGACTCTTGGTTACGACTCAGGTCGTGATCTCAGGGTCGTGGGATCAAGCCCCATGTCAGGCTCTGTGCTCAGCGGGTAGTCTGCTGGAGATTCTCTCTCTCCCTCTCTCTCTCTGCCCCTTCCCCACCCCAACTGTATCTCTATCTCTCTAAAATAATAGATAAATAAATCTTAAGAATAAATAAAAAGGGAAACTAATCCCAGAAACTCAAGATTTTCTACACTTCAGCTTATTCAAATAAAAACAATTTGCTAATTCTCATTATTTTGGAATAAGCATGGCTCTCTTAAGTTTAAAAAAAAAAATCAGGAAATACTGTTCTTATTGCGGCAGGAAATAGTAGCAAAGCCTGTTACCTCACCTTTAAATAGTAAACCAGAAGTTCATTCAGAGCAGGATCAGCATTCAGATTAACAAGGAAGCATTTATCATCCCCAACTTTAATCCCAGAAGACTGAAGAGATATTCCAAGACTCTCAAGCTGTTTCTGTCGCTCCTGTAAATGTATTAGAGAACTATTAATTCCATAACTATTGACACAGCAAGATATAAAAGGTCGTACACGGAATAATTATTAAATAACTTTACAGTTCAAATATGTTATCTTAGGACATGGAATTAGAGATTATTGCCTTTTTTCTCTTTCCAAACTATATAATGTTATTTTTTTTTTAAGATTATTTATTTATTTATTTGAGAGAGAGAGAATGAGAGACAGCATGAGAGGGGGGAGGGTCAGAGGGAGAAGCAGACTCCCTGCCGAGCAGGGAGCCCGATGCGGGACTCGATCCAGGGACTCCAGGATCATGACATGAGCCGAAGGCAGTCGCTTAACCAACTGAGCCACCCAGGTGCCCTATATAATGTTATTTTATCTTGTTAATTAAAACTTTATTTTGAGGGTGCCTGGGCGGCTCAGTCATTAGGCGTCTGCCTTCGGCTCAGGTCATGATTCCAGGGTCCTGGGATCGAGCCTCGTGTCTGGCTCCTTGCTCAGCGGGGAATCTGCTTTTCCCTCTCCCTCTCCCTGCTTGTGCTCTCACTCTCACTGTCTCTCTCTCTCTGTCAAATAAATAAAATCTTTTAAAAAAAATTTTTTTTATTTTGAGAAATAAAGGCATTACCAATAGCAACCAAGTATTCTACCGAGTTCTCAATTATCATTCTTGAAAATTCCTGACATCTTGAATTTGTCTTTCTCATTTAATTCTGTGCATATGAGCAAAGTTGTTTTACCAACTGTGATCTTTATAAAAGGCCAAATTTTCAATGCACTCCCTTGCTTGATAGCCTCAGTGACTCCCCAGCCAGGATAAAGGCCAGACTCCCTCAACAAAGTCCACAGGTCCTTTGATCTGGCCCGTTTCCTCTCCGTCTTCATGTTTTATCATTCCTACTCTCAAAGCCTACGCTATAGTTATATGGAACTCTTCCAGGTCCCTGAAAGTGTCAAGAATGCGCTCCTGAGCTTAAGAGATTTTACACCTGTTTCTTCTATTTGAAACATACTTGTTCTCATACTTGGTAACTCATACTTGTTTACTTGACCTTTTCTCTATGAGGGCAAGGATCCTATATACCCACTGTGAATTCCTAGCACCTAGCACAGTGCACAACACAGAGTGAGCACTCAAAACGTCAGTCTTGTGAATGTGTCAAAATAAAACTTGCATATGCATTCAAGTACTATTTTCATAAGAATATGAACCTTTCTTTTTTGTGCCTACCTGCCTCTGAATCCACACGATATGCAAAAGTATGCATATAGGGGAATACACATGACTCCTGTAACCAATGCTCTAGGATTAAGGTATATGAATTGGGGCAGAGCAGGGTGTCTTTGCCTATATATAAATAGCAAGTGGTAATGAGTCACAGCCACCAAAAGCCTTTGATTCTGAAGAAAGACAAGACAAGCTAAGTCATTTAACTAGGGCCACACGTAAGTTTGCAGTACAATTAAATTACAGCTTAAGGATTTTGCTATTTTTAGGGATACCATCCCAAAGTTATCTGACCGTGGACCATTTTTCTTCCCAGAAGACTTATTAACAATTGGTGGCTATATTGCCAGAAATACATTTTGGGAAATGCTAGTCTCTTTTGAAAAAAGGTCAATGACCAACAGACTACGTCTTTTTCCCTGAAAGAGGAGAAGCAAGCTCAGCAGCACGAAGCCTGGGGGCTTGCAAAGATAAGGTGTTAAATGAGGTGCTGGATAAAATCAGGCACAGTCCTCAAAAGGGATACCTGACAGAGGAAGAGAACAGTTAGATTCACCAGTATTAGCACTGCAATTTCACTTAGACCTACACTGCCTTGTATCAGCTAAGCAACTCAAATACAATAGCACTTCAAAGTCAATGTTTACTTTTGGAGTAGCTCAAAAAGGCTCACACAAATTAGTTCTAAAATGGATAATTATTAGAATGATTTATAATTTATGAAAAACAAAAAGTGAAATAAGTAATGAGAAATAAAGTTCATACACTGGAATGTTCTCTTCCCTGTAATTTGAAGGAGTTGCATTAAAATAACCCAGTGTAGGGATACAGATAAAACAAGATTGGTCATATGTTGATCTTCAGTGAAACTGGGTGATGCCACATGTGGGTTCATTATACTCTTCTCTCTTGTTTTTATCTATTTTGAAAATGATTATAATAAAAAATATTTAAAAATTAGTCTGCACTAATATCATAGCCACTTTATGCTACATAGGAGTTGTACCATCCTACAACATCTGGTGTATAAATTGATTCTGGACAGCACATTTCAAGATGGAACCTGCTGGGTGACAAAAGTAGCAAGTTCTATATATTTACTAATATGAGGAACAGTTGAAAACACCAGAGATTTTCAACTTTAGAAAAGGAGGGGAAGAAGGCAGAGGTTACCTTAAATATCTGGGTAATGACTGTCCCTGTCTTATAGGGCTCTTGAGGGGATTAAATAAAATACTGTATTTATTTATTTATTTATTTATTTATTTATTTTTAAGATTTTATTTATTTATTTATTTATTTGAGAGAGAGAGAGCAGGAGAGTGGGGAGGGTCTGAGGGAGAAGCAGACTCCCTGCCGAGCAGGGAGCCCGATGTGGGACTTGATCCCGGGACTCCAGGATCATGACCTGAGCCGAAGGCAGTCGCTTAACCAACTGAGCCACCCAGGCGTCCTAAAATACTGTATTTAAAAGCACTTAGCACAGGGCCCAACAGGATGTATGCAATAAATATTTGCTATTATTATTACTCTCAATTACTGTATATATGTGGGACACCCATTCTCTTAGCTTTGGAAGAACAAACTAAGAACCATGAGCAGAAATGAAAGAATAAAAGATTTCGATTAAATAGCTACTATTAGAGTCATCACAGCTGTCCCATCATGAAAGACTGTTGACAGGGTATTGGCCTCCACATTACCACATATATTTCTAAAACGGAGGCTGAATAACCACCTAAAAGGAATGCCACGGAGTAAGTCTTTTATTAAGTAGACAACTGGACATTAAGGATTCTTTCTAAGTGCTAATGTTCCCTCCCTAAAATTTCACAACTCTATCTGTATTAAGTATTCTAAACCTAAGAGATAGTCAGCTCAGATTTAGGTATTTCATATTACTTTTACTGAGTATATACTAATACTATTATAGCCGAGTATCGACCACTAATAATTTCGTAGTTTGGGTAAGTTCGTAGATTGGGTAAGCAAAGCACTTAATAGAATTGGGGGTTCATAGTCAGAGGCTACAAAGTAGTTACTTCATTTAAAAAATGCTTATGACCCTAAAAACATTTCCTACATGATGAACTATTAATTGTAATTATGTCTTATCCTTCAAATTAACTTTGTAAAATAGAGACTCTTGGATCTAGGTTCTTATTACTGGTGCTAGATTTGCCATCTTCAAAGCTAAAAATCAAAAAAGGAACCAGAAAGGCCATGAGTTGCATTGCACAAACTGCCACGAGCTTTCTCTTGCTTTAATCAGGAAGCACGAACCTGTGCAATCTCCTCGGTTTTCCTTAGTTTCTCCTCCCAGGTCACAGTCATTTCCTGGATTAGCTTCTCTGATTCTTCTAGCCGATCTTTCAGTTCTGGAGATTTCATTGCCTACAAGAAAATGTTTATTTCATGAAATGTCTGTACCATGCCCTGAAGAAAGCACTAACTAAATCCAGAAGGATAAAAGTAACAATCTGCCTCCTCTCAGCTCTACAATTCACTGAGGTCTCTGATCTACCTAAACCAGAATGATGAATGCTACTGACACACAGCATCCAGACTGTATGCATCCCACAAAGCTCATTCAGTTACCGAAGGGGGGCTTGAAAGGAAGACTTAACTGTTTTCTTCCAACCTACTGTCACTGTGAAGATCTAATTACATTTTTTTTAAGATTTATTTATTTATTTATTTGACAGAGAGAAGAGACAGCGAGAGAGGGAACATAAGCAGGAGGAGTGGGAGAGGGAGAAGCAGGCCCCCTGCCGAGCAGGGAACCTGATACAGGGCTCGATCCCAGGATCCTGGGATCATGAGCCGAGCCGAAGGCAGATGCTTAATGACTGAGCCACCCAAGGGCCCCAAGATCTAATTACATTTAGAGGGACAGAAGTTCAAGCTCTCAAGGGCTTATTTTTAAATCCCAATAGGTCATATATCTAGACTAATACACAGGAATCATTCTAGTCTCTACTGATGACTTCAGGTATTGATTCAAGTATATACTGACAAAATCTGTACATGTTGTAAAGTGAATGGTGTTATTAATACCAGGAAGACGGAAACAAAATTTCAAAGAATATTGATGAACTGTAAAATTATCCCTGTAAAAAAAGGATAAATTTCAACGGGCAAAAATATACCAAAATAATTGTTTGACCATGTATTTGACCAACTCACTACCAGAAAACAGATTATAAGAAAGAAAAGGGCTATGGGGGCGCCGGGGTGGCTCAGTTGGTTGGGCGACTGCCTTCGGCTCAGGTCATGATCCTGGAGTCCCGGGATCGAGTCCCACATTGGGCTCCCTGCTCAGCGGGGGGTCTGCTTCTCCCTCTGACCCACTTCCCTCTTGTGCTCTCTGTCTCTCATTCTCTCTCTCAAATAAATAAATAAAATCTTTAAAAAAAAAAAAAGAAAGAAAGAAAAGGGCTATGGTCCCAACCCCAGGAAAGAGTCCCACAGTGCTGGGAAATCATGGGAACAGAATGCTAATTAAACTAGAAATCCTGAATCTGGTATTTTATTTCACCTTTGAAAAGAGGATGAGCATTTGGTTGTAGGTTAGAACTGTATAGGTTTCAAATTCAGTAATGGAACATAAACACCATACATTACAGAATGTACAAAGGGTAGTGGAAACAGAGCACCTCGAAATAGTTGGGTTTTTTTTTTTTTAAGATTTATTTATTTGAGAGAGAGAGAGAGCATGAGCGGGAAGGGCAGAGGAGAGGGAGAGAGAATGTTAAGCAGACTCCCCACTGAATGCAGAGCCCAACATGGAGCTCGATCCCACGACCCTCAGCCGAAACCAAGAGTCAGACGCTTAACCAACTGCGCCACCCAGGCACCCCTAAATAGATGCTATAAAATATTTTTTTCTATAAACATAATTAAGCCACAACATGGAAAAACTAGATTATTAAGATGTGGAAGAACTCCTTAAGATTTCCATTCTGCGGGGCGCCTGGGTGGCTTAGTCGTTAAGTGTCTGCCTTCGGCTCAGGTCATGATCCCAGGGTACTTGGATCGAGCCCCGCATCGGGCTCCCTGCTCGGCGGAGGCCTGCTTCTCCCTCTCCCACTCCCCCTGCTTGTGTTCCCTCTCTCGCTGTCTCTCTCTCTGTGTCAAAATAAATTAATTAAAAAAATATATTTAAAAAAAAAGATTTCCATTCTGCCTTCAACCAGTGAACAAATGATACAACAAAATCTGCTTGAATCCTCTCCCCATCAGTCTATGTCCACTCTCCACCATTTTCTGCACTAAAATTGCAAACATTTTGTTGCAAGCATCTCTCTCCCTCTCTCCTTTATTCTTAGTTATACCTATACTGTGGAAAGAAACATTTTCTCAATTCCCTTTATTCTCTCCTCCTGTTCAATCCTTTCACATCTGTAAAAACTCTAAATTGCAACTATGACCATCTATCTGTCTTTATTTATCACTCATCTCAAATTTCTCTTCCTATAGGAAACTCAAAAATTCTAGGTGGAGTACTTATCACTTATAGCTAAGGGGAAGAAAATTCAAATTCTAGCTTTTCCTAGACCCACAAAGTGTGGCTTAGGCTGTGCCTTATACCTCCGCTTTGGTTAGCTGCTCTCGGAGCTTTTCTACTTCCTCCCGGAGATCCCGGATAATTCGTGCATTAGGATCCTCATTCACCACAGCATGGTTCACGATGTTCTTGGCACGATCTGCATACCGCAGAGTTGAAAGGGTTTCATCATAGTTATCGGCTGCTGGACTGACGGTGGCCACCATGGCTGTCTTGCTGTTACCCCCAAGACTATCCTAGATGAAGAAAGAAATTGAGTAGGATTTTTAAGCTGGAAGAAAACATCATATGAGGAAGTTGAAGTCAGATAGGGTGAGAGAACGTTCCAAGGTCAAACACATATTTAAGGACAAAGCTAGGACTAAAATACAGATATACTGACTTCAGGTCCCATGTTCTTTCTTCTCTGCCAAGCTACTTTTCTGCAGAAAGGAGATCTGGTTTTTAAGAAAAGACAGGGAAATACAAGGAAGCCTACATTAATTTCAGTTTAATAACAATTGGTTCTAAGCAGGCTACTCAAAAAACAATGATTTCTTAAATGCCTAAAAATCTTCCTTAGAGAAACTGAACAATCATGATATTATTTGTTATCTGATCAAAAAGTGATTACCAACAATCTACTCCATAATGCCATGTCCTTTGAATCTCTGTGAAGCCTAAATAATGGCTCAGAAAGTGTTGCTGTTACAAGCTATCAGGCACCTTGCGAATTTTTTCAAACATAAGGTATAATTATAGTCTTATAAAACAAAAGATATGTTGAAGGTACCTGATTTTATTCCCTCTGATAGCACTCCAAAAACTATGAAAACAGGCTTATCTTCTACACAACAACTTCTACAGTTCAGACAAAGGTGCTAAAGAAAAGACACTCATCTTCATTACGCTAAAACTGATCAGTCTGGTGAAATGGGCTTTAGAATGGGCTCCAACAAATTCAAAAAACTACTTCCACTTGAGAACATTAAAAAATAACTACAGGAGAACATAGGCAGCAACTTCTTCAACCTCAGCTGCAGCAACTTCTTTTTTTTTTTTAAGAATTTTATTTATTTATTTGAAGGAGAGAGACAAAGCGAGAGAAGGAACAAAGCAGGGGGAGTGGGAGAGGGAGAAGCAGGCTTCCCACCGAGTAGGGAGCCCGATGAGGGTCTCGATCCCAAGACCCTGGGATCATGACCTGAGCTGAAGGCAGACGCCCAATGACTGAGCCACCCAGGCGCTCCTGCAGCAACTTCTTCCTAGAAACATTGCCAAAGGAAAGGGAAGCAAGGGCAAAAATGAACTATTGGGACTTCATCAAGATAAAAAGCTTCTGCACAGCAAAGGAAACAGTCAACAAAACCAAAAGACAACAGACAGAATGGGAGAAGATTTTGCAAATGACATATCAGATAAAGGGCTAGTATCCAAAATCTATAAAGAACTTATCAAACTCAACACCCAAAGAACAAAAGATCCAAACAAGAAATGGACAGAAGACATGAACAGACATTTTTCCAAAGAAGACATCCAAATGGCCAACAGACACACGAAAAAGTGCTCAGTATCGCTCGGCATCAGAGAAATCCAAATCAAAACCTCAAATGAGATATCACCTCACACCAGTCAAAATGGCTAAAATTAACAAGTCAGGAAACGACTGATGTTGGTGGGGATGCGGAGAAAGGGGAACCCTCCTACACTGTTGGTGGGAATGCAAGCTGGTGCAGCCACTCTGGAAAACAGTATGGAGGTTCCTCAAAAAGTTGAAAATAGGGGCACCTGGGTGGCTCCGTTGGTTAAGCGACTGCTTTCGGCTCAGGTCATGATCCCAGGATCCTGGGATCGAGCCCCACATCAGTCTCCCCGCTCGGCGGGAAGCCTGCTTCTCCCTCTCCCACTCCCCCTGCTTGTGTTACCTCTCTCTCTGTCTCTCTCTCTCTGTCAATTAAATTAAAAAAAAAAAAAAAGTTGAAAATAGAGCTACCTATGACCCAGCAATTGCACTACTGGGTTATTTACCCCAAAGATACAGATGTAGGGATCCGAAGGGGTACATGCATCCTGATGTTTATAGCAGCAATGTCCACAATAGCCAAATTATGGAAAGAGCCAAGATGTCCATCGACAGATGAATGGATAAAGAAGATGTGGTGTATATATATATACAAGGGCATATTATGCAGCCATCAAAAAGAATGAAATCTTGCCATTTGCAATGACGTGGATGGAACTGGAGGGTATTATGCTGAGCAAAATAAGTCAATCACAGAAAGACATGTATCATATGATCTCATTGATATGAGGAATTCTTAATCATTTGATTTACGTCTAAGGAACAGAATAGAGCAGAAGGAATAGAATAGAGCAGATGGCATGTCACTTCTGAGATGAGATTATGAAAAGACCATGGCTTCTGTTATATGTGTTTTCTCTCACTCTTGGGAAACCACTATCATGAGATGAGGTGCCCTATGAAGAGACCTCAAGAGTGAATTTGGAAACAGGTCTTCTGAAGCCTTCTAACAACCACTTAGTTGAGCAGATCGAACCCCAGTCAAACCTTGCACTGACCACCCCGGATAACACTTTACTGCAGTCACGTGAGAGACCCCAGCCAGACCACTTGGTTAGATCACACCCAGAATCCTGACCCATGGAAACTATGAGATAATAAATGATTGTTATTTCTAGCTGTTAAGTTTTAGGGGTAACCTGTTACATAGCAATAGATAACTAATAATACACTAACATACCATCTCAAGATGAAAAGAATTACCCAAAAAAAGAGACTCAATTCTTTCAGCAATAGAATATCACTGAATTATAGATTCTCAAGATAGAGAGAAGACTCAAACAGGCCAATATGGGGGATCACAGGTCATAAGAAAGCCAACTCTACTTTGGGCAGCTTTGGACAGATATAAAATTCTTACTTTTGAAGATATAAAGTTTTTCCAATATCAACATATCTAAAATTTGTCTGCGCAATCTGTGATTTATATATACCATCTTTAGGCAGACTTGACTTAGTCCTCTCAGCCTTTTGTGAATTGGATTATTTTACTGATTAAAAAAAAAACAAACCAGAGGTTTGTTTAACAAAGAAGGTCAAATACTCTGCCTAAAGATCTGGAACTAGTAAACTGAACAATATTCTAATCCAGTGGTGTTCCACCTTCAAGTCCAATATGACTTTTATTCCCTCACAGCTACCCACAATTACACAGTAACAAAGTCACACTTGGCAGTATAGAGAGAGCTCAGACCTGAGGAACAAGTAAGGTGGCCAGACAGCCTTCCAAGTTATTCTGTCCTACCACCAGAGACAAAATAATTCCCTAGGTCATGCTAACAGTTCAATACAATCCCAGACAACGTGTGTGTGTGTGATTGACAATGTGACAATCCACTACTGAAAATTCGGTTTTCCACAGAAAACACAGCTTAATTCTACCTCTGAAGGAAATACACTCTAACACATGAAAAGGAAGGAAACATAAGTAATCTGGGCTCTAGAAGGCAGAAGTGACTTCTGCCAAGTCTGTATGATTGCTTGCTTTCCTCTTCGCCTCTAGACACTGATCTCACACCGTTGGTGCCCAGCTTTGGCAACTTACACAAGAATGTCAAGATGCACATTAATGACATTCCAATGTTATATATAAAGATCACAGGAATGACATCTCAGATTACAGTTCAGTCACTAGCAGCACCATGGGGAATGCTGCCCTTCAAGAACTACTGCATTCTGTTAGCCCACATGAACAGCAAATGCTATTGGGTAAAAAGGGATTTGTGACAATAATGACCAACGTGAAAAGGCATAGATATTGTGCTTCAACTTGTGCTGAGAAAAGGAAACCTGGCAAACGACAAATACTTGATATTTTATTTTTTATTTTTTTTAAAGATTTTATTTATTTATTTGACAGAGAGATAGAGAGAGAGAGAATAAGTAGGCAGAGAGGCAGGCAGAGAGGCAGCAGAGGGAGAGGGAGAAGCAGGCTTCCTGCGGAGCAGGGAGCCTGATGCGGGGCTTGATCCCAGGACCCCAGGATCATGACCTGAGCCGAAGGCAGCCACTTAACCAACTGAGCCACCCAGGCGCCCCAATACTTGATATTTTAAAAGCCCTTGTGCATGAGTAACAATATGCTTATATTCAAAAATGGCCCCATGCCATTAGCAAGAAGGAAACAGCAACAAAAAAACTGGCACTCATTCAAGGAGAAAGTATAAAGCTTCTTGTTACTCTTTAATTGTTTAATTAGGCAAATCAGATGAGCTTTGTTTCAAATGTAGCAACTGAAAATTAAATGGACATAGGAAAGAAATTGAATTTTGGAAGGCAGGATCTTTTTAAAGCTGAAAGAACTCTTTGAAGTAATCTAATGAAATTACTTCATTTTACAGATGGGAAATTGAGACCCAGGAAGACTGACAGACTTAACCAAACGTCATAACGCTATTCAGAGCAGAGCTGAAAGTACTCACTCACTCAGCTCTTCACAGAGTTTACCATCGAGAGGGTGACACTGGTAAGCAAACACTATATGGTAAGAACTAAGTAGGGATAAACATAGCGTGGTCATAGAAAACAGAATGAGCAGAAAGCCCAGTCTTGAAAGGTTAGGGACGACTTTCAGAGAAAGTGATATCTGAGACCTAAAGATGAATAAGCATCATCCAGATAAAGGCTAATGCGGAGGGATGTAGGAGAGACTGAAGAGAGGAGGAAGAATGTTCCAAGCAGAGTAAGAGTAAAGTCCTAGAAGTTAGAGTACTCATCACTTAGCTAGAACTGATCACAGCAAGAGCAGGATGAACAGTAAGAAATAGGGAGGGGTCAGAATACTGAAGGCCTAGTAAATCACAAGCCATTAAAGAATTTGGACTTTATCATAATGGCCTGTAAGAGAGTTACTGAAGAGACTGAAGTTTAAGAAGAGTATTAATTTTTAAGATATTACAACTTACTATAAAGGATGGAATGGAAAGCTCGAAGGAAATGTTTCAATCATCCAGGCAAGAGATGAAAGTTGCTTCCATTAGGTAAGTGGCAGTAATAATGGAAAAAGATGGATTAAGTCAAAAGATACTCATTATTTGAGCATTTATTACCAGAAATTATTTGATGTTAAGAGGTTCACATTTAGAAGATTACACAGAGAAGCAAAAAACCTCTTAATAAGAAACAGTTCTCCACTGACCACTTACCAAATGAGTAACCACTCCACCTACCGAGAGAAGCGCTAGAGAAGAGCAAGAAGAGCACTCACATCTATCCCCCAACAAATCACCAAGGGCAGTCATTTTCTCTGACTCCCAGATGCTGTAAATATCAAGAGCATAACACAATTATAATGCAAATACAATGCAAAAACACTTTTAAAAGAAACTGCAAACCTTATGAACAATTTTATGAGTTCAATGATAGTTATGTTGGACGATACTAGAAACATATGAAATCAAACAAGGATCGGGGAGAGTTAGACTAATTTAGAATTAAAGAAGGAGAGAGCGAAAGGAACATAAAAGCCACTTCTAAGGAGAATGATTTGTGTATCAATCGATTCCGAGAGGTCTTTGGGAAAAATGTTTAAACATCAGAATAAGTTTTGTAAAAATGCCCCACTTGTGGAAGGTCATATGTTTTTTAAATAAAATGTATGACAAAAATCAAGAAAACTTCATTTTTTTTAGCCTAAGAATTAATACACAGAGGTTACAATTACAACCTAATTTTACTAAACAGAAGATAAACTGACTTTTTAAAATGTTCAGTTTTGTTCCTCAGTTCAAGTATTTTCACAAGTGTCTCTTAACATGTGGTAAAAGTGAAGTGCTTCTCCTTCTAATGAAAAGTGACCTTCGGCAAGATGTACAATATATAGCCTAGGCAAGAGAAGATGGGCAGTGAGGTCAACCCTGATTCCAATCTGGTTTTTGTGACCACTGTCACATCTGTAAAATGGGGACACTACCATTTGCCTTCAGAGAAGTAAATGAGATAATGTACATGAAGCGCTTTGCATGGTACTTGATTTTCCTGGCCTCCAGCCTATGGAATGGATACTCAATAATTACCTGGGCCATTTTAAGTTTGTGAATTAACTTCATAAAAGATACTTCCTAGTGTTTGTTTAAATGGACTGAGGTAATAACAATGAAACAACACAACAGTGAATATTATGTCTTTTAAATCAGGCACATCCCGGGAATAATCATGAATGATCAAGAAATATTTCTGTGGAAAGTCTGAGGAAGAAATTAATATCTTATCAAAATTCCTTCTGGAGGGCGCCTGGGTGGCTCAGTTGGTTAAGCGACTGCCTTCGGCTCAGGTCATGATCCTGGAGTCCCGGGATCGAGTCCCGCATCGGGCTCCCTGCTCAGTGGGGGGTCTGCTTCTCCCTCTGACCCACTTCCCTCTCGTGCTCTCTGTCTCTCATTCTCTCTCTCAAATAAATAAATAAAATCTTTAAAAAAAAAAATTCCTTCTGGAAATTAAACAAATGAGATTTCAAGGTTAATTACTGACACGTGAAGACCAGCACAATTATTTCCTTGGTAGTGAAATGTTTTGTAATGCCCCTTAAATCCAAGAGTTATCTACAAGTGGTTTTTAATTATCAAACTTTGCTTATTTATCCTTTTGTTTTAAATTTCTATTTTTTTTTGCATTTTGGCCAAAGGAAGTACTCTACCTGATTTTCTACTGTGGCCAGTTTCACTTAATAAAGCATGCTTAAATGGTGTGCATAGTTTTAGAAAGTAAAGTTGAATACCAATAACCCTTTGACAGAGTAGAAACTAGGAGAAAACCCAACTTCCTTTACAAACATGTCACGGACTAAGTCAAAGTTGTGTCACCTTAGAAGAACAAATATTGTTAAAATATCTATGCTACCCAAAGCAATCTACACATTTAATGCAATCCCTATCAAAATACTACAGGCATTTTTCACAGAGCTAGAACAAACAATCCAAAAATTTGTATGGAACCACAAAAGACCCCAAACAGCCAAAGCAATTCTGAAAAACAAAAGCTGGAGGTATCACAATTCTGGATTTCAAGTTATATTACAAAGCTGTAGTGATCAAAACAGAACAATACTGGCACAAAAACAGACACACAGATCAATGGAACGGAATAGAAAACCCAGAAATAAACCCACAATTATATGGTCAATTAATCTTTGACAAAGCAGGAAAGAATATGCAATGGGAAAAAGAAAGTCTCTTCAACAAATGGTGTTGGGAAAATTGGACAGCTACATGCAAAAGAATGAAACTGGACCACTTTCTTACACCATCCACAAAAATAAACTCAAAATGGATTAAAGACCTAAATGTGAGACCTGAAACCACAAAAAATCCTGGAAGAGAGCACAAGCAGAAATGTCTGTGACATCAGCCGTAGCAGCATCTTTCTAGATATGTCTCCTGAGGCAAGGGAAATACAAGCAGAAATAAACTATCAGGACTACATCAAAATAAAAAGCTTCTGCACAGTGAAGGAAATATCAACAAAGCTGAAAGGCAACCTACTGAATGGAAGAAGATGTTTGCAAATGACTTATCTAATAAAGGGTTAGTACCCAAAATATTTAAAGAACTTATACAAATCCACACCAAAAAAATGAAGTAATCCAATTAAAAAAAGGGCACACGAACATGAACAGACATTCTCCAAAGACAAACAGATGGCCAACAGACACATGAAAAGATGCTTAACATCACTCATCATCAGGGAAATACAAATCAAAACTACAATGAGGGCGCCTGGGTGGCTCAGTCGGTTAAGCGACTGCCTTCGGCTCAGGTCATGATCCTGGAGTCCCGGGATCGAGTCCCGCATCGGGCTCCCTGCTCGGCAGGGAGTCTGCTTCTCCCTCTGACCCTCCCCCCTCTCATGTGCTCTCTCTCTCAAATAAATAAATAAAATCTTTAAAAAAAAAAAAAAACTACAATGAGATATCAGCTCACACCTGTTAGAATGGCTAACATCAAAACCACAAGAAACAAGTGTTGGTGAGGATGTGAAGAAAAAGGAACCTTCTTGCATTTTTGGTGGGAATGAAAACTGGTACACTCTGGAAAACAGTACAGAGGTTCCTCAAAAAGTTAAAAATAGAACTACCCTACAATCCAGTAATCCCACTGCTGGTATTTACCCCGAAATACAAAAACACCAATTTAAAGGGATATATGCACTCATACGTTTATAAAAGCATTATTTATAATAGCCAAATTACAAAAGCAGCCCAAGTGTCCATCAACAGATGAATGGATAAAGAAGATGTGGTATATATACACAATGGAATATTATTCAGTCATAAAAAGGAATGAAAACTTGCCATTTGCAAAGATGTGGATGGAGCTAAAGAGTATAATGCTAAGCAAAATTAGTCAGAAAAAGACAAACACCAAATGATCTCATTCATATGTGGAATTTAAGAAACAAAACAAAGAAGCAAAGAAGACCAAAGAAAAAAAAAAGGGAGAGAGGGAGACAAATCAAGAAGCCAACTCTTTTTTTTTTTTTTTTAAGATTTCATTTATTTTTTGACAGAGAGAGACGCAGCGAGAGAGGCAACACAAGCAGGGGGAGTGGGAGAGGGAGAAGCAGGCCCCCTGCCGAGCAGGGAGCCCGATGCGGGACTCGATCCCAGGACCCTGGGTTCATGACCTGAGCCAAAGGCAGACACTTAACAACTGAGCCACCCAGGCGCCCAAGAAGCCAACTCTTAACTATAGAGAACAAACTGATGGTTACCACAGGGGAGGTGGGTGGGAGGATGGGTGAAATAGGTGATGGGGATTAAGGAGTACACTTGTGATGAGCACCAGGTGTTGTATGGAAGTGCTGAATATTGTACACCTGAAATTAATGTAACACTGTATGTTAACTATACTGGAATTAAAATAAAATTTAAAAATAGCCAAAAAAAAAAAAAGTTGTGTCTTCTACTAAGCAAACCTGTGCTTAACTCATCTTTATATTCTCAACCCCTTAACCACAGTAATAGGCATTCAATAAATTCTTGATCGATGAGAGAATAACTCATCACAAAACTACACAGGGCTCATTAAATCACTTCTTCATTTAAAAAAAAAAATAGAATGGGACGCCTGGGTGGCTCAGTTGGTTAAGCGACTGCCTTCGGCTCAGGTCATGATCCTGGAGTCCCGGGATCGAGTCCCGCATCGGGCTCCCTGCTTGGCAGGGAGTCTGCTTCTCCCTCTGACCCTCCTCCCTCTCATGCTCTATCTCATTCTCTCTCTCAAATAAATAAATAAAAAGAAAAAATAAATAAATAAAATAGAAAAGGAAAAGGAGTATTAAGTAAAATATTTTGTTCCAGGTTGGCAACTCTATACAGAGTTAAACTGTCACTGGATTTTCTATCCTCTAGTTCCTAATCCAATATCCAATCCACCACACCACCTCGATAGACTAAAGGGACCTTGAGGACTGGAAGAGACCTGGAAATAGCCTCTCTCTTCACTAAACTCCTGTTGCGTGTCCTTACTATCTCTCTCACGGAATCACTGACTCTTGTTATAATATTTTGTGTACACATCTTATCTCCCTTACCAGACCCTGAGCAATTAGAGGGCAAGGAGGGTCCCACATTTCGTTACATTCTCCTCATAGGCACTTCATAGCTTTTGTTCTTTCTCATTTCCATTTCTCTCATACATACTGAACCAATTAACAAATGAATGACTGTGTGCTCTATTCTGTATCCTTAAACAACATTAGAAAGCTAAAAGTAAATTAAAGTGATCATGAGTAGTCTTGATGTTAACCAGAAAAGCAAGGTCCAAAATGTCAGTCAAACAAAAGGAGTCTGTGAGAAAGACAGAGTAGTCCAGCGGAGTGGAAATCCTTTCCTTTGACTCGATCTGCTATAGGATTAGCATGAGGTTCTTCTTCTACACCTCAAGATCTCAAAGGCAACTGTGTGGTTTTGTGTGCCTCAAATCCCATTCCTTCCAGGGTCTGATGAATCAGGTGTTTAATCTATTAAATCCATGATTATCATGTGAGAGCAATGATTTTAAATTTGAACACTGGTAAAAGAAATGATAGGAGGGATTAACAGTCTTCTCTTCTCTTCCTTTCTACCAACCACCGAGAGTATGCCAGAAAGGGTGGGGTGGGAGCTTACTTTGAGCAGCCAAGTGAGAACTGAGTCACGATATGGAACAAATTTATTCTTGTTTTTGCCAGCACTCTGATCTGCTAGGGCTGAGATAACCAGACCGAGGGTTGTGAGGGACCTGCATGGTGCAACAAACCGGAATAATCATAAAAAACTGAGAATATCAAATGTCACATTTTAGCACAAAAACTGAACATCAAGATGCATTGTACCTGCATGAGAATAGCACTGTTGTCAGCATTTTGCTGCTCAGTTTAAAAACACATAAACTCTAAAAGCTGATATCCTTCTAACACTACTGCAAGCAATAAAACTGCTTAGCTCAATTACTTTTTTTCATTTTTGTAAACAGCAAACCTCTAGGTTAAGAAAAGACACAAACACCACATATCTTTAAGAAAGGAAGCCACAAACACAATACAATTAATTACAACTTAGTATAAGGCAAAAACATTTGCATATATGTATGTGTGTATATGAGGTATCTATATATATCATATGTATCTACACACATATCATATGTAATATCATTTATATGTATATCACCATTTAATAATACAATAATAGCATAGCATCTGGATGATGATCTTCTATGATCTCTAGTTGGTTACTCTCATAATGCATCCTTCTGGATTCCTGCCCACAAGGAGCTAATAATTTAGCTTGAGGTAGAACATATAACTATATGAAGGAGTTTGTACACAAAAGTATTACTTTATAAAACCCTAGCTTCTTGGTATAAATGAGCACCACCACAACAGTCATACAAGGGAAAGCCCTATGTGGCTAGTACACAAGCTGATGTTGGTTCAGACAGTGACACCCATGTTGAGATCAACGGCTGGACTCTAACAGACCACTACCTTGGTCCTTTTCCATAGCTTAGACCCGGCTACTGTGCCCCTACAGGGAGATGTTGGCAAGGTCCACAGACAGGTTTGGGTTGTCACACTGGGGGTGGGGAAAGAGAGGTGGCAGGTATTACCGCCATCTAGTGGATAAGGCCAGGGATCCCACTAAACATCCTACAATACACAAGAACAGTCGCTGGAACAATTACCGAGCCCCAGATCTCAATACAGCTGCTCTTGAGAAACCTCTGACGACTGTGCTCCTCAGCCCCATCAGACATCTCAACAAAACATAAAATAGGCTCAGGCCTATATATATATAAAGAAAATTCTCCATTATTTATTCATTATAGCTTCAATCATTCCAGCATCTTATTCTTTTAATAACCACAGAAGTTCCCCCATTTGGCTCTTAAATCAGTAAAATAATAAAAGCTTCTGGAAAACTTACTTGTTGATGTTGCTCCCCTCCTTCAACCTGTCCCCTGCAGCTCCGGTTTTCGTTGCTCGCTCACTGCCAGCTAAATCAACCAAGCTCAGTTTGCCCACTTTCTCTCCAGATGTCTAGAAAGTAAATCAACAAATACTAATAAACAGTTAAAGAATACAGGAAGTCCTACATCTCTACCAAATGAGTTTATTATCTAAATCCTTTATTAAAACATTATTTACTGTTATTTCAAAATTAGTTTGCACTGCTATAAAACAGTGTAAGAAGGGGCGCCTGAGTAGCTCAGTTGGCTAGGCATCCGACTCTTGGTTTCGGCTCAGGTCATGATCTCAGGGTCCTGGGATCGAGCCCTGAGTTGGGCTCTGCACTCAGCAGGGAGTCTGCTTGATTCCCTCTCTCTCTCTGCCCCTCCCCCTGCTCACACACACACAAGCATGCACTCTCTCGATCTCTCTAAAATAAATAATCTTTAAAAAAAAAAAACAGTATAAGAAAACTGTATAGTCTAGTAGTAGATAGATACAAAATTATACCCAACTCTACTAACCCAGACAAGAGTGAAAGTTATCTCAGAAAATAGTGCCCCCCAAAATGGGACATTTTGAAGGGAACCCAATACAATTTTTTTTTAAAGATTTTATTTATTTAATTGATAGAGAGAGGAGGAGCACAGAGGGAGAAGAAGACTCCCTGCTGAGCAGATAGCCCGATGTGGGGCTCGGTCCCAGGACCCTGAGATCATGACCTGAGCCAAAGGCAGATGCTTAACCGACTGAGCCACCCAGGCACCCCCAACAAAATTTTCATAGAGAAGTATATGAAAAGCACTTATAAAATACAAATTTTAGTATGATATAAAACTGCTTAAAATCTAAAAATATTTACCAATAACTCTGAGAGAAAAATATTTGCAACTCTCATTGGTCTTAAAAAAATTAATATTTTACATAATAGGATCTCTCAAAAACTCAATACTTTCTTATATTTTTCATATTATTTATATATAGTAATTCCCTTATTTCATAGTTTCAGGTATTAAATTTACATATTTCTCTAGTTATTATATACATATACATAAATATGTACTGACATTTTCCTTTATCAAAAATATTCCATAACATAATCACACACATAACAATATTTTATACTTCAGCAGCAATACAAGAAATGTGGAAAAGCAATGCCCAAATCTATAGACTGGTTCATTTCTTAAAACTTTTCTTTAATATATACATTTATATTTATTTCCCAAAAATAAACATGTTGCTAACAAAAGGATATTCAGCTTCCCAAATCAAAAGTACTTTTGGTTAAAAAAAAAAAAGTCATCAGTACGTTTTTTGTTTTATGCTGAAAAGGAAATAGAAAACAAAGAACTTTTTGTTGTTACACTAATCTTGCTGTGATGGTAAAAAAAGAAAAATATGCTTTCAGCAAAAGAAAATCTTGCCAAAATATAGCATTTTGCCAGCATGATTATTTTAGCTTCTGGTATTTGAAAATGATTTGCTGGGGGGTAGGCATCATCATAAAATATGCAAATATTCACATAAAAAGTAAGAGGAAAAACAAAAAGTTTTCAGTGCAGTAGAAGCATATACATTTCTGGCTCTGTTTACTCTTCATAAGCTTCAAAACCAAATACTCAAAAAATCATTCTACAAATCTACTGATTTTATAGTACAATTTCCCCAGTATAGTTTATTCCTTCTAATACTTAGCTGTTTAGCAGAAGGTAACATTTCAAAACAATCTCTACTAAATCAGCTAGAGTTAACATTAGCTTATACAGCTAGCCATCCAACTTTAAAGCTCAAAAATTGCTATGGCAGAGACCGTGAACCATCAGCATGTTTAACTTCTGTCCCACCTTCCTTTAGTTGGACAGGGAGGAACTGAAAACTGCATTTCTCACACTCAATTGCAGCCAGGGTTCAGGATGTGACTTAGGTTCTGCCAAGCAGATATACTTGCTTCAGATTTGGAAAGCAGAAGCAAAGCAGAAGTCATCACCCTGGCCTGTTTTGGCTTTTTTCTTTTGGCAAGAGGATCATGGAAATAGGAGGTTTTCTACAAGTGTCTCAGTTTACATTCTCCAGCTTCCCCTCACCATGAGGCAGCTTTACTAACTCCTGTGTATCAGGCAGGCCTGAGCTCACAGCTCAGAGGTAGTACCACCCTTGGTGGATGATATCTACATTGTTATTCCTAGAGATTCAGTCTAGAATCCATTCTTTCTCAAGTGTTCTAAAACTCTGTAATCACCCAATCCCTCCATTAAATCCCTTTCTGTTTACCTACAGTGGCTTCTATGTCATGCTGAGTCCTAATATATCCATGGCTGGCTAGGACTTTAAGTCATCTAACACATGAAGGGAATAGAATATGATAAATCATGATCCACTTTAGAAATATTAAAAAAAAAAAAAAAAAAAAGGTCAAGCATGTGAATACTTACCCCAGACTTCACATCATATAAAGTATGTGTAAGGGTGATTTTGAAGACTGCATGAGATCGACTACTCTCCTCATTCATGTTGGTGGCAGCAACTGTGCGAGACTTGTTACCTTCAGACATCAAAGACTCAATATCCTAAGTAGAAACAAGTCACAGACACACATTTCATTACCTGTCAAATAAACATCAAAACTCTGCTATCCTATGAAATGCATTACAAGTTTCACTACTCAGTCAACCACATTTGGAGTTTACACATTTATACTTTGCTTCTCAACGAACATTAAGCCCCACAGAATATAAGAGCCAATACTGTCTCTGAAAACTCAAACAAAACACATTTATTTTCTGTAGGTGCCAAATAAAATAGCAGCTTTGACTAAGAATTAGAAAAATTTAGAAGCCACATGTGGAGACCCATAAGATGGACAAATGATTTGTGCCAAACTTCATCTAATCGAGAAATTTAGTTTCTTTAATGACAGAAGCAATAGAAGACAACTATTAAATCAGCTTATTTGAATAAGCAACAAACAAAAATAACTGTAACCCCTTCATGCAGGCATTACACTGTCACCACATTATTGTATTTTATACCACACCTGTTTTTGAAAACAGAGTATCAAGAAACTAAATTTCTGCAGATTTACTCCTTCATTGCCATTACTGTTAAAAAGGAGATAGCATGGGGCGCCTGGGTGGCTCAGTCGTTAAGTGTCTGCCTTCGGCTCAGGTCATGATCTCAGGGTCCTGGGATCAAGCCCCATATTGGGCTCCCTGCTCGGTGCGAAGCCTGCTTCTCCCTCTCCCACTCCCCCTGCTTGTGTTCCCTCTCTCGCTGTGTCTCTCTCTGTCAAATAAATAAAATATTAAAAAAAAAAAAAAAGGAGATAGCATGATGCACTTGAAAGATCATGGGATGGGATCTTCATTTTTTCAAACGTCATAAGCTCTAAAAATAGTTACTAACCAAACTGAATTTTAGTTTCATAAGTAACAATGCAGAGCTATAATATAATCTACCTTACAAGGATTTTGAACAAGGAACAAGAAAGATGGTACGTATGAAAGGGTGGACCAGTTGTCTCCTCTTACCCTGTCTCATTTTCTTTCTAGTAAAGGAACCCATAGCTGAGCACCTTGCAGTGGAACTGAGACTACATTTCCCAGATGCCCTTGCAGCTCAGTCTGGCCGTAGGATTAAGTTTTGGCGAATGAGACACAAAGTCATCTGGGAATTCTCCTTAAAGGGAGCAGGCAGGCTCTCACATCTTGGTTCTAAGAGCTTGAGATCTTGAACTATGAGAATAAGGGCATTACCACAGAGCTGGCTCTCTGTGGAGAGTTGGAAGGAATCTAGGTCCCCAAAAGCATCTTTGGAGCCACTGTATCAGCCCTCTGACCATTCATTCTTTCATCCATTCATTTGTTCACGTAAATAATACATGAAAGCCACCTATTACATGACAGGTACATTCTGAATTCTGAGAATAAATAAGGAACAAAATAGAAGACAATTCATGTCCCAAAGAACTTAAATCCTATTATATTTTCCTGTTATTTGTAACCAACACAATCCTAACTGACACATATATATGAAGAACTTTGAAAATCATAATTTTCTATTTGGCTGTATCAATGAAAAAGAATAATGTTTATGAAAAAATTCAATATGATCAATAAAAAGCCTCGAAGTAGAAACATTAACTACAAAGAGAAGTTTAAGTAGGCACCAAAATGGAAAAACCAACACAAAAAGTAAAATTCACAATTTTTTAGAACCATTCCAAATGCATTTTAGATCTATTAAATCTGACAATCCTGAGACTTACTGTAAAAGCTTCACCTTATTTAGCCCACACTTATTTATTGGCCCCCAATCTGTTGTCTCATGCATAAACTCTGTATTGAGCCTTTTAATTTCTTAAACAAGCAGAATATCTCTTTACACTTCCAATCTCCTCTGAGCCTTCAAAAACATGATTTCTCTCCAATGTTGTATAAACAAGTTCTCAAGTGATCATTATTAAAATAACAATACCTACTAACATTTATATCAAACCCTAGCATTCTCAAAGACTTTTCACATTATTTCATTCAATCTCCTCCAGGAAATCTTCCTAGACACCACCCATCCCAGATACCTACATGTCCCTTTAAGTTAGGTACCCTCTCCTCCAAACTACCATGAATCCTAAACATGCATTTCTCACTGCTCTTAAAATCATGTTGTTTTAGAACATCTTTATAATAACATCTATAAGCATCTTGAGGAAATGGACCATCTCATTCACTTTTTATATCCTCAGCACCGAGCACAATGTCTGGCACATGACAGGTGTTCAATACATGTTTACCAAATGAAGTATCTAATGTTTACTAAATAAGTATCATTGACCAAATGATAGAAATGATTAATAAACAAAAAAACAAATGGACCTACCTCATAAGATAGTCAAGAAAATAAAACTAATTTCCATTTTAAAAATGGGGACAAAAAGGCTTAGTGAGGTAGGTGATCCAGAGTCATACAAGAGTCACACAAGAGGATTAAGTGTCACCAGATCAACATTCTCTGACTCTTAACTCAATGTACATTACATCACAGCATCTCACTCCACCCCCATTTCCCCAACACGCTAAGCCTGATGGATCCACACAAAGCAGAACTGTAAGTTTGAAAATGAAGAGAATCAAAGGCCAGTGAGTGATCCTCTCAAATTTAGAAACAGACTTTGAATTCCAACTACCCGATTCATATGTTTTATTTCATTAAATCAATGAAACCATAGGCAACTTCATTATCTTATGCACTACTAGGGAAGAAAAATGCTGCTATATATAATTTTAAGATGCAATTGTAAGGAATATCACAACCTTAGAGCTCATTAAAATATGAAAAAAAGGTATGCTTTGCAAATGTGTATACCTTCTCTCAAAATTAAACTGTCCTAATAGCCATATATAGCTCTTTAAGAAAAATCCTTGTAAAAAGCTTATTAAGTAATGCTGTTAATTTTTTTAATTTCAAGAAAAATAATCATCAGAAATTAAATAAGAAATAATCTGCTACAGTGAATTTCAGCAGTTTACAGAAAGGAGATTATTACCTTGTAGCTTGTGACAGCCAGTTTGGAAAGTCCGTCGACATAGGGTCCCAAAACATTGTGCTCTCTGACTTTTAACGTTTGACGACTTCTGCTCATTAAAAAGAAAGAAAGAATTTTAAAACAACAACCTGTTTGTGCTCCATAAAAATATATACTGAATTCAACAAAGATCCCAAGTAAAAACAACCAACTAACTTGATCTAAGAAGAATATAAACCAAAATTTAAAATCTTGACTGGTAAGAAAAACTTCATAATGTGGTAAAATATCACATCACTCAAAAGGGTACACTGTGGGATGTCTATTTACTACCACAAAGAATGCAGAGTCAAATAAATACAAACAATCTATTTGTCATTTCACAGAATGTGGTACAAAGAACAGAAACTCAATAAATGTTAACTGTGCAAGAAAGAAAACTCAAGACCAATCTCAATCATGAATAAAGACAAACAACAGACTGATTTTAATAATGACTTAAAAGTATAACATTAGGCTGATCCCAGGGCTACTGGGTTGTTTTAACATGGGAAAAAGATTCACACCCTTTACCACACTAGACTAACAGATTGACTAAATGGGGGGGAAAAAAACACATTATCATTTCAATAAATGTAGTGAAATGGATTCAATAAAATTACTTATTCATGATTAAAAAACAAATAAATACCACTTACAAACAAGGAACTAATAAACTCAGTAAGTGGCATCTGCCAAAAACCTAAATCATACTTAATTATACCAACCAAAAAACATTAAGAATATTCCTTGATGATTGTATGGTAAATGAATTCTATCTCAAAAAAGCTCTGTAAAAAATATAAACATTACAGGGACGCCTGGGTGGCTCAGTCGTTAGGCGTCTGCCTTCGGCTCAGGTCATGATCCCAGGGTCCTGGGATCGAGTCCCACATTGGGCTCCTTGCTCAGTGAGGAGCCTGCTTCTCCCTCTCCCTCTGCTGCTCCCCCTGCTTGTGCTCTCTCTCTCTCTCTGACAAATAAATAAATAAAAATCTTTAAAAAAATAATATATATATAAACATTACAATAAAAAAAATTGTTGATAGTGAGATTGCAAGTGATTCTTACTTATGAACTTATTTTCTAATGATTTGAAATCCTCTACTAACCTAGGATCAGCCACCAAAAACTTCACTTACTACTATAAAACTGTACATGAAATAAATATAGAACAAATATTTGACTTAAGTCTGATCTCAGGACATACTATATCATAACTTTTCCTTTCATTTTTCCTCTTCTCTTAAAAAGATACTGAATTCATAAAATCAGTACTTGATTTAAAAAAAACTAAGTTCTCTTGGGGTGCCTGGATGGCTCAGTCGGTTAAGCATCCGACTCTTGATTTCGGCTCAGGTCATGATCTCAAAGGTTGTTGAGATTGAGCTCCATGTTGGGTTCCATGCTCAACTGAAATAAATAAATAAATAAGTCTTACCAAAAAAACCAACTAAGTTTTCTCAAATAGTCTTTCACTAAAAAGGGATTGCCCTTAGAGTTTTTAATCCATTCACTTCGACTCTTCAGAAGCAATGGAAAAATCCTCAAGAAACTTTCATGGAGGAGACAGCAGTAGCAACTAGCACTTTACTGAGCACTTACTAAGTAAATGTTTAAAGACCTCAGGTATATCATCCCAGCCAATCTCCACAACAGCCCTCTGTGATATTATGTAATGTTATCATCCCCTCGGTACAAATGAGGCCAGGAAAACATAAGGAACTTGCTCTGTAGGTAATTAGAGGACCTGGATGCAGAGCTATGTGAACCCCAAGCCCATGCTGTTAATTACTAACGATACACAAGATAAACATAATAAGAAATTACAAAAGACTGAGCAAATTGTAGATAAAGTTCAAGCGATTCCACACAAGCACTGTGGTATACAAAACACAGGAATGAATTCAGCTAAGCATTTCTGGCAAGAGTAGGTCTGGGATCGCTAAGAAAGTGATGCTCTTCACAGAGGTGAAGGTGCAAGGATGAGTGTTCAGGGCAGAGTCGGGAAAAGTACAAGGACACAGTATTTAGCAAGATGTGGGTACCTAGGCTATAACCTTCCTACCTCTGGCCTCCTTTTGTTTCCTGTTTTGACTTTCATGTTTGGTGCCCCCCAGCCACACTGGACAGTGGGGTCACTCTCTAAGCAAGTGATTTCTCACAGCTCCATGCTCTAGCACAGGCTGTCCCCTATGCCTGAATGGTTCTCACCTAACTTAGTGGACAAACTCCTTCTCAGCACAAAAATCATCAAGCACCTTCCATGGAATCTTCTCTTCATTCTCTCTTTGCTCTCACCTATTTTGAATACACCTCTTTCGCAATTTAAAAGCATTATTACATTGTATTATAATTATTTGTTTCCAAAACTCATTCCGTCCACGCTGTGAGATCTTCCTTTCCAACTTGCATAGGGCCCAGCACATAATAATGATCATTGAGCAGATGTTAAGTTTTACAGAGAAACACTTAAGCGCCAACTGAATGTCACTGGGAAAAGGCCATCATCTTTGTCAAAGAAAAGAGATGCCAATGAGGGGTTGACACATTTTCTTGATTGAGCATCACTACGATGCACTGCTTCTAAGACCACCTTTCTTTGGTCATTTTCTCACCCAAACATAACTAAATGTCCCTTGGTAACTCCGCACTCTCTGTAAAACCTCAGCTCACTTGACTCTCTGACCTTATGAACACTGTTCTCACATCTATAAGCCACAGGCTGTGGTTATTATCGGTTTCTTGCTCATCGTGGTTGCACTTCCTTAAAATCTGACTCAGAAAACTCTGCAATGGACAGATTTCCTCAGATATGTCTATGACTGCAGAGTGAGAACAGCATTTTCTTAGCTTTCTAATACTTTCGAACCACTTCTCTTTCAAAGTCTATGCTGTAAAAGGGGACACTCTTTTTCTCTGGGAATTTTTTAAATGAACTATCCTAAAGTCCAGGTTTTAAATCTCTGATTATGCATCTCCCTTACTTCATAGCCTACAAAGAAAAAAATAGCTAAATTCCACCTGAAATTTCTTGGTCTTTTTTTAAAAAAAAGAAAGAAAAAACCCTACTTGATTAAGGATACCAGCCTGATATTAAGTAACTTAATTTTCATTGCATATTTTTTGTTTGTGGTTTTGTGTATATCTGAGAAAAACAGTATCAGGCAAATACATGCGTTTGGCAATACTTCCCTGCCCCAACTTAGCCCTAAATGCAAAAGCCAGAACTGAATGCAGGAAGCTGCTCAATGTGACTAAAAACAAAATCACAAGGACAATGACTAGATAATCAGATTAAAGCACAAAGACAATCACTAGATAAATAACTCTCTACCAGAGTTCAATATAAAAAATTTCACTTGAGTCAATTTCTAAGTCTGTTTTAGTCCACAATGCTGTAACATTAGAGTTTCCAAAGTCCTTTACCCTTTGGGATCAAGAAGGTCTCTAACTTTTTCATTATAAATTTCCATATAGGACACTTCTACTTTAAAACTCTGCTCTTCATTTTCCTCTTTCTGAGTTCGTTCAAAGAGTCCACTACAAAGTCTTGGAATTAATCCAGGTTGGTCAGCTGTGCCCATCATGGTGTAAGATTTTCCAGATCCTAAAAAGTAGAAATCATAGTTATCACTGTCTCTGAGAAGTTTAAATACATAACCCTCTTTCCATTGCTCATAAATAAATTACTAGCACTTAGCAAAATGCCCAAACGAAAATAAGAAATATACCCAAATAAAATGACAAGACTAATAAATACAGAAGCTTTCCTATTACACATGTAAAATCTGAAGTAAATATCTTGTAGGAAGAAAATAAAAACATTCTTTAACCATCTTCATACTTTAAAAAAGTACCTAAAAGAACCAGAAAACAGTAAGGTCTGAGTTGCTTTCTAAAATTAACTGGGAAGATCCATATGATGAATACTATGTGACTGCTCCCAACCACTAATCATAGCACAAAAAATACACATTATCCCTATAGGCCCCAGAGCAAATTCACTTACTACTCTCTGGCAACAGTGTAGAAACCAAAGAGTAAGCTTCTTTTTCTACTATAAAATTATTTTCTCCATTGTACCAAAAAATACATATTCATTAAAGAAAATACAGAGAACACAGGAAAATAGAAAGGAAAACATTAAATTGTGCATAGTCCTACCTTAAGTACAACTCTTTATCCTTCTTTAGTACCAATGTTTTTATAAATGTATTTTTTTTAAATTGCTGCTTTTATCACTTGACACTTTATCAATATCATAATAACTAAAACAAAAACACCACTTCTTAAGGACCAGGCCTTTTCTATAAGTTTTCCATGTTAACTCATTGTGACAACCCTATAGGGAAGGCCTGTACTCACCAACACTTTACAGATAAGGAAACTGAACTGTTTCCTAGAATCTAGGCTGGAGATGGGCTACCCTGGCTCTTTTAACCAAATCCATGCCCTTTTAACCAAATCACATACTGCCTCTTAAAAAATATTGGAAGCATTCTTCCATAAAGAATAGTTTTCAACTGGACAAGCTATACATACACCCTTATAAAAGTGACTCCTTCACTTTAAACAGATTTTCTTTCCTGGTAACTGCAGAAGTACAGAAGTACAGAAGTCAAAATGCTCCTTATCAACTGCAACTGATAAGATCCTAACAATATGTTTTCTCTTTGTTACTTTCTCTGTTATGATCTTTAAAGCTTAAATACATATATTTAATATTATATATATTTAATAAATAATATATATATTATTTAACATTACCAGTCTGTCCATAGGCAAAGATACATGCATTGTAACCATCAAAAGCATTCTGAAGGATATTCTCCCCAAGGCACTTGAAAACATCATCTTGACCTGAAAGAGAGAGAGAGAAAAAGAAGAAGAAAGGGTATTTTACTGATGGGTATTAAGGAGGGCATGTGTGGGGCGCCTGGGTGGCTCAGTTGGTTAAGCGACTGCCTTCGGCTCAGGTCATGATCCTGGAGTCCCGGGATCAAGTCCCACATCGGGCTCCCTGCTTGGCAGGAAGTCTGCTTCTCCCTCTGACCCTCCTCCCTCTCATGCTCTCTGCCTCTCATTCTCTCTCTCGCAAATAAATAAAATCTTAAAAAAAAAATTTTTTTTTTAAAAAGGAGGGCACGTGTGGTGATGAGCACTGGGTGTTATATGCAACTAATGAATCACTGAACACTACATCAAAAACTAATGATGTACTATATGCTGGCTAATTGAACATAATAAAAAAATTAATTTTAAAAGAAAGAAAATTTTAAGCCAAAACTACATATGAACAATTTTTTTGAAAACTAAAAACAACCCCCTTAAAAATGCACTTTTTCTAACTGTCTATCTCCAAACAAGATTTTTAGACCTGATAAATGCTTCCAAAAGCTTATGGCCTTCGAGTATTTCTGGTTAGCACATGATAGGAAATGAGTAAAAAGTTCCTGATGATATGAACTTGAATTAATAAACACTAAACAAAAATCCTCTGCAATGCAAAAAGCTAATGAACTGCTAATTTTATAAACAATGATTATAAATATCTAAAATTTGTACTAGGGACCTCCGTGGACCTGAATTCAACTATATATCACCAGCTAATGCTTTATTCAGTGGGTACTAGAATTCAAAACAATCATACATATCAATCTCCTCTCCTTTTCCTCAATGATAATTTTTATTAATAGGGCCTACAATATATATACCACCTAGAGGAGGGAAGAATATCTTGAAAATGTCTTCTAGCTTTCAGTCATGAACAAAAATAATAGGTTCAAATTCTCCTCCACAGGCTAAATTAAGTATGTTAATAAAACAAAGTCATTCAACCTCTCTTTGAGTCTTGAATATACTATGAAAGAACTGGATGTTGTTATGTTTGTTATACTTTGAATGCTATGAATAACATTCCATTACGCCCCACTTCCTAGTTAATTTCCCAGATTAGTATATCATCATCTTACTTCCGATACAGAAGCAATCCGTAAGCAATCCACTGAGCCAGCTAGAGCAAATTAACCTTAGCTTTTTGAACCTGCTATAGTACTACTCTGTCTCATGACAAAAGCCAACACAATTATGACCCTCAATATTTAAAAGATACTGCTTAGAAACAGGTGTCATAAGCAGTTAGGAATAAAGCAAATTAAAAGGCTGGCCCTGTAGTCCTAAATTTGTGGTGTAAAGGAGCTTGAGACAGTCTTGTTGAGGAGGGTAAGGGAATAACAGAATTCCAAGCTGGCAGGAGCAGAACCTAGACTAAACTACAGGTTTCCTCTTCCCCTTGCTCAACTTTCCTACACCAAGTTGCCTCTCTAGACCACATCACAGACATCTAAGGGAGTCTAAGTGGCTACTGTGTGCTCCATGTCCCATGTAAGGTCTGGGAATGTGTTTGATAACCTCAACTGTGTACAGCACACTGTCAATCTCCTATATCCCCATCAATGTAAAAACAGCAGAGACAGGAGGAAATTCTTAATACAGTTCTTAAAGTTACACAAAATAATGCTGTAATACTTTATGGGAAAAAATTAAAACACCTTTTCTATAGTAGTTAATAGGATGCTGTACTTACCTGCATACTTTTCTCTGACTGATTCATCCATAGACCAGAAACAGTGATCATATGCAAACACCTGTTGAAAAACAAAAATATGGCATATACTAAGAACAAAACCTTAACATACTTATAATATTATAAGTGTTATAACACTGATAATGCTGTTCATAGTAGTGAAATAAAAATACCTTACTGTCTTAACAATGGAGGTTACTTGAATTATTTATGGTACAGTTTTACAATGAACAACTAAGTATCCTGGAAATGATACCGACCTTTATTTCACATGGAAAATCCTTCACGATGTTAAGTGGAAAAAAGGGGTTACAAAAGCCATAATATGATGGCTATCATATACACATATACAAACAAATACATACATAGTTACACATAGTTTATTTCTGCATGTAAGATTAGTGATCTTTGTCTTCTTTATACTTTTATGCATTCTCTACATTTTTACTTTCTCAGAGACAATAAAGATATTTTTATAAGAATGAAATGTAAAGATGATTACTATGGCAAGTTGAAAGGAGTTATAAAATAGCAGATTCAAAAAATCATCACACCCATGTGCAATATTGCACAGCTTCAAGACTGCAGAATACTGGTAAGAAAATGTTCCTGTATTAATGTAAAAGTTATGAAAAGTCTGGACCATGATCCCATGTTTGTACCAAAATCTATACAGATAAAAAACTGTAAGAATATACACTGGAATATGGTTAGTGGTTAATACCACCTGGTGGGACATCATAGATGATCTCTGTTTGGATCTTTTACATTTACTACTTGCCAAAATATGCATACTTCTTTTTTTTGCAATCTTTTAAGTTTTTTTCACTGAATTTCTTCTTTTGGATTCCATATTTATAATTAAGTCTCTAAGGATTTTAAGTGTAATCGTTTTTAAACCTTTTTTTTTTTATTTGAGAGAGAGCGTGCACATGAGTGGGGGGGGGGGCAGGGACAGAGGAAGAGGGAGGGAGACAAGCAGATTCCCCACTGACTGCAGAGCCCAAGGCAGTGCTCGATCCCAGGACCCTGGGATCATGACCTGAGCCCAAGGTAGACGCTTAACTGACTGAGCCACCCAGGCGCCCCAAGTGTAATTGTTTTTAAAATCATTTCAGTAGTTCAAACTCTCCAATTTTTGGGTCTGTTGCCTCTCTTCCTGTTGACAGTTTTCCTCTTGAGCCTTTATGTCAATTTGCAAGTGCATCTTAATTGAGAGTTTGTGTTTTATGGTTTATGTGGTTGCTTGTTTTTTTTCTCTCTCTCTGGCCACCTTTACATGACTAGCCACAATGCAACTCCCAGCTACCGAAGCCCAGATTTTGGTCTTCCCGAAGTCCAACGTCTCCACGCCCTCCAATTTACACATACAGCTCAATGTTGGTGGCCTGAACCCTTTCCTTAAGCCTTCATTCATGTTGGAGCCTAACTCAAATCAGTTTTCACTGATTTTTCCAGTCCTCACCCATACATCAGGCCCCCTCTAATCTGCAAGAGGTGAACTTCTAATCACCTCTGAGAACCTGCCTCTGATCCCAAGACCCAGTAAATACATGGCTTCAGCTTGTCCCTGAAGTTACATTATGTTGTTTTTGAATATGATGACATGATTTTAGTATTTTAAAAATATTTTCTCTGTTCCTGCTATGAGTTTGGAGTTGGCAGGAGATTACATCTGTCTGAACTCACAGGCTACCTGGACCAAAGGTCTAAAAGTTTTTTAAAGAAAGGAAATTAGATTAAGGTGGTAAATTAAGTATACATGCCTATATCCCTCTCCCACCTGAAATCAACTCAAAATGATGGAGGGAGATAGGAAGTGAAAGGGCCAAAAGGTGAAAGAAGAAGGGAAAGGAGAATTAAGTTTTTGAAAGCTAGACTTCTTGCTTGTACCTAGATGAGAAATTGAGACTCCCTGAAAAAGAGTTGCAATGAGAATGTTGAGGGATAGAATGGGGTGGAGTGGGGGCCACACGGGGACCACAGGCCAAAACACTGCAGAAGAATATGGCTGCAAAGGTAAGACCAGTTCTGGAAGGGCATCAGGAGAACAATTAAATGAGCAACGAGAGGGCCCTGGGGGCAACCATCAGGACAACTGGTTAAAAAGACCTTTAAAGCAGAAAATGATCAGAACACTCATATCTTTTTTCAAAACATCAGGCAAGGGAGGCGTCTCTTCCCTGGAAGGGGGCAGTGATGGCCTAGCTAGGCCCAAAAGGCCAGGCAAAGCCCAATGGCTGAAAATACCCAGGAAGAGGCAAGAGCCCTGGAGCCCAGAAGCTATCCACTGGCTAAAGCGCAGCGTTGTACATTACAATGCTCCACATGTTTCCAAAGCTAAACATGTATCTGTCAAGAGTGGTGGCTCACTGTGTTAACAACACTCCAAGAGGGGGAAGAGGAAATGAAAAAGGAAGATGGAAGGTGGTCCCAAAGGACCATGTATCACAATTTCGGGTAGAGGGCTGCTTTTCAAGCTACATTCGTCAGCCGTAGTGAGAATCATTACAGCATGGTGAGAATAAAGAAAGTGTGAAGTTCAAATTAAGTTTCTTCTGTACTAGCTTTCAACTCTCATCTCTTATAATTTTATTTAATTCTGTTCTCAACAAGGTTAAGCAGAAACTATCCTTTTTTTGTAAGCTTAGCTCTCACTTCAAAGGTGCCATCACCATATGTGTGTACTTATCAGAAAGCAGGCTCTACATGACACTCTTCTCTCAATTATTACGGGTTTTTCTTTCTTCTCTCTTTTTTTTTAAATTTAGGGATTTCCTTAACAACTGCATTTCTAAATCTCAAATCCAGTAGAGAAGCTACTATTAAAGTAACCATTACAATAGCCGATACAGGTGCTAGGCCCTGTTCATGGGACGCTGAGGTACAAAGAAGTGAAGAACCTGCTGGCTGGCAGGTGGGGAAGCTGGGATTGGAAACCAGCCTTTCCGCCAAGAGGCTGTTTAATACTAGGCTGGATTGGCTCCATTCCCCAAATTATATGAAAGCACCGCAGCCTGGTACAAAGTTAGGAACTAATGAACACTTAGTTCTTACAATGCTAAATGGTCCTCTTCAAGTTCTAGCAATTTTGCTATTATAGGAGTCTTTAAATTGTTATAGGAATCGTCAGCCAAGAATTTCCTAAAGCAGACAAGCCCTTTTCTTTCTAAATATTATTCTTTTAAAATTAAAAAAAAAAAAAAACTTTTTTCAAGTAACAGTAAAGAAAGACACATTCATTGCATGAAGTTAAATAACACCAAAATATAAAGTGAAAAATAAAGGTCTCCCATTCACCAAGATACCTCTCCCTAGACATAACCACTATGTTAGTAATGTGGTGTTGATCCTTCCATACTTTTTATGTCAAGTCAACATTTTCTCTAAACATTAAGATACAACTGAATTAAATAAAACATGAATAGTTTTTAAATGGCCGTGTAATGTTTCCTCACATCTTTACTGCAATCTCCAGTCTCTGGCTCCATCAAAAAATCAGAAAACAGAAATAATCCAATACCTTTTCACAGAAGAGGTAAAACTTATATAGTTGATTTTTACCTTTATAAAGAAATCCAGTGCCATATTAAACTATAAAAAAAATTACTCAGTCCCCAAGAGCCGTGTCTATACATATTTTAGCAACAATAGAGAATGGAATTACAATTCAACCGCAGACTCAAAAACAAAATCCCAAGAATGTAGATAAAAATCTGAATTTCCTGACAAGTTCCAAGTAATGGCAGCAAATGGTCAATTCAAAAATATAGTCCTTGTGCCCACTTTGGCACAAATTCCTTGAGAGATACAAGAACTGATGCACTCCACTGAAATTTCTTTAGAATCTGGGCTCAAATCTAAAATGAAGCACATTTGCCTGATGAAGCTGTGGCCTGAGAATATGTCCCCAGCTGTCAGGGGAACAACATAGATGAGTCTGACCACAGTCTGGAATGACCAGTTTCAAGCCAATCATGGTGAACAGCAGAGGACAAAAGGAATCTGTTGTAGTTGCCAGGAAACTGGCCAGAATTGGTCAAAGTACAAATACAGCTTTTCCATAAACCTCCAGTCCCTCCTATGCCAATAAATGATTTCGGATTTATGAACAGGCTGACAGCTTGCATTACTTTTACCAAAGTGACAGAGAGAAAATATTTTTGAGAAGAAAATTACCAGTACTTCAAAAATACGCACATAAGATCTTTACAAACATTGCATAATAAAGCAAATCTCTTACCTTTGGCTGGCTTCTGCGTTTCCAAAAGAGATGTCATTGTGGACAGGAAAGAAGAGGGGAGAGAGTTAAAAAAATTTTGGGGGGTTAGAAGACAATTTTGACAGGTAAAATGAAAATAAACACCATGTAAATTTTTAGTAAGAATACAAAATATTAACTTTGAAATCAAATAGCAATTTAAAATAAAGGATAAATTAATAACCTCAAACTATAACCTCGAACTAGCAGGGTAGAGTCCTTAATTACAGATAACTAACTTGTATCTCTCAGGAAAAAGAAACATTATCTGAGCACTGGATAATTATTAAAGTCCTAATATTTCCGCCTTATGCACTCTGCTTATCCTTGTATCAGTCTTGCAAATATATAATTTAAACAGTCTTTACTTTCTATCATCTGATTTCACTTCCAAGTAGTTTTCTCTGCTTTGATACAGCAGCAGCTCACTAGATAGGCCCTTCTATAAAAAAAACTGAATTCTGCTCTGGCTAAGGAAAAAGGTTAAAGAAACAACAGTGAATTCTTACTTACTGAATTACTCACTTATTACCTATTGATCTATGCTTACCCAAGTGCGTCTAACCTCCCTCACCCCAAAACTATGACTCATACCTCCTCAGGGTACAGAGATATAACTAAGCCCAGTATACTTTGGAGATAGATTTAAACTTAGAGAAAAGTTGCGAGAAAAGCACAAAAAACTCCCTTCACCCAAATTCACCAAGTGTTAACATCACCACAGCTACTATTGTCATTCTCCCCTCCTCCATATACAGACAGATATACACATATATATATTAGTTTTCTCCTACTCATCTGAGAGTAAGCTGCAGACATGCCCCTTAATGCTAAACACTTCAGTGTCTAATTCCTCAAAACAACGATGTTCACTTTCATAATCATGGTACAATGTCAAAATCAGAAAATTTAAAAATAAAGGAAAGGACTTTGGAAACTGGAGACAAAAACAATAACTGGAGCTTTAGTCTCTCTCCAAGGATCAAAATGCCAACTCAAACCTAAAACCTGAAAGGAAAATGAACACAGAAGTATTTCCTTCTAATTTTCTATACAACTTCTTGTCCCTCAGTCTTATAAAAAATTTTCTTCTAAAAAAAATTTAACACTTATTTGCACCAAATGATTTTAGGTAAGAACATTAAAACACCAAGGAAAGTCTAAGTGTCAAAGAGTGACACTTGTCAGATTCTGGGGTGGCGACCGATGTGGCGGACCTAGAAAAGAAAGTAGTTTTTCTGGACTCGGAAAAACTTCCCGACAAAAAAACCTGTGAGATACTGGTAGAGGTCACTGACAAATGCTGTCATCTTTGTGCTTTTTGTCTGTCAGGGCTTTGTTGTTGCTGTTGTTGTTGAGTATAAGCAATGTTAATACGTTAATTTCAGGTGTTCAACTAGTGACTGCACAGGTTTCTACACTATGCCATGCTCACCCCAAGTGTGGCCCCCATCTGTCACCATACAAAGCTGTTACAGTATCACCGACTGTATCCCCTATCCCCTATGCCGTGCCTTTCATCCCCATGACTTACTCATTCCATAACAAGAAGCCTGCATCTCCCACACCCCTTCACCCATTTTGCCCATCCACGCCCCCTTCCCCTCTGGCAACCATCAATTTGTTCTCTAAATTTATAGCTCTGATTCTGCTTTCTGTTTATTTATTCATTTAACTCGTTTTTTTAGATTCCACATATCAGTGAAATCATATGGTATTTGTCTTTTTCAGTCTCACTTCCAGTTTTACAGATGAGAAACTTAAGGCTCAGAAAAGTTAAACGAACTTGTCCAAGACACAATAACAAGCAGTGATGGGATGTCAAACTAGGTCTTCTGATTCCCAAGTCTACGTTCTTCCCCTCATCTACACTGCTCAAAACAGCCTCGTCAAGTTTCTTCTAGACCCAATCAATGAGTCATACATTAACAACTGTTCTTGCTAACAGAAACCTTTCCCAATGTATTAATTTCCTCCATTCTAATTATTACCAATAAAAGGTTACCACCTGGTGCTTATGCCAATGTAAGTTTACTTATTCATCATATTTATGAAACTCCAGACTGTTTTTTCTGAGGGAAAAATAAGATATTTAGCACGATATTTCAAGTTTAAATAAAATATTTTATACAAAAATCAGCTCTTCCTAAGAGACAATCAACAAATCTAAGATGCAATATAGGACACATCACAGAAGAATCCATGAGACTAACCTGAATTCAGAACCTAATAATAAAAACAGAAACAAACCAGTAAATTAATTACAGAGCTAAGTTTCCAGCTAGGGATTCTGGTGACTACAGCAGTCAAGCTCAAATAACCTACAGAGCCACTGGAAACCCAAAGATGTAATTACAGCTCCGTACAAAAATAAATGAGTAAATCAATTAATGAAACAAAACCTTTCAAAGTATAGTTGCAATCCAATATGGTAATGGCTAACTTCTCCCCAAATCCCTTATTTAGAAACCTCAGCTATCCAGCTCCCAGCGGAGATTTAGGAAGCAAAGAAAACCAGCCCCTGACCAATCAAAAGAGCCGTCACAAAGTAAAAACATAAAGTCTTGGTTTCTCTCGGCTGAGCTGAATTACTTTTTGTTGTTGTTGCTTAACTTCATTTTAAATACCTTCAGGCTCAAAAAACATTCCAAAAGTAGTACAAAGAATTCCTGTATACCCTTCACCCAGCTTCCCCAAATGTGGATGTCTTATATAACCACAGTCATTATGATCAAAACCAGGAAATTAACCACCAATAGAAAACTTATTAAATAATCTAGAGCCGGGCGCCTGGGTGGCTCAGTTGGTTAAGCGACTGCCTTCGGCTCAGGTCATGATCCTGGGGTCCCTGGATCGAGTCCCGCATCGGGCTCCCTGCTCGGCAGGGAGTCTGCTTCTCCCTCTGACCCTCCCCCCTCTCATGTGCTCTCTCTCATTCTCTCAGTCTCAAATAAATAAATAAAATCTTTAAAAAATAATAATAATCTAGAGCCAACCTTATAAAAATGTTTTGCCAACTGTATCCCACTGATGTCCCTTTTCTGGTCCAGGATCACACCTTGCATGTGGTTGTCTGTTTCCTCCCATCTGGGACAGTCTGTCTCTCATGACCTTGACACTTGAAGAGTACTGGCCAATTATTTTGTAGAATGTCCTTCAATGTGGGTTTCTCTAATGTTTCCCCATAACTAAGCTTGGGTTATGCGTTTTGGCAAGCACAACACTACAGGTAATATTGTGCCCTTCTCAGTGCCTCACACCAGAAAGTACATGACGATGTCCATCCATGTTTCATAACTGATCATGGCAACTCTATGATCATTTGCTTACAATTGCATCTACTAGGTTTCTCGATGTAACATTACCAATTTTCCCTTTGTACATTTTTCTTATTGGGGGAGACTTTGAGACTATATAAATACCGTCTCTCATCATACTTTCACCCACAAATTTGAGCATCCATTGATGAATCTTGCCTGCAACAATTACTGTTTCCCAAATGGTGACTGGCCCAGGTGGATTGATATGGACAGATGTGCTTTTTTTAGGAAGAGGTAAACTTGGGAAACAAATTATTTAGTTGCATAGTTTGGATAAAACAGTTATCTACAAAGAAGCTACTCATCTCCTTTTTACTGACCTGGTTTAGGGGTACAGCTCACATCTCATTTAAATAATACATTATACCATAAAATTAAGTCCAATTACACTTCCAATTTTTTAAATGCCACGATATGAAGAAGAAATTTAATGATGATTTTATATAAATTAGTGATCTTTGGAAGTCTTTATTGATACTTTTGACCATAATAAATATAAAATCAATATTGGGTCCAAAATAAACCACATAATATCCTGTATGTGTAAAACACAAAACAGTATCAGTAGAAGGACAAGTTACAAATCAATTACTGCTGTCCAACTACCAAAATTGAACATATCCAAATACCAACACCTCTTTTAATTTTACATTTGTTTAACTTTCTGAAACCTTCACAATTAGAAATATTTGGAATCTCTGTTTTAACAGGATCTCTCTCCAGCCCGCTCCATAATGGATGTATACATCACAAAGAGCTTATTCTGATACAGCCATTCTACATAATGATATTGTTGTTTTTCGGACTTAGCTGGCAGTACCAGCAACCAACAACAATCTGTGTGATGATCATTATTTTTTCTTGGTTACCCCTCCCCCAAGGTGCTTCCTGCATAAGGAATAAAACTTGATCTGACTACAATTTTCAACACTGAATAGACTCACAAAAGAGTCAATCTTTGCTTATCTCACCAGCTTTAATAAAAACATCACTAAAAGCCCTGTTTAGTGTCTCATCGACATGTGGAGTACTCCCTTCATTTTTGAAGAATAAATTTTAAAAGCATTATTGATAAAGTAGAATATTCTGGAGAACAGCACTGAGGATATAGAAGGTTTGAAAACACTACCACTGAAAGAATAGATCAAAGAACTAGAAATAACGTAGCCGGGTGCAGGGAAGACTCAAGGAAGACGCATCGATGCCATCTTCAGATTTGAGGGTACTCACATATTTGGGGGTAGGAGGAGAAACAGACTTGTTCTAGGTCAGCTTAGAGGCTGAATTTGGTAGGACCTACTGGAGAAAGATAAAAGAAGAGGGATATCCTCTCCAATACTAGAATTATTAGCACTGTGTTAAACAGCCAGGCCCCCATGAGTGGAACTATATAACGAGAGAAAAGTAGCTGATGAGGATGTTGCAGAAGGAAGGAGAACTTATACACCAGATCACCTGTAGAGTTCTTTTTATCTAGAATAAGAACACGAACACCAAGCATTCAACAAGTTCTATTTCTGCTTATTTCTAGCACTGATACTTGCAGACCCCTGGTACATCAGAGGTAAACCAAGTTACTGGTTGAGCATCATCTCCCACATCACAGCCCTAGGAGATTCCTCCTCTCCAGCAAGCTAGTGTACTGTATTCCACAGACCTACACTCATAATGCCAC